AGGTGGGCGGTGGCACCGAGGTAAATGCTCCTCCCCTTTTTAAAACTGAGACAGGCTCTCAGTATGTAGCTCAGGATGGCCTCCAACTCATTGTGATCTTCCTGCCTTGGCCTCTGTAGTGCTGGGATGAGAGGCTGAGGCAGAAGGATCACAAGTTTGAGGCCAGCCTGGGCAACTTAGTGAGTTCAAGGCCAGCCTGAACTACATAGTGAGAGCCTGTCTCAAAAAAACCATAAATACTGATAAACAAACAAATAAATGGTGCTGGGGGTGTAGCTCAGTGGCTGAGGGCTTTCCTAGTTTGCTTGAGGCCCTGGGTTCAATCCCCAGTGCCAAAAGATACATATATACATACATATAAGCTATTAGCTAATTTAAAAGGATTATATATTAGTATTAATTTAATTAATTTAACCAAGAAAAAGACATTGAAGCAAAAATAAAGCAATCGTTAAACCTCAGATAAATGAGTTTTTCCAGCGATAATGGCTCCTAATCAAAGATTAAGAAGCAGGTTTGGGGGAAGCAGGAAAAGCATCGCACTGTCGTTTCCTGACCCCCAGCTCCTCCCTGACCATCGGGACCCCTTGCTCTGGACATGGAGTGCAAAGTGGTCCAGGGCTGCCTCCCTGCCCCTGCATCTGTGGCTTCCGTTGCCTTCACCTCGCTAGGGTGGATGACAGCATCGTCCCATCTTGTGACCTGAACTCCACCTGCCAAGAAGCCCCAGGGTCGACCCAGGCCTTCCCCGTCCTCTTCACGTCTGGAGGAGTTTTTCTCTTTTCAGTGTTTTGAGCCAAGGCCTCACTATGTAGCCCAGGCTGGCCTTGAACTCACACCGATCCTCCTGCCTCAGCCTCCCGAGCTGGAATTACAGTGTGTGCTACCATACCCATCAAGTTTGGAGTTTTTACTGTGAACTGTCTCTTTTGCCTCATTTGTCAGTTTTTCTCCACCTAGGGCTCGTAGGTAGTCTACTCTGCTGGGGCAGTTGGGGGACAGCCCACAGAAGGGCAGACTGAAGTGATTTCCCTGTCACTACATGTCCCAGTAGATGGAATGGAAGTAAAGAGGAAGTGTTGGAGATATGCAGGGGACATTAGCTCCACATGCAGGAAGACTTACAGCAAACAACTGCAAGAGCACATAGAATGAAGCCCAAGAGCCGTGGTTATCAAGGCTGACAGCAGCAGGACAAAAGGTACGCGTCGGATGAGCACTCAGGAGGCTGAGGCAGGAGGATCGCTGTGAGTTCAAGCCCAGGCTGGACTCACAGTTCCAAGTGTGACTGTTTTTAAAAAAAAGGAAAGAACCCCCCCCCCCCACACAAACAGACAAGCAAGCAGAAGAGGCCAATGGTCACCACTGTTTTTGGGGCTGGGTGGCAGGAACGCCACAAGCTGGCCTGGCCTGGTTTGGACTGTGATCATCGTCAGTTCTGGGTCCTGGTGGCCACCTGAGCCGCACCTCCACACCTGCTCCCCGGGCTACCATGCTGCCCTGCTCCTCATGGGGCCAAGCTCCCCCTTCCTGCCCTTCTCATGTTATGAGGGCTTTTAGGGTTATTGTCACCGTGAAACAGAACTGAGTCACAGCCCCCTATGCCTGTTCTCTTTTCAGCTCTGCTGTGCCCTTTCAAATCATGGTGTGTTCTATACAACCTGGGAGCAGCCAGGCATGGTGGTGCACACCTGCAATCCCAGCTTTTTGGGAGGCTGAGGCAGGAGGACTGCGAGTTCAAGGCCAGCCTGGAGGACTTAGTGAGAATCTGTCTCAAAATGAAAAAATAAAGAGGCTGGGGATGGAGGTCTTGCGAAGGCCTTGGTTTCAATGCTCAGGGCCACAAAAGCCGAAACAGAAACCCCAGTGTGGCAGCTCAGTTCTTCTGGCTTGGCCTCGATCTCGGGCCCTCCAAACTGTAGCCCCAGTGACACAGGGCCCTTTGCCCACTTCCTGCACCCCTGGAGCGGGCGCTTGTCAGCGCCTCTGCACACCGGAAGCTGGAGGCTGTGAGGACCGCCCCACTGGCTCCGATGTGCCCAGGGCCCTCCTCCATTCCGGCTCGGCTCTGCCCCGTGCCGACTCCACCTCCTCCACGAAGCTCAGCGCCCGCAGCCTGGGGCCTCAGCTCCTCCGTCCTGGCAGTCACCGTGTCGTGGCCTTCCTGGGACTCCCTCGCTGGCTGCGCCCTTGACCAGCTGACTGTCCTAAGTGTGTTTCCTTACATTTCATCTTGTGTGAGCCCGTGCTTACATTCACTGTGGGAGTCGCTGCATGCACATAGCACACCTTCATCCTTCCTATGGCCCTTATCTCTCGGTTCTCCTTCCTCTTCTCTGTTTATCCTTATTAGCAACTTGGGTTTCTCATGGAAGAGAAACCATGTGATATTTAAGTTGTGTGTCCGATTTATTTCACTTAACAGATGGTCTCGAGGTGCATCCACTTTCCCAGATGCCTCCAGTATATCTTCATGGCACAGTACTGCTCCACTGGATACCACTCTGTCCAGCCACCTGTTCGTTTTTGAGACAGGATGCCGACTTGTGGTTCTTCTGTGACGTGCCTGTTCACTTCACAGGCCCATGTTTTGACGGGGTCTTTTATTTTGGCAGGGTCTAAGTTTTGGGAAGTTTTATATAAATTCTAGATATTAGTCCTTTGAGGAGTAGCTGGCAAGTTACTTTTCCCATTCTGTAAGCGTCCTAACCATCTCTGAACCCCCGGCCACAGTGCCTAGCAGATAGGGGCCTGAGGGTGAAAGCTGGCTGCTTTAGCTGTTGGTCTTTCTGGTCCTCTGGGGAACATAGTTGAGGGCAGCGAGGGCGGGAGGCCCAGGGAGAGAAGGTGTGCAACTGCTGGTGCAGGGCCCGAGCCTGCATGCCTGGCCAGCCTTCTTCCTAAAGGCTCCACGGCAGCAACCCGACACAAACACAGCCTCACAGACAAGCCAAACACGCTCCCCTTTCATAAGCTGAGGGCTCTTACGCTTCAAAGGGGTCAGGAAGAGAGGAGGCTACAGCAGGGAGGCTCAAAGCTTGCAGGGCCGAAGGGTTTCCTGTGCAGCCAGCAGAGGACAGGGAGCTGCCCTGATGTCAGGCCGCGTCAGCCCTGCAAGATCTCTTCCTCACAAACCTCAGTGGGGCGCAAGCTCTGCGGTGACGAATGCATCTCACAAACTTCTGCTTGCTGCTGTGTGAGGCCCAGCTGGGCTGGAGCCCTCGGGAGCAGACTCAGCCAACTCTTGCCTGGCGCTGGAGTCAGGAAACAACGGAGACCACACATCAGCAAACACAAAGCTGCTGGGTGAGGTGGCGCAGACCTCCGCTCCCAGCACTCAGGACTGAGCAGGAGGATCACTGGGAGTTTGGGGCCAGCCTGGGGTAGACAGTGAGACCCTGTCTCAAAAACAAACAAAACACAAACACAGGGGCCGTGCTGGCAGAATTTGAAAGGCTGCCTGCCCGTCAGCTGCCTGGACACATCAGGGTGGAAACCTGTCCAGACACGGGCTGCAGCAACCTGCACACAACCTGCTGCTGTCCAAGGGCTCTGCACCAGGAACGAGGGCCAATGTCCAAAAACACCAAGGTTCAGGTGACAGAAAATGGTACAAAGAGGTAAACAATGACCTTATTTCGTTGTGTACACTGTTTTAAAAACCCAGAACGAAAGCAATGCTGACATTTGCACTGTGATTCCTTGGATGTTTCTGGAAATCCATCCTAACGAAATGACACGAAACAAGTTAGGATCACACAGAGGGTCTGGCCGCACTCTTTACGAGAACACAGGAAATAAGCAGGCCCTGAAATGGACCCCATGGTCACCAGGCAGCAGATGGTGCCCAGGAGGCTAGAGACATGCAGGGCGGGCCCTTCCGAGGTGTGGGGATGGGCCTAGGGCGCCCCACTCCGAGGAGGACCATTCAGGCCTCAGCTCTAAAACCAGTGTAAATTAAATCTGTTCCTACTCACCCCCACCCTGCGGCTGCCCCAGGAACCCCTGCGCGGTAGCAGTGGGCGAAGACACTGCCCGCCCGCGAGGTGGGGAGGTTATGTCCACTTGCAGCCCCGGCCAGCGTGGTGGGTCGGGAGTACTCTCTACTCCACTTGCTTTTTCGCTGGGAATGTGGTTTTATTGCTTTTATCCTAAAATGTGATTAGAAGGGTCTTACTGAGTTGCTAACCCTCTTGGGGCAGCTACAGAATCTGAGGCTGATGATTGCAGTAGTGGTTCTCGTTGCTGTTTTCCGGTCAGTATTCTCGGGCTAAGCTTCAGAAATGCAGGGCTACAGAATCGTGAATCCCAGTTATGGATGCACTGTACGGATCTGGCTGCAGGGAGGCCAAGGACCAGAATGCAAATGACAAACCCGAGTGCGGCCCAAACAAGGCTGTAACACAAAGGAGGCAAGCCAACACTGCGCAGACTTCGCATGTGCCCTTCAGGGCCCGGCACGCTCCTCTGGTGACAGGGACACATGCCATTTGGCTCTCGCCTACACTGGTCCCCACAGGTGTTGGGTGCCCAGGATCTGGGGGACGCACGGAGCGCCCACGGCCCCGAGCACAGCCAGGTTACTGCCAGAAACCAGCCCTGGCCACGAGACACAGCTGCCCCGGGGGCACAAAACACTCATCTGTCCTCATCTCAACACCAAGTTTCCCCCAAGTGGGCATCAAACACCTGGCGAAGTCAACCAAATGAGCCCGCCCCTCTTCTGATAAAATCATCTAATACCTTAATTTCTTTGCAATGCAGCAGTTACAACTAGTGAAATTCCCATCTCCAACCCACCAAAGCCCAGACATGCGGCAGTCACCGCTGTGTCCTCAACACCTGTTCATCAGTCCCCGCTGTGCTCAGCCGCCCGTGGAGCTTTCCCACTCAATACTAACTTCAAGGACTCTTGATCGGAGCCGCTCCTTGCACATGCGCGTGTTCCTAAGTGCACCCTGTATACGAGCAATGCTCAGCCACGGACGCAGCCCACGACATGGGTTGGATGCCAAACTCTGGAGCCATTTTATTTCTGCAGGCGGGAGGAGAGTGGGCAGAGGCCGAGGCGCTCAGTGCCGAGGGGACTCCCTTCCAGACGAGGGCTGGGGCAGCCTGAACTTGGAGAGCTCCAGGTTCAGGTCCAGGAAGGTGTACGTGCTGTAGGCGTGATGCTGCAGGTTCCTGTAGGTAGTGTTGTCGAACGGTTCAGCAGGCGTGGGGGCCTGGGCAGACTCTGCGGAGGGGACAGCGACAAACAGAGCTTGATCAGAGGCCTTGTACCCCAGAGCCTCACCAGCAGACCCCACACCCTGCCCGTGACTGCCAGCCTAACTAGGAAGGGAAGTCCATGGAGGCTGCTGTAGGTGCAAGAGGGCCTTAGCTGAAATTTTATTCTAAACTTATAGCATTGGCAATGAATAAGTTACTACGTGGCCAGCCACCTGGGGACAAAGCTGTCACTGGACTCTGCGCAAAGCCCCCGGCCCTAACCCTGCCCCTGCAAGGTCCTGAGTTCCCTCGTTCCTACTGGAGTTGGACAACACAGCTCTACTGTTCTGGCAATGAAAGGCGGACACCCTCATGGCTCACTTTGAGAATTTCTAGGCCCCAAATGCCTCATGAGTTTGAAAACACCTAGGACTATCACAGCAGGCCCTTCCGGCCACAGAATGGTGAACAGGGAAATGATCTCTATTAGACGTGTGTCTACAGCAGAGATGAGCTGTGGGCAGAAGAGCATTTCCTAAAGCAGAAACTAAGCCAGCCTCCTAGGTCTCCAGCACAGGCAACATTAGTACGTTCCGACTCGGGTGAGTGACAGCAACAACACGGTGAAGGGGACTAGAAATCAGATGCATGGTTTTGGTTTTAACTTTTTTGGGGAAAAATTGTTGCTAGGCAAAAATACTAATTTAGTTTTTCTTTCAATGGAAAAAAATTAAAGCCCATGTACCCAAGCACTTGGTAACCCTAAAACAAAAGTGCGGGTCGAAGCCAAAGGAACAGTGCTGCGTGGTGACAGGACAGGCGGCAAGGAGAGCGTGCATGGGCTGAGGCCTGGGCGGTTCCTACGGACCCCAAACCCCTGAGCATCAAGTCCTCAGGCTGTCACAACTTCTACTCAGGCTTCCCAAAAAGAACCCCAGCACATTCTCCACCCTTCCCATCAATACTCAAGCTGTTTCTTACTATTTGGTTGTGTTAAACAGAAACGTCTCACAGAGCCGGAAGATATCACCAGCCCTAAGGACTGAAGGCCTCCGTGTGGTGCAGGGCACCTTCAGGGGGGCTGTGCCCCTGCAGCTGGCACCGGAAAGGCAGGCATGTCACACGCTGATCAGAGCCCAGCCTGGTCAGAAGGCAAGGAGCTGCCTCCTGCAGGACAGCCCTCCCCCAGAGGGGTTGCATGCAGGGTCTTCCTCAGCCTCTTAGGGCAAAAACAGCCTTCGAAAACCAGAAGCAAGCTTGCTCCTTTCCTTCTTTTGTGGTGCTGGGGCTGGAATCCAGGGCCTTGCTCACATTTGGCAAGGGTTCCATCACCGAGCTCTCCCCCAAACGGCAGGTTTCTTTCTTCAGAAAGGCCTGCAATCTGCAAGTCCCAGGTCCCGTGTTTACTCTGAGGGTTCTGGCACACCTGTCCACTTGAGCTGAGCGAAGGATGGAAAATGACAGCATGGCAAAGGGCAGGTCTTGAGGAGTCTGACGACTTTGCTTATTAATGAATGAGGGAGCAAAGGGCAAGAAAAGAAAGCACGTAAATCCTGTTGACACCTGAGACCAGTAACAATGCATCAGTAAGACAAATTAGGCTGAAGGGAGGCTTCAGAAAGAACAAAGCCAGGTGTAGTGGTGCACTCCGTATCCCAGCACTTGGGAGGCTGAGGCAGGAGGATCCTGAGTTAGAGCCAGCCTGGGGATACACAGCAAGGCCCTATCTCTAAAAACAACAAAGAATGAAGAGCAGGCACAGGGAGGAGGAGGCTTTGTTAGTGATGAAAGAAGTACGGAGCCACAAATTCTAAAATTGAAGACCTCCCATTATGACCCATCTAGAGCACCTGAGAAAATGCAGGATAGGAATTTGATTCCCTTAAAAGGCCCTTTGGGAAAACTCACTCTTGAGAAGCACAGCCACTCACTCTTTTCCAGGTAAATCAGAGAAGGAAATGCCGGCTGCCTCTGTAACACAGACCCTCACTGCTTCAGTCCCCACCTTGTGGACTTTCGCCCCGACAAGGATGCTAAGTGTAGTCACCCGAGGGTGCCCTCCAGCCGGGGCCTCCCCTCCTGAGTGTACTGGACAGCCAAGAAGGTGGAGTGGTGATGTGAAACTGGCAGTTTCCAAAAATTATACAAAGCCGGGTGCAGTGGCACATGCCTATAATCCCAGCACTGGGGAGGCTAAGGCAGGAGGAACACCGTGAGGTTGAGGGCAGCCTGGGCTACACAGTGAGTTCAAGGCCAGCCTGAACCACACGGTGAGACCTCGTGTCAAATAACCAAAACAAACAAAAACCCCTGAGAATTACACCGGTTAAGAGCAGCCAAGTGGGCCAGGGGCATATGCTTCCATTCCAAAACGAACTGAGGCTATTTCAGGGTATCGAGAGGACAGATGTGCCCCACCACAGTCTAGGTGCACTCTGTTCAGTTGGGACAGCCTTAGAAGCGGTTTCTGGTCTGAAGTCTGGTTACAGTCACGCTTCTTTCTAAGCACAGAGAAACTCAAAGGTTCCTTAGAGCCCAGCCGGCACCTGGGAAAGGGGGAGTGGAACCAAGGCAAGATGTACCCTGTGTGTCATCCGGGGCCTCTGGGGGCGGGGCTGCACCCTCCTCCAGCTTCCGGTCTGTGGGCTGAGCCTCAGCCTCTTCCTGCAGGACAGGAGCTGGCCGTGAACTTCTCACGCTTCTCTGCTCTTCCAAGATCTCCTCCTTGGCCTCTGAGTGTCCTCTTCCTGCCTGCTTCCCAGCTGTTTCTTCCCAGGGAGAAGCCAGCTTCCCACCAGGCTCTGGTACTGGGGGCCCAGGGCAGGAAGCCTCCTGGGTCCCTGGTGTGGACCCCAGGCCACCTTCTGGCCGTGTAGGAAACCCAGCCTCTGTGCGGTCAGGTGAGATCCCTTCCACTCCCAAGGGCCTCTGGCCTCCTTTCTTCAGCTCCTTCGGTCTGTGAGTTTTCTGCAATTGCTCATCCTTTGCCTTCTGCTCCAAAACCTCTCCCTCAGCCTGGGATCTGGGTGACTTGCATTGTGGTGTGGCCTCTCCTCTGCCCTCTAAAGGCTTCAGGGGGCTCTTTTTCTTCTTTGGCTGAGAGACCCTCTCTGGGTAGGTGACATCTGTATGTGGCTTTTGCGCCCTGCTCTGCTCTTTTGCAGACGCCGTGACTCCGGGGGCTCTGTTCTCAGAGGGCCGGGTGGCCTCTGAGGTTGGAGACCCTCCCTGGCCTTTGCTCCCCACTCGGGGCCCAGCTTCCGGGAGGTCCCGCTCCTCGTCAGACTCTGAGTCCGAGGAGCTGGAGCTGGATGAAGATGAAGATGAAGAATCTGTCTCCTTCCGGGCACCCCCATGAGCCTCTGTGCCCAAACCCTGCGCACTGAATGGAGATGGAACCCTTTGAGGAAATGCTACCAAAGTCTTTCTCGCCAAAGCTTTCGGGAGCCCTTCCTCCGTGAGCAGCTCGCTGCCACTGCCACTGGGGTGAGTGCCAGCCACTGCCCTGCCTCTGTTCCCAGCTGCCGGGGAGGAAGCATCAGGAGACCAGCCGGGGGGCACCAGGGCTGATGGGCGGGTGGTTAGTAGCTTGCCCTTCTCCTTTGGTTTCTCTACATCTGGGAAATGGCATAAAGAGGAATGTTATTTGCAATACTTTGTAAAACAACTTCAAATCAATAGACGTCACAGATACTGCATTGCATACCAATTCATTATTTATAATGTCTTCAAAGTAAGCGACCTAAGAAGGTTCTGTGGGAACCTCTCCTGGGCAAATGCCAAGCACCACATGTGGGGTGATGGTGAGAAGTGGAGATACTTTTCTTTGTAGCCGAAAATTTTAAAGATGGAAATTTTTTTACCAATAGGAGCCTAGTACTCAGGAGGCTGAGGCAGGAGGATCACCTCAAGTTCAAGGCCAGCTCAAGCTACATAGTGAGTTCAACACCTACATAGCAAGACCCTGTCTGAAAAAACAAAACAAGGCTGGTGATTTAGCCGAGTGGTTCCACTGCCTGCCTCGCAAGTGCAAGGTCCCAAGTTGTTCGATCCCTGGTACCAAAAAAACGCCCCCAAAACAAAATGAATAAATAAAAAACAAAAAAAACCAAAACTAGAATAACAGATTTGCCTTCGTTTTTAACAATAATGGTTTCACTGATAATAATTTTTAAAAACTACTTCACCAAATTCAAGATAAACTATAATAGATATTTTCTGGTGACTATTGAAAATTTACAGTTGTATAACTGACTGAATTCCTGGTACTTATCAAGTATGAAAAGCCTCAGTCCTTGCCTGGTGGACCCCCAATAGGCTGCATGGAGTCTGGGGTATGTGCAAGAGCAGCAGAGGGTAATGCAGTTCAAGCAAAGGAAGAAAAGCCTTTCAAAATCTCACAGCTCACATGGTGATTTCTTCAGCCAATAAACAGAAGTACTGCAATATCAAAAAATGTCCGAAATAATTTAATATCATATGTATCACTAGAAATAGATTTTAAACTGCATAAAAAAAAGTGCTAATGTCTTTTTTTTTTTTTTTTGAGACAGGGTCTCACCGTGTAGGCAGCGAGCTCACTATGTAGCCCAGGCTGGCCTCAAACTCACCTTGATTCTCCTGCCTCAGCCTCCCTAGTGCTGAGATTCCAGGCGTGCTTGGCTTATCTTAGTATTCCATAGTCATTTACAAAAAAATGAAATCAAATAATATATTGATCAGAGCTAATTTCACTACATTTTCTCAGGTGGTAATAAATCTTTTCTAACCATACACATTAGAGGAAAAAGTTGAAAAATGTAACAAACAGAGGCTACAAACAGAGCCCCTAAGACCAGACATCGGTTTTGTACTATAGCGCATCTCCTCCTCTTCACCTGAGGCAGAAATCTGTCTTCCCATCCATCCTACAGCACCATGCAGAATCCTGTCTTCTGAGGCCGGGAACTTGTGACTGACAGCAGACAGGATGTGCTGAGTGCTGAGAAGAGTGAGCAACAACAGCTCATCAGAAGGGGCCTGAGGGGGTGACAGGCACTGGGAGAGGCGGTGCCCATGGAGCTGCAGCAGCAGCTGACTGTTGAAACTGCTCTTCCCAGGAGCACACCACAGCTGAATCTGGTCCTGGCCGCCTACAGACCACACTCGGCCGCCCAGGCCAGGGGCTGGTGTGCACCTTGGCTCCTGGGCACGGTGAACAGGAGCCCGGCACAGGGCGGCATGGGCTGGGCTGTCCCTGCCTCTGCACAGCAGCTGCACTGCTCAGAGCTTTCTGACAGCCATGCGTAAGATGCACTGGCCTTCAGACCCTGCCGGCCTGCCCGTCACCAGCACACCCTTATGTTAGCCATGGGTCTTCCAAGCAGGAAAGTTAACTTAAAATAAGGCTATCTCACAGGGGCTACTGTGAGCAGAAAAATGATAGGGACTGAATCTTTCAAAATTTCTTGAGTTTTTAATTTATTTTTAAATTATTATTATTTTTTTCTGCACTGCTAGGGATGGAACCCAAGGCCTCATGCACACCAGGCAAGTGTTCTAAAACTGAGCCACATCCCCAGACCCCGCAGATTTAAAGAACTGTAATAATTGATTAAGATTATATGATTGTAGCTGGTGGAGTAGCTCAGTGGTTAAGCATGTGTTTCACTTGTGCTGGGTCCTGGGCTCAATCCTCAGACCACATGGTGTGGACACACACGCACACATGCGCACACATACACACACACACAGGCATGCACGCATGAAACCTACATTATAGGTTGGTTTATGACTTCCTGAAAATGGAAAGAACATTTCAGCTGTGATTGGCAATGTTGTAAGTTCCACACTTTGTTTGGAAGGGAAACTTTATATATCACACAAATAAGAAGGCTTCAGAGTTTCCTTTGTTTATGCTAGGTACGGGGCGGGGGGGCGGGGGGGGGAGGGAAGCCCAGGGAAGGCTAAGTGCTGAAAGCAAACCTGTTTCTGCCCCACTGCCCTTGTCTGTGGCTCAGAAAGAAGCCTGTGGGGCTGATCTGTGGCTGCTGCCTCTCACAAGGACCAAACCCAGGGTCCACACCAAGTCTGCACTCAGCAACACAGAAGGGATGGCGCCCAATGTAATACTGCCTTAAGGAAGCCCGTCTCCCTCTGGGCACAAGCGTGTTACCCAGCTGCTGGCTCTCATCCAACTCTAGGGCCAGCATAAGACAGTCTATGATGGAGTTTCAGCTTGACACCACTCTCCAGAGACAAGGCAACAGAGCTCCCAGGTGCTGCCATCAGACTCTCACCATGGGGCTGGGGATTTAGCTCAATGGTTTTGCCGCTTGCTGCGCAAGCGCAAGGACCCGAGTTCGATCCCTGGTACCCTCCCTCAAAAAAAGACTGCTCACCGTGAAGCCCCACCTCACTGTAGCGACTGACTCTCAGGGGGCTCCAGCCCTCGCTGGAGACCACACAGTCTGTGAAAACAAGGTCTCCAAATACGAGGTCTCCCTACTGCTTCTGTCTCCTCTCAAAGCATAACTTAAATTTCCTGATTCTCTCTCCAGCTTGGCTGAAAAGTGAGGGCATGATCTTCAAGTTTTTTTACAAGAGCAAAAGTGACTATGGCGGTTGAAATGGACTAGGAGCCTTAAAAATGTAAACGTGACACAAAGAGTAAAGAGTCTCAGATTTTACAGAGTAATTGTATGGTGCTTGACTCTTTTTTTTTTTTTTTTTTTTGAGACAGGGTCTCTCCCTTTGTAGTTCAGGTTGGCCCTGAACTCACTATGTAGCCTAGGCTGGCCTCGAACTCACAGGGACCCTCCTGCCTCAGCCTCCAGAGTGCTGGATTTACAGGTGTGCGCCACCACGCCTGGCTTTTTTTTTTTTTTAAATGAATGCACAAGAACTGAAATTTTTCAGAAGACAGTATAGTGATTTAAATTTGGGGTGTGGCTGAAATGCCTGGGTTCAAAGCCAGACTCCCCACTGCCACGTGTGGGACACCTCAGCCCCGTGTCTACACCACAGGGATAAGAGCACAGGCCCATCTGCAGCAGCACAAGGTAATACACAGGAAGTGTTCAGAACAGCACCTGGTGGGGTGGCTGCCATGAAATACAGCAAATCTCTATTTCCAGAAATTTCTCACTCAAATCTGAGATGGGACTTGAACTGGAAAATTCACTTTGGCTTCTCAACATACTTGTTAAAGAGCTGCACAGAAATCACTCAGTCCACAGCCTAGCATTGGTGTGCAAAACAGGTTTTCACAGACAGTAAGTACTGAACAGCTGCAATGGTCACTAATGACCAAGGAGTAGAAAATACAATTATGCCCAGGAGAGAAGCATTTAAAATATTCAGTCCCATGTCTTGTTTTCCTGCAATGAGGACATGCTGTTCTCACATTCAGGGAGGGAAAAAAGTAAAACATGAGTGATAAAAGTCAAAATGATTGTGTAAAGAGTTGGAAATAGACCAGACACCATGCATCAGCAAAATGAGTCACAGTGGAAAACTGTCTGCTTTTAACTCTCTCTAGGGTCCTAAAACAACGCCTGTGATTCCAGGCTGGTGGAGAAAAGCCAGGGAGACCACAGGTGGAGCTCTGAGAGGAAGAGCCAGCACTGGAGAGGTCCCATGCTTCACACTATGCGGGATCCGAAAGGGCCACAAAAGGACAGAGGGTCCTCACCAGGATCACTCGCTCCATGTTGGTCTGACATGGAAAAAGCACTAAAAGAACCAGTTTAGGGCTAATGTGGAGTCAGAGAGGAGTCAGAGACTATGACATCTGTGGTATGTTTGGTCTAAAATCTGCCACTGGGCCGGGGATTTAGCTCAGTGGCACTGTGCCTGCCTCACAAGTGCAAGGTCCTGAGTTCCATCCCCGGTACCAAAAAAATAAAAATAAAATAAAACCTGCCACTGATCTTACGTCTCACTGGAATCCTGACACTGGGAAGACAGAGAACAACGCACTATGCAGCTGGCAAAACCCATTTTCATGCTTGGGAGGTTAAACTCTTTACTTTGCATTCTTGGTCCCTCATGACCACCGCTGAAATCTTACTTTTTGGTGGACTTGGTTTCTTGGGATTTGGTGGCAGTTCCTTTTCATTCTTGCCCGACTGTGCAGAGAGAGAAACTGTAGAAGCAAGTCCTCGGAGCACGGGCACTTCCAGGAGCATAGTCTGACAAGAGAGTTGGCAAACATGGGTATTTAGAGTGATACCATTTATAACAGCTACTGCTACATATGGAAACCATGTATTATACCACTTGTGAATGCTCATACGGCATAGAGAGGCTGATACAATTTTCATAACATATGCATATTATGGACATTTTGCAAAATATAAAAGCTACAAGAAAAGCCCCAAGTTCAAGGACAACTGCTATGAAAGTGTGGGTTAATAAAAGATGTTCTCCTGTGCATATTTTATAGCCTCCTGTCAAACCGCAAAATAGTGTTTCTTTTAGGAACAGAAATATTCTGGCATTAAAAGTACTAATAAGTGAAAAACACAGGATATGTTAATCCACTAGGCTGACAATCACCAAGGCCAGTTTTGCTGGATAACTTCGTGCGGCGCTCTCGATGCTACACAGAACAAGAAGGTAAAAACGTTTTAAATACACATAAACCTGAAGAAGTCGTTGGGAACCGGTTACCGAAGGGGTTCCTTCTCCTGCCTGCACTTTAAATTATTCTGCGGTGAATTATCGTTCTGGGGGCGCGCGTGCGTGAGTGCGTGTGTGTGTGTGTGTGTTGCAGCTCACTGGCAGAGTGTGCAAGTGTGAGGCCCCGGGTTCAATCAACAGAAAAAAGGAAGAAAAAGGAAAAGAATCCAAGTACTTTTTGCTTCTTGCTTTTGTAACAAGAACCATTTTCAGAAACGTTAAGGCACCGAGGTGGCTCAATGTCGAGAAGGCGCGCCTCCCTCCCCCGCCGGCCGGCGGCTACGTCCCCGAAGCCCTCCCTTCCCAGCCCAGCTGACAGGAGTCGCCCGGGCGGGGGGGGGGCGCTCTCGGCCCCACGCTGGCCTCGCTGCCCGCCGCGCCCTCACCCCGGCCCCCGCGGGCTCCGCCTGGCTCGTCCTTTACCTTCAGCGCCTCAGCTCGTGCCAGCCGCAGAACAAACCAGGCCGCCATGGCGCAGACGTGAGCCAGCCGACGTAGCTCTGGGGGCAGCGCCCTGCGCGCCCCACGCCGCCGGAGGACCCGCCCCTGAAGCCGCGTGCGCCAATCACAGGCTATCAGGGACGGGGAGGAGCCAGAAGGTCTGCGCGCGCATCCCCAGCATTTTCCTGGTTTCCCCGAGCACCGCCCTGAAGCCACGCCCCCGAGCAGAGGCCTCCAATCACAGGCAGGATCGCGAAGCCGCGACCCCGCAGGTGCTGACCTTGGGAGGAGCGGGGCGCTGGCCCTCTGCTCCTGGGGCCCTCGGGGCTCTAAAGTCTGTGGTGTGCTCAGAATGTATGGTGAGTGTTTAAAGTGAAAAAAATTCCAGTGAAAGACACATTGCCTTGAATTCCTCTCAAAATACTCGTTCCTTACTTCAAACGTATTTCTTTATTTTGCTTTTTGAGACAGGGTTTTACTGTATATTCCAGGCTGATCTTCAACACGCGGTAACCTTCCTGTCTCAGCCTCTTGAGAATTGGGATTACTGCGTCTGGCCCCACGCCTGGCTCTTCGAACACACTTATCCGGTCGTCCTTGCCACTTTCTGAAGCAGCTGGAGTCTTTTTTCCTGAGTATTTTTATGAGGTGTGATATAAAAAACGGTGACTGCTGCTGCCACGGGCCATCCCACAGAAAGGCAGCTCGTGAAAACACGACGTTGTGTCCTCGTCCATTTTATTCACCAGATCTGGCACTGTATGACTTCCGGCTCTTCCCCAGAGTCAAATGACCACGACAGGGAAACGTTTTCAGTCAACTCAGGACATGGAGGAGCCAGGACAGCGCAGCTAAAGACACTCAGGAGAGGGCTCCAGCGCTTCGGCAGGAAGGGCAGAATGACAGGAGGAGGGTGTGTGAAGTGACGAGAGTGTTCTGAGGGGGATTCGTGGCAGTGCGTCTTTTAAGCACTCACTACTTTTCCATCCCACCTGGTTGTTGGCAGTGGCTCTGCACCTCTCGGCGTCTGGAGGACAGGTCAGAACGTCCACCTGGCTGCCTCTCCCTTCTCTCCCTTTAGCCTTTCAACCTTAAATTGGAATCGCCCCCAGAGCCACAGCCCTACAAATCCTGCCCTTCGAGTTTCTGGGCCTTCTTGACCCTCCTGTGGGTACTGTGGGTTTTCAGGCTTGGCGGGACAGTGCCTCTGTTCCACACCTCGTGCGCAGACTCTCTGCTGCAGCTGCAGCGACTGATCAGCCCCTCACCCCTGTCCTGTGGGCACCACCACTCACCGCCTATCGGGTGGGGCTGGGCTCGTGCTGGGCCTGGGACATTGCTATGACCAGCATTAGGCAGCTTAGAAGTGGAAGCCTTCTGTCATCTGCATGTTTATCAGTGGAATCACCTCATCTCAAGGTGAGCTGTCATTGTGGGTGTGGAGCAGGTGTTGTTACCGCTTGCTTCTCATCCTATTGATTAATGCTCTCCTGCCCTGCAACCCCCATGGACAGTGTCCCATAAGTATTTTGGGGGGAGATGGAGATGCCCACACTGACACAAGCAATTAAAAAATATTTTATTGGTACATGTCTGTAGTCCATAATGATTATATTCATCATGGGGAGTTCGTAAGTGTACATGACATTTCTCAAAATTCTGTTTTTTAATCTTCTCTCTTCCCCTCCCTCTCCTTGTGTCTCTTGGACCCCTTGGTTTTTTGAGACCCAGTCTCACAATGAAGTTCAGGCTGGCCTTGAACTCAATATGCAGCTCAAGCTGGCCTTGAACTCAAGGCGATGCTCCTGCCTCAGCCTCCCAAATGGTGTGAACACAGCTGTGCCCAACTGCACCTGGCCTCAGATGACCCTAAAAGAGAGTGAAATGTGTCCCTAGAGAGAAAGCAGAGATCACAAGAAGCCCAGGTACCCTGGGAGCGTGGGGGATCTCAGTAAGCCACGCTTTGGTCCTCGGAGCCCAGGAGAGTGGGGAGGGGCCGGGGTTGGGACACTGGGGAGTGGGCTGGGGGTGGCAGTGACTTGGACAAAGCCATCTCCCAGCAAAGATGTGTGTGGCTGTCTAGGCTTGGGGGAAAGCATCGAAGGCCTGCTGTCACTTGCGTTTAGGGTGAGACACACACATTTCTGGTGGACCCAGGAGGAAGGTAGTGCTGCATGGCCTTCAGTAGGTCACGTGTCAGGAGCCGGGACCCTTTGGGCTTGCCTGGCAGGGCAAGGGCCACCAGGAGACACAGTGTCCTTGTTTCTCTTTCCCTTCTGCTCACCAAGCCCCCTCCAGGCTCTGGCCTCTCACTGGCCAAAGCCAGCCTGGAGGCAGCTGACCCTGACTGTGGACCGGACGGCCAAGAGGCAGCCTGAGGGGCTCCCCTCCCCTCCTGCAAGGGTCAGATGTGTCTGAGGGCAGCCTCACACCAGCACTGTGGGCTGACCATGGCGACGGCCAGCAGAGCCCTCGAGACGACAATAAGCCATCAGACAATTCAACAAAACTTCTGGATGTGACCCCTTTAGGAAACACAATTAAAGCCAGGCCTGGTGGCACATGCCTGTTATCCCAGCACTTGGGATGCTGAGAGAAGAGGCTCTCCGTGAGTCTGAGGGCAGCCTGAGCTACATAGTGAGTTCACAGCCAGGCTGAACTACAAGCAGGAGCCTGTCTCAGAAACTCCCCTCAAAAGAAAAATATATAAAGAAGTCATGGAACACAATAACACAAAAGACAAATGACCTGCATATAAAATGGGCAAAGTGTCTGAACAGACATTTCACTAATGAAGATTTGCGAAGGAGATGCAACCAAAGCCACGATGAAACGGAACTTTGGGCCACACACCTGTGATCTCAGAACTCTGGAGGCTGAGGCAGGAGGATCCAAGTTTAAAGCAGCTGGGCCTGGGATTTAGCTCAGTGGTTCTGCCACCTACCTTGAAAGCTTAAGGTCCCGAGTTCGATCTCCGGTACCAAAAAAAAAAAAAAAAAGCTATTCTTTAGCCGATTGTCTTAATAGTAGCAGGCATGCACACTTCATGTGCTGTTTGAGGAAGTCGGCAAAACTTCAGAGATGCAAGGACAGGTTCACTCCCCACAGCGTGCTGACTCTGTCTGGGGGGCGTGATGTTTCCAGGAGATTCTGAGAGGCAGGGAGGCACTCAGGGAAAAGCCCTTTCCTTACACACGCAAGGCCCTGGGTTCTTTCCCCAAAGCCACAGACAGAATAAAATAAGACAGGGTTGCATATTGAGGAGATTTTGAAAACAAAAAACAACCACCTGGAATTTGTCCATTAAATCAAGTCTTAAAACTCACTCAGAGGGCTGGGGATTTAGCTCAGTGGTTCCGCTGCCTGCCTTGAAAGTGCAAGGTCCCAAGTTCGATCCCCAGCACCAAAAACAAAAAACTCACTCAGAGCTTTGATGAGTATTAAATTGACAGCGAGAAGAACAACCAAAGAAAGGAGTTCTTCCCCTAATACTCACTCATAGATGATGTCCTGCTCGTGGCATCTGGCTGGGTTCTGAGGGCTGCTGATGGACCCTTGCCTCCTGCTCAGACCCGTGAGGCACATCTGGTACCTGGCTTAGCCCTGCCATGTTTCCTACTTGGGGGACACCTGCTCCAAAGTGGATGTCACCCACCCTGACCCAGGACTGGGGCCAGCCTGTCCATCCCACTAACAGGGGAGTGGCAGGGCCTCCATGTTTCCTCCCCATCCTACTGGAAAGTGCTGCTTTGTGTAGTGCTTGATGACATTCTGTGTTTTGTCAGCATTTCCTTTTTCATTGCTAGGAACTGAACTGAGGGCCCTGGGCATGATGGGCAGGTGTTCTACCACTGAGCTACATTCCAACCCCTTTTTATTTATTTTGAGATAGGGTCTAAGTTGCCTAAACTGACCTTAAACTTTCAATCTCCTGTTTCAGCTTCCCCAGTAGCTTGGATTACAGGTCTGCACTGAAGGACCCCAGCTAGCAAGACAGACTCCATATTGGTGCTGAAGGACCCACCTGCCTGCCCTTTAGATGAACTCAAAAGGAGGAAGCTTAGAAACCTCCTCCCCTCAGAGTCTCTTAGAAACAACAATTAATCAACTATTGTTTTACAAATGTTCTAACAGCAGGACGTTCAGCTTTGCTTGCTTTACTAGTTCTTTTTTTTGGTACCGAGGATCGAACTCAGGTCCTTGCCCTTGCAAGGCAGGCGACGGAACCACTGGGCTAAATCCCCGGCCCTACTTTACTAGTTCTATCCCATAGCAGGCCCTAGAAACTGCTGGCCTCAAAGGTGTATAAAATATGTTAATCTCCTCCCAGTTGAGGCTCGAGTCCGATGCTCAGCTAGGGTCCCAGCCGGTAATAAACTCCTGTGTGGATTTAATATTGGTCTCTGGTTCTCTCTCACTGGGTGTAACATGCACCACCATGCCTGGCAATATTTCACCTGTCCTAGCATCTTGTCACACTCTTAAGAGTTCTCCACTAAATGGGACCAACAGGATGTACCTTTAAGAGGAGATTTATTTGGGAATTTGCTCATGGATTGTTCAAGCTGACAGGTCCAATGACCTGCCACCTGGATACAGAGCCTGGAAAACCAGTGATGCGATTTGGATTGAGGAAGAAAGCCCAAGATTCAGGAGGGAGAAAATGGATGTCCCACTCCAAGCTAGAACAAATTCAGATTCATTTTCTCTGCCCTTCTGGTCTTTTTGTGCCTGTGTCAGTTAAGCTGGCTTGTCAATTCTATTGGCTCGTAAGCTGCCTAGAGAATTAGAAAAGCACACGTCTGGCTGTGTCATGGCAGAGTGCCCTTGGGACTATATCTAGTCTCTGGTCCCTTTCTCTCTGTTTGCAAGCATGACTTGAGCAGCTTTGTTCCGCCCCACCTTTCTGCCATGATGTTCCTGCCGCCATGATATTCCTTCCTCAGAGCCAGCAAACCGTGGACTGAAACCTTGGAAACTGTGAGCCTAATTAAGCCTCTCCTCCTTTAAGTTGTAGGTGTTGGGTGTTTTGTCCCAGCAATGGCAAAGCTGACCAATACAGGGCTCTTGAAGGATCACATGCTGCCTGCCTACATTGGTAAGGATGGACCTTTCTCAGTCTGCTGTTTCAAATCCAGAAACATCAGAGCTACACTGAGAACTAATGTTTCCCTGATCATCTGGCATCCATTAGCCCAGTCAATTGATGCATAATGTTATCTATCCATCCCACATGCCCTCTGTGGAGGCCTGGCCAACACTTGTTCTTTCAATGGGGTTTGGCCCAAGTTCCTTCATGAACAAGGTGAAGAAATTATCTTAAAGAGCAGATTCATTATGCTAATAGACTGTTTTTACTGAAAGGCCAACCAGGGGCAACTGCCAATGATCACAGTCACTGATGATCACAGTTCCTGTCACTAGGTCTCAGCTCCACAGCAGAGAGGGCCTGGCTCTTGGATCAATGAGGGTTTCTCTAGTCCAGAGCAGAGGAGACTAGCCACGGAGAGATGGATGAGGTTAACTCTGGATCAGCTCACTGGGGCACTGGTTACAAACTGCAGAAACTATTTAGTGTAAAACAACAGAAATGTATTCTCTCACAGTTCTGAGGCCAGAGTGCTGGTTGGCAGGGCTGTAGGCCTTCTGAAGGACCCAGGAGAGAAGCTTCCTTCCTTTCTCTTAGTTTCTGGTGTTGCTGGCAATCCCTGGCTTGGGGACATGCCACTCTAATTTCTGCTTCTCTCCTCATATGCCCTTCCGTGTCTTCTCCCTTTTCTCTACTGAGGACACCTGTCATTAGGTTTATGGCCCACCTAGGATGATCTCAAACCAGGCTGACCTTACTTGGAGATCCCTATTATTTTTGCAAACACCTCTTGGCCAGGCATGGTGGTGGACACCTGTGATCCCAGCACTTGGGAGGCTGAGGTAGGAGGAGGATTTTGAGTTCGAGGCCAGCCTAGGCTACATAGTGAGTTCAAGGCCAGCTTGAACTACACAGTGAGACCTTGTCTCAAAACAAAACATTTGCAAAGACCCTTACTCCAAATAAGGCCACATTCATAGGTTCCAGGTGATGTATCTTTTTGGGAACCACTGTTCAGCCTAGTACAACCACCATGAAACTGACAAGTGTTTGTCTTTGCTTTTATAAATTTAAAAAATATTTATTGGTTTTTTGATCCTTCTGCTTCAGCCTCTCAAGTGCTGGGATTACAGGTGTGCAGCTCCATACCTTATACATTTTTTAAAATTGAAGGACCTTAATAATGTGTTTATCAATTTTACCTGTATATATGAGATTTAAACTCTGAGTTTGTACCCCACGTTTTATTGTTTTAAAAGAGGATTCTCAGCTTCCTAAAACCTCACTATGAGGGGAGAAGCAACACAGAAAATAGTCCATGAGGGCCAGGGATTTAGCTCAGTGGTTTCGCCGCCTGCTTTGCAAGCGAAAGGATCTGAATTCAATCCCCGGTACCAAAAAAAAAAAGTCCATGAGTTACTTAATGGAAAAAAAAATGTCCATACTCACTCTAGGTGTATGTGGTAGACCAATCATAAAAATGGCCATAATTTCCAGGAGTTGCTGAACTTTCAGTAGGACTACAGTGCAAGTATGCCTACTACAAATGACACTCTGTACCTAGGTATAACAGTACTGTAAAGTAACCTAAAACATGTGGCATTGGCTCTGGGACGAGAGGCTGGAACAGCCAGAAAGAAATTGGTAGGGTAGACTGGAACCATGGTGAGCAAAGTACAGAAGCAGACAAACTGTGACCAAGGGTATGTAGTGGTGAATCTCGGGAAGATAATCTCTCAGTAACATCAGAGAAAAAAGTACCCACTGACCTTGTGGACTTGAACAAAAATCATCTCAGGGGCTGGGGATTTAGCTCAGTGGTTCTGCTGCCTGCCTCGAAAGCTCAAGGACCCGACGTCGATCCCCAGTACTAAAAAACCCCCAAAATTTCACATCATACTAGTGAAATTACTCAGGGCTGGGTTTTAGCTTAGTGGTAGAGAATTTGCCTAGCACAGGTGAGGCCCTGGGTTTAATCCCTTAGTAGAGCAAAATCCTAAATTACCCTGCCTTTCTTTTAGCCCAACATGTAAACGCACTACAGGAAAAAGATGAGCTAAAGAAAACGGTGGCTCGTTTTCACACAGTGCTTTGAGGGACACCTAAGAGACCAGAGCAAGAGTCTGAGGTAGATGTAGCGAGGGGAGAAGCTCCCAGCAAGCAGATCAAGGTCCATCCCACTCTTGTGGGTCATGAAGTCTTCCCAAGGGACTTTAGAACTGGTATAGACCAGGAGTCCTCTCTTTCCTCTCCACCCCTCTTCTTGTTGGTATTTACTGTGGCTGTCCTCCCCACAGGGGTGGCTTCTCTGTGACGGGTCAGGCATGTGGGCCACAGTCCATCTTTCTAAGGTGTAGGTCTCTGGACCAGGAGGAGCAGCCTCAGAGGAACCACATCCAGCCTAGGAGAGACCATGTGCTCCTGGACTTCAGGCTCAAAGTGAAAGGAGGACTGGAGGGGACAAGAAGGATCTTGAGGAACTGTTGCCAGCTGACTTGGGTCCTTGCTTTAGTAGAAGTGGAAATTAAAATGAAAGCACACATTTATAGGGAAAAATGCCTTAATTGGAAAGTTAGAGGGAAGACAGAAGAGGACTCCAGCTGGAGAGGGGAACTGTGATACAGGGGTTCAGACTGGCCCACCCCCAAAGGTGGAAGGCCAGCTTTCAAGGAGTAGCTGGTGGGCTAGGGTCTGGGTGGTCATTATCTGTCCTGGTGAGGGATGCTTTTGTTTCTCAGGATGGCTCTGCAGTGGTCTCAATCTTGAGGGCCCTACCTTTCCTAGAATCAGGAGACCACAGGATTAGGACTATGGGTAGACTTCTGGATGTAGCCAAATGTTTTTATAAAAATTTTATCCCATGTCCTCAGTCTAGAAAGGGAATGCGATCCTGTAAATTCAGGACTAATCAACCCTGTCAGGTCAGCTCCTAGACAGACACTCTCTCAATCAACATACACCTATGAGGAGCTGATAAGGAATTTGGCCCAAGACTTACAGCAACAAAGGATACAAAATAAAAGTCAAGGTTTGTTCTGCTTTTAGTAACATACTGGCCGGGCATGGTGGCACATGCCTGTAATCCCAGCACTTGTGAGGCTGAGGCAGGACGATTGCCATGAGTTCAAGGCCAGCCTGGACTGCATGGCCAGACTCTGCCTCAAAAACAAAACAAACAAAAATGTATTGAAGAGTCCTGGTTCACAGCAAAAATGACTTTTAAGTCCCTGACTGTCCCAGAAAAAAACACAAATCTTGTTTTTTTGCGGCGGGGGCCGGGGATCAAACTCAGGACCTTGTGCTTGCCAGGCAGGCACAGCGCCACTGAGGTACATTCCCCGGCCTACAAATCATTTTTAAATGAGAACCAGTGAAGAGCCCCGCGTTCTGCTTGTTCCCCGACTATGCCACCACTGCGTCAGAACAATGGAGAATAACCACCAGTGGGGCTGAAACACATCACTTCCAGGTCTCTTCCGGGCTCGTCTGAGTGCGGAGGGAAGTAGGTGCGCTTCCAGCGACCTCAGCCTCGACCCCACCAGTGATACCCACGCCCGTGGCCACATCCTGGGCCCTGGTGTTCCCGAGAACCATTTCTTGAAGGACATTTGTCAGCACCAAGTGGGCACGGGGTGCTCTGCCCAGCACGAAGTCCCAGGACCGGCCCTACCCAGTGTGGAAGAAAATGAACACAGGCTAGAGCTCGCTGCCACGCGCGAAGCGGATTCTGCCCACAATCGCCGGGAACTGGAAGGTCTCCGAGTGCGGGGAGACCGCACCTTCTGCGCACGCGCACGTCAGGGTTTCAGCAGGCAGCGCGGCGGGCGTACGTCACCGGGCGGCACTGCGTGTGACGTCACCGGCCCGCGCCGACCGGAAGAGGCGCTGGGCGCGCACGTGGGTGGTGTCGGGTAGGGAGAGTCCATGGCAAGTTCCGCGGGGCTGGCGTTGTGCGGGCAGGCGCTGGTGGTGCGGGGAGGCAGTCGATTCCTGGCCACCTCCACTGCGATCAGGTGAGGGGCCCCCGGGCTGGGAGCTGCGGGTGCGCGTCGGCCCTGGAGACCCCGATTCCTCACCGTTAGATCTGGGTGCCCCCGGGAAATCTGCCGCAGCTGTCAGCCTGCTCTGGCCCCGCAGCGTGGTGGGACTGCTCGTCCCCTGGACTGCGGGTTGCGTTGCTCTCGCCAGGGCAGCGATGGGACACTTCTGGACTTCCGGGCTCTGTGGCGGCTGCGCGGCTACCGCAGGGGCCGGGTTTCGTGGGGCAACGCTGCTCGGCCCCGCTTTGGGCGTTGCGGATGAGGCGGGGTCACTGTCCGCCGACACTCCCCGTACCCAAGCGCGCCCCTTGCCACCTCTCTCTCCCCTTCGGGTTGTGCTTGCCCCTCCTTTCAGACCTGTGTCCACCCACTCGGTCCTAATTGGCGGTCAGCGCTGGGGTAATAAGAGGACTCCATACCTGGGATGCGCTCACGTCCCGCAGCCCGCACCTCTCTATCGTCCTCCACACTCTGCCTTTGCTTTCTGTAATTTCATTCTCTTGCCTTAGTGTTAGCTCAGTGGTGGCCCCGCCTGCCTCGCATTCGCAAGGTCCTGAGTTCGATACCTGGTACCAAAAAAAAAACCACAAAAAAACGAATCGAATACGCTTGATTTAGAAACGTAGGTGCGGGGGCAATTAGTGGTGGTCATTTTCCGCCGCTTGTTTCCTTTCCCAGGGTAGTTTTGATTCTTCCATACTTGAAGTAGATGACATGTGTGTTAAACGTACACTGTACAGTCTGTCCGGTATTAAATACAGACCTCACAATTTACAAACCTGTCACATATTCCAGATTGTTTTGTTTTAGAGACTTAACAGCCCCAAATACATGTCCCACTGAACCGTGGGTACGTTAGACACCATCTGCTTGCCTCAGTCTGTTTTTGGACTGATTTCAGGGGTAGCAAAGACTTCTCTCCACAGTTTCAGTGTTCCCCCGCGAAAAGCATCGAGTGCAGTCGCCAGTGATGGCGAACCTTTTAGAGCTTTCAGTGATATAAACAACCTGCTGTGGCACATGTGCCATAGGTTAACTGTCACGTACAGGATAGCTTCCATGTGCCTGGGGATGAGAAAAACAGAGGATAGCTTAGGGCAGTGGTGGTGAATCTGTGGCTCCGTGCCACAGGGGGCTATTTGTATCATTGAAAACCCTAAGGGCCAAGGATTTAGCTCAGTGGTTTCGCCGCCTGCTGCTCAAGCGCAAGGACCTGAGTTCGATCGCTGGTACCAAAACAAACAAACAAAAAACCCAGAGCTCTAGGATGTTCGCCATCATTGGCTTAGGGTCTAATAGGGAAGATGGATGATTCCTACATGGGCAAGAGTGGGCTCATGGGAGATTTTTCACGTAGATACGCATCTTTGTGAACCAGTAATGGTTTTACATTTGGGTGCAGAATCCTGTAGAAAACTCAACAGTATCAACATATTGTTTTATAACCATGTTGTATTTATTTATTTTTGTTTTTGTTTTTGGTTTTTTTGGTACCTGGGATCAAACTCGGGACCTTGTGCTTGTGAGCCGCAGCACCACTGAGCTAAATCCCTGGCCCTTCTGTAGTTTATTCATTTTTGAGACAGGGTCTCACTATGTAGTTCAAGTTGGCCTTGAACTCACAGCATCTTCCTGCCTCAGCCTCCCAAGTACTGGGATTCTAGGCATGCACCACCACGCCCAGCTGTGTTCACTTTCAGTACTTGAAAGAGTAGCAATAATTCCTGTTAAGGTTTTCTTTCATTCCTTTTTTTTATCCCTGCCTCCCCTCCCACGTTCTTTTACTGAACAGATTTTCTTTGTATTTTTGTTTTTGGTTTTTTGAGACAGTGTCTTGGTATGTAGCCCAGGCTGGCCTAAAACTCCCCGAGATCTTCTTGCCTCAGCTTCCCCCTCAGTGCTGGGGTTATAGGCATGTGCCACCATGCTGATCTGATTTTCTTTGGACAGAACCATGCCGATGGTGTCTGATTTTACCCAATGAGGTTAAGCAAATAAAGCTCCTTAACTCTTCTCTGAAATGTTGTACTTAGACAGTTTTCTTTTTTGTCATGCATAAGACCTACAATTTAATGAGTATATACATATTTTTGTTTCAAGGGAAAAGGAAACCAGCATTTTTATTTCATTTATTTTTTTTTGTTTTCACTTCATTTATTCCTTTAAAACAAGTCACTCCATACAGCATTTAGTTATTTAAAATCATACACCTCATAAATAAAATCAATTCAGCTTAATGACAATGGCAAAATCAGGAATTATACAAAATGAAATCAGATCTCTTCCAGGTAGCAGCAGTGCATTAGCTTTGAAAAAAATGATGGTAAACAAAGGAACGTTTTCAAAACCCTGTCCATCTTCATTAAGAATTTTCTTCTGCCAAGAAAAACAGCTTTGTTCTGTTTTGCTCTTCCATACTGCTTTTTGAAGTTATGTTTGAAAGCTCTAAGTTTGAGTTTTTGCTTGTGGTTTTCTTTGTTCAGGAACCTCAGCTTCTGTTGCATTACTGCTGGTACAAAAGACTATCGTTATTCTCCTTTTTGACAGGTGTTTTAAGCTGAGTTTGGATTTCTTAAAGGAAAAAATTTCTTTGCTAAGTATGTATTTCCTGTAAACAACTCAAGCACTGAATGGCAATAATGTGAACTGGACAACTGAGAATTGGGTTCTGCAGTCCTTTCAGTCAGTGATCTCCAACCCTTTTGGCACCAGTGCCGTTTCACAGAAGGCAATTTTTCTTTGGATTGGGGGAATGGAGATGGTGTTGGGGTTGATTCAAAGGAGCGTGCAACCCAGACCCCTCACATGCACGGTTCACAGAACAGGGCTCATGTTCCTAAGAGATTCTAATCTACAGCTGACCTGGCAGGAAGTGGAGCTCAGGGCAACACCCAGGAGTGGGTATAACTACAGACAATGCTTTGCTTGCATCCTCTGCTGTGAGACCCAGTTCCTAACAGGTCATGGGGTGGTACCAGTCCGTGGCCTGGGGGGCTGGGGACCCCTGCTTTAAGTTACATAAGGGTTATAATTAACTATAAACTTATTTTTGTTTGTTTGTTTGTTTCGTTTTTTGGTACCAGGGATTGAACTTGGGTCCTTGCGCTTGCAAGGCAGGCGATGGAACCACTGAGCTAAATCTCCGGCCCTTAACTATAAGCTTATAAAGTCAGACTCAAGCAATCTATTAGAAATTCTAAACTTTTCTGAGGTTAAGCTGCTTACTTTATAACATAAGTAAATCCTACTTCCACCATTCCTAAACTCCTACACGTAGGTTAGCTGTTCTAAAAACAGATATATTAAAGGGCATCACAGCAAAATGCTTATACTCATGGTCTTTAACAAGCTTTCTCACCTAAGGCCCTGTTACATTCTGTGCCAAGAAACCAAGGAAAAGGCATCAGTTGAAAATTGTTGAGAAAAGCAGTTTATGAGTAGGAATGTATCCATTCAACAATCTCTTCCTTTTTAGTGCTACTTAATTTTCCTACTCCTCCTTTCTTCTACTCTAAAATACCTCAGGAGATTATCAACCTCCTTTAAATGCGTAGAAATCAAGACACAATTCAGATCAAGGTAATGGTTTTATCCAAGTCAAATATTCAAAGCAGTGTAAACAAAACGCTAGCTTATTTTTGGGGAAGAAAAAACAGAACATTCCCACGACCAGAAGTTCTGTATTCTTTTTGTGTTGGATAAACCATGCTGAAATAGTATAATGCTTAATAAGAAAACATACTTAATTAATAAACTAGCTTATTCAAATGAAATGTTTCACTTTAGACTTAAGTTATGTTGCTTATACAGGATACATTTAAGGCCTCTGACTCAAAAATCACCTTCCTCAAAATAAGTTCATTTAGAAACAAATGAAAAAACTTTTAAGAATTTAATCTTTCAGCGATTATTACTCATCTTTGTGCTACGAGGACAAACTTGAATACTGCAATGTACAGCAAATGGTAAAAGACAATCACATTATAGGACTAAGTGACTTTTTTTTTTTTTGGTACCGGGGATCGAACTCAGGTCCTTGCCCTGGTGCAGCAGACGGCGAAACCACTGAGCTAAATCCTCAGGCCCTAAGTGACGTTTTTAATGATGGGGTCAGATTATGCTTTCAGTTGCTGAAACTGAATTCTATGGTTATCAAAACATCAAAATGTTGTACCTCTAAACACTGATGGCGAGAGCTGATTAAGAGCTGATGGTTAGCAGCTCAAGAATTGTATTTTAACGTCCTTAACAAGATTCCTAGAGGGCAAACCATGTAAGCTATTTCATATTTTTTAAAGTGCTGCAAATAAATGTCTCATCACATGAAGAACGTAATTCTTAACATATGTAAGTTTAAGAAGGCCACTTGATTTATCACAACTAAAAAAAGTCACTCTGTTGCTTAATCTTACATACTCTCCATTGTGATTTTTTTCAAAAAGACACAAAACTATTTTTAGACCAGCATTTTTATTAACAAAGTGTTCATTCTGTTATTTTGCTTTTAGTGATGATGACAGCCTCTTCACGTATGATTGCAGTGCTGCAGAAAAGAAGGCGCAAGAGAATAAAGGGTAAGATTGTGGGGAGGCACCCGCAGGGCCCAGCAGTTTGATCGATGGGACTGGGGAGCAGGAAGTAATTGTCTTGATGAATTCTTAATTTCTGTCACCTGTGGTGTGGGTCACTAAGTTCTACCTCAGGAAAGAAATTTGAAAGTAGCTTTTAAGTTAGGGACTGAGAGTATTTAGGACTTTTCCACATCATTTAGTTTCTGTCAGTAACCATCCTTGGTTCCTTGAGGTGATAATGAACATCTGAAATACACTGAAGGCAAGTGTAACTTTGGGTAATTGAAAGATAAAAGCAGACCATGCGATGATTTCATGTGGTGGTTTTCTTAAGTGTAATTGGTCTTGTGGCTCACGTCTCTTGTTTTTTTTTTTTTGGTCCTGGGGATTGAACTCAGGACCTTGTGCTTGCAAGGCAGGCAGTGGAACCACTGAGCTAAATCCCTGGCCCCTTCTCTTGTTATTTTTAATATGATTTGATCCCTGCCTGTGATCTTGGATTAGTTTTGCCCATGAAGGGTGAGTTGTATGATTTCCCAGATCTGTCGTCTAGTGCTTTGGCTTCTACCATGTTTGCTGGCATTCTCTGTTTAGTTAGGTTTTACCTTTGTGAAGCTAGAGCTGCTTTTTTGAATCTCCCAGCGTCCTCATAATGTCTTTATATTCTGGCTGCACCAACTGCTTATCCCTTTTCTGCTTCTGCCCACTACATTGACAAGTACTGGAAATCCCTGAAAGGTTACAGGAAACCTCTGCAGTAGGCTCCAGTCTCCTGCTCCGTGTATGATGCAAGCCTGAGAAAAAACTGAAAGACAGAATGAAGAGAGACAAATTGGGGAATTAGGATGGCTAGTGCTACTTTAGCAAAAGGCGCTGGCCAGTCCAAGCCACTGGGTTTTTGTTTTGTTTTGTTTTGTTTTGGTACCGGGGATTGAACTCAGTTCCCTGTGCTTGCGCAGCAAGTGGCGAAACCACTGAGCTAAATCCCTGGCCCAAGCCACTGATTTTTATTGGTCCTCAATTGGGGTAAAGGTGAACTACCTGCGAATCCTCATACAGTTTCCCTGGAAACTAATGGAGATAAGGCTTGTAAAGGAAAAGACAAAGCATTCTCAAATTAGAAACAGAATAGACAAAGTATATGGTTATAATTAGAACATTGTCTTTCATTAAGGTTTTAGTTGTGGGAACAGAATTTGGGTGTGAGTTACTCTGACCTCCACACCTAGGCTTCAGCCAGACTCACTTCTTCAGATAAGCCAACTGTGGGGACAGCTCCTCACCGCCTGCACTGCCTACAGCCTGCTTTGGGCACAATCAGTATTGCGGTCTCCTGCAGACAAGGCCGGCCATCGAGGAACAAAGCTGTCCTTCCTCAGGTGAGGCCGCACTGTTTCCTTTTCTCCTAGGGAGGACGGACAGCCCGTGGACCAGGGCACTGACACGATTCTGGCGTCCACCTTCTCCAAGTCCGGCAGCTATTTTGCTTTAACTGATGACAGTAAGCGTCTGATTCTTTTCCGTACAAAACCATGGCAATGTCTGAGTGTCAGGTATGAAATGCTAACGTTGAACCCTTAAGATGTCCTGTGCACACCTTGTACTTGCATGTTAGTAGCAGTAGTGACAGTAACCGTAGTGATAAGCAACTAACACAAGTCCCAGCTAGATGCCAGACACGGATTCCAGCACGTTGTCTGTATGAACTCACTGAATCCTCCTAGCAGCCTGTGAGCGTGGCAAGGCTGACTCGGGCCAGTCTGCTCGGTGTGGTGGGGCTGAGTGCACATCTTTCTGTGGGGGAGATCAAGGACGGGAGCCAGGTGTGGAGGGGAGGTCAGTAATGCGCTCTGGGCCTGTGTTCCTCTTACCCAGTGAAGTCCTGCAAATGCTCTGCTTTATGTATTCCTCTCCTCTTTTCTTTGTTCTTTTTTTCTAATACTGTGGGTTGAACCTGGGGCCTTGTCTTGAGCTACATCCCCAGCCTTTTTTATTTGAGACAAGGTCGTGTTTTGTTGCCCAGCCTTGCATTTGCTTACCGTCCTCCTGCCTCAGCCTCCAGAGCAGCTGGGGTTACAGGTGTGCGTCATTGTACCTGGTCAGATTTGCATTTATTTTCGCCCTGATAATCTAATGCATGTTAGCAGTGTGTGCCACGGGGTTCTGGTTCTGGTTGTTCTGTGATACTGAAGTGGACACAGCAGGATCCTGCTTCGGCCCCTCATCTTCCCCCTGAAGCTGGGTGGCTTAGCTGTTTCTGGACCATCAGAGATAAACACGGACATCACAATGCTTGAACTACCGAGGTTAAGGAATTTCACCACCTGAGCTGTGTAGACTTTTATTTCATGGTGTTTTCTAAGAGGAGGGTAAAAAGCCAAATCCCAGGTGGCATTAGAAGCTGAGGACCCGACGTCCCACTGGCACTGGGGCGCGTTTGGCAGGCGGTGTTTGAGACTCGGGGCGTGCGGCTGCTCTGTCTTCGCTCCCGAGCGGCTGTGACAGTCGGCGCCTTCCCGGCCCGGGATGTGGCGCGCTCCCGAGTGTGTGTGTGACGGGCCGGCACAGACGTGTGCCCTCACTGCCTTGTTTTTGAACCTTTATCCGCTCACCGTCCTCACTGGGAGCGGGGTTGCTGGGCGAGTGCTTCGCGTTTTTCTCCTGAGGTGGTTTTCCCTTGGGCTCCCCAGTAAGCGCCTTCACCCCTCGGCCTTCCCGGCCCCCGGCCCCGCCCAGTCCCCACACCTGCCTCGCTGTGAACGGGCTCGGCGACCTGCCTGTTTTCATAAAGGACATTAAACCCGGACAGAAAAACGTAAATGTCATCCTTATTGTGCTGGAGGTAAGACGCGTGACCAAAGCCAAAGAGGGCCGTGAAGTGAGATGGTGCACAGTGGCGGATAAAACGGGCCGCATCCCTGTTCCTTCGTGGGATGAGATCGGAGGTCTTATACAGCCTGGGGATATCATTCGGTTGACCAGAGGGTATGCGTCCATGTGGAAAGGGTGCCTGACACTTTATACTGGAAGGGGAGGTGAGCTTCAGAAAATTGGGGATCTAGGTACGGAGCAGGCATCCGCAATGGGAGCTTCCATACACTGCTACCCTGCTGAGATCTCCACCCTGGCCTGGAGGAACCGTCCTCTCTAGGGGTGTAAAGATTCTGCATGGTTTATTCAGAAGTGCCAGATTTCAGGGAGCCCAACCCAGGTTATTGAGGACAGCCGAGCAAAGGGGCCCACAGTGAACAGAAGATGAATCCCACAAATAGTAATACTGGTACAGGTACCTTTGGACGAGTGGGCAGTGGTGTTCCAGCTGGCCCTGAATCAAGGAGATACCGGTTTTCCTATACTGGTAGAAGCAGTGGCCGAGGACCTGTCAGTCCACAACTCCCAGCAGCAGCTAATAATCAAACAGTCATGACCACAGTAAGTAGTGGCAGGGACCCTCGAAGAGCCTTTAAGAGATGACCTGTGCCAAATAGTCACATGTAGTTTTTGTTTTACATCTTTAATACTGATTTAAAAGGTCTGATACTCTTCAACTAGCTCAGTGTAATCGTCACATGTAGTTTTTAAAATACGTGCCCTACTCGAACACTTATTGCACTTTAATTTATTGTTAACTGTGAAAAAAAATATGTTCTTTATTGGTTTCCTTTTTCATTTTTGTTCAAGAGTGGTTGGTTTTTATAGCAAAGATGTTAAGCTGCTCAGTATCCTAGTGAAGAATGGGAACACTCTGAAAAGTTGGGGCATTTGTTTTTTGAGTAAAATGTTACTGAATATCCTCTAAAAATTCTGCACCCATTTCAAGGGTGAGTTACTTAAAACATCAACTTTATAGCCTCTATGAGTCTGTCTTCTGTATAAATTTTGTAGTATTTGACCTTAGACTTAATGGAAATGCTCTTATGTTTTAAATCTAGATGTTACCAACTAAAGCAATAACCAGCAAAAATAGAAACAACTAAAAACCAGAAACTCAGTCAATGATAGCAATTTCTGAGTGTTTTTGACTCTAGGAGTGACTGACTTTAGTGAGTGACTACCATTAAGATTTTCCAAGGATTGGGCCGGGGATTTAGCTCAGTGGTTTCACTGCCTGCTATGCAAGCACAAGGACCTGAGTTTGATCCCCAGTACTAAAAAGAAGATTTTCCAAGGACTGAATCATCCTAAATTCTTGCTTATTACCAGAAAACAGATTCTCTATCAGAATTATGAAATAGAATGTGATCTGTACTATAACAAATAATTTTTAGAAGAAAGCTACAGTTGCTTTAATATTCATTAACTTAGATTCCATTGAAGAGAAATTACAAACTAAGACCTTGAATATTTTCGAGACTACCATATATAATTGTATAATTTGAGAACATCATAAAGTCAATAAACATTTACCTAATTCTAAAAAATGACTGGTAGATAAACATTATAGTGAAGGTGATTCAAGTTGAATTCATATAATACTAATATTCAGTCTCAAGTTACAAACCCTAAGTACTTAGAGGGACTCAGCCTGAAGTGAAACCCTTGGTACCTCCTTTATCTAAGAGGGTCATGTGTGTGCTGTCAGTTTCTGAACACAATTCGAGAGCCTTATTAGCAAAAGTTAAATGACTCAAATCATTATAGCTTTATTCAGAAATGTTTAGTTGGAATTAATGTGTCATAAATGGTAACCACTTTTACTCTTTACTGTAGGGTGGCTAACTCGTAAACTTTGTTAGAATTCACCTCTTTTTAAATATCTCTTGAATAAAATTTGCGTTCATATTAAAAAAAAAAAAAAAAAAAAAGAAGCAAGAGGACCGGTGCTGCCCTCTTCCAGTCAGAGTCGAAGTAAAGTCTCATGGCGTTGCTTCTGTCTTTGGCATGAGTCTGTTCTTGGGTATTAGATGGGTGAAAGATGCACATGGTGGGGAAACCACAGGACAAATCAAGGATGTGCAGTGACACCCCAGACTCCTCCTCATGGGCCTGAGCTAGTAGGAGAGTGACTTAAAGTGTGTCACCATGTGTCTGATGATGCGAAAGCACTGTGTCCACCTGTCCACAGTGAGCTCACGTCATCCTGACCTTCAGAGGCCTAGAAGGCATCCTCTCGCCAAGGTAGCTGACGCACTGGTGCGTCAGGTGGGATGTGGACCAGGTGAAGTCTCTTTAGGACCAGAGGTGAATCCGGCAAGGCGGCCTTGGGGTTTCTGACCCGAGTCCCCCACCGGACCCCTGCAGGCTGGACATCCGAGGTCCGCTGCTGCAGTGTCTGTGTGCGATGCTGTCAGACTGGTCCTGGCCCCGTCCGGTCTGTGCCGGCTCTGTAAAGGTCCTCCCGAAGCACGGTGAACCTGTGAGTTTGGGGAGGGTGGGGCGCTGTTCAGTTTGTAACAGTTACTCCTGCCTTCCTGACAGTGGTTGCTAAGGTTTTTTTCGAGGCTCCATCAGATTCTAAGGTCAAATGATCTGAAGGAATCTGGTGGGAATTTGTCTGCTGAGGTGGCTGAGGTGCACAGGCGCCTGGTCACCTGTGACCCCAGGCTTAGTCGCTCAGCGTGCGCTGGCGCTGGTGGTAGGCGATTTACTGACTCTAGGGCTCCTGCTGGCTGGGCACGGGCTCCACTGCCGAGCTCTGCCACTGCCTGAGACCTGTGATTTTGTTGTGCTGCGTTTTGGTGCTGCCAGACTTGAGGCCGCGCTAGGGGCAGCCAGGCACAGCTAGGCACAGGCCTCTCTGGCAGAACTGTGAATGTGCCGCAGACCTCTCTGACTGGCCTTCGGGCCTGGGCAGGGATCCTACGGGAGAGGAGGCCTGGACTGGAGGTTGCTTTGGAGGAGAGCTAAAGGGAGGCGGATGTGGCCTGGGAAGAGGGGGTGGATCTCAGCACAGGCCATAGACCGGTGAGGGGCAGGGGCAGGGGCTGCAGTGCCGTGTGATTTTGTTAACTATCCCCGTCTCTCGTATATTCTGTTTTGCCATTTCCAAAAGCACTGCAGTGAATGTTCACACATGGATGTGACATTTCCCATCTGTGCGTGGACCTGTAGGAGAGACCCCTCCGGATGCAATACCAGTCACATTGGTAATTGGGGTAGGTCGTGAGTAGCTGTCCTTTCAGAGTACAAAGTGCCTCTTGGGGCTGGGATGTGGGTCAGACAGAGCTCTCCCTGGTACGCACGCGGCCCTGGGTTCAATCTCCAGGGCTGCAAACATGACAGGAATAAAATTGGAAAGTGCCTCTTTCTCCTCGTAGACCACCTCATCAAAGTCTTATGAAATCTTACACTCTTAGGCGTCTGATGGAAGAAAAATAGTATCTCATACTTCTCTTTTTATGAATGAGGCTGGCCAACTTTGTCTATTTTTTTTTGGTACTGGGGATCGAACTTGAGACTTTGCACTTGCGAGGCAGGTGGTGGAACCACTGAGCTAAATCCCCAGCCCAACTTTGTCTATACTTAAGAGTCATTTGTATTTTGTGAGCTTTTGTTGCATTTCTTTTTTCAGTTGGAGGTGGTTTCTCTTTTTTACTGATTTCAAGGGCCCCTTTGTATTGGTGCATTTCTCAGCTTTCTGTCACAGTAACTGTGTCAGAGAAGCACCGTCCTGGCTCACAGTTTCAGAGTCCCTGGGCAGCTGCCACCATTGCTTTTGGGTCAGTGCTGAGCCAGGGCATCTTGGCAGGAGTGTGTAGTGGAGCTCAGCTGCTGGTTCTGTGGCAGCCAGGAAGCAGAGAGGAGGGGCCAGGGCTCCAGGGCCCCTTCAGGGGCATCTGGTGACCCGGTTATCCTGCTGGGCTCCATCTCTGTAGGGTCCCGCCACCACCCTGTTGCATTGCACCACAAGCTGGGGACCAGACCTTCTGAGCATGGCCTTGGGGACATTTATGACCCAGACGGACAGGTGTGTGATTCGCATGCTGAGCCGCGGTTCAGGCCTTGTGGGACCTTATAGCCAAGGTTCTCTCTGAGCGTTGGTAAATGAGTAAGTTAGGTCATGAAGCCAAGTCCTCAGTTGGGTCTGTCCTGGAGGACAGGGAGTCCCACCACATCGATTTTCCCATTTTTCTCCTTTGATTTTGGTTGATACAGAAAATTGAAAATCGCAGAGAACTATAAACTGAGACCCAGAAAAGTACCCTGGGTCTCCCCACCCAGTGAGCCTGGTCACGGGCACAGGGTGTGGCCCCCGGGGTTCGCGCATTGTCACGTGTGTGCAGGTTGCTCTGTGTGCTCTGCGTGCAGCAGTGTGTCCTGTGTCCCCCCACACCGTGTCACCCTTGCTGTGGGAAAGTTAGGTTGTTGCCGGTGTCCTGGTGAACCTGTTTCTGGCACCTCTTTCTCCGCTCTGTCTGGAAATTTGCCCAGGGGTGTGTGCGCTGGAGGCAGCAGTCCCCAGGTTCCCCTCCCTTCTGACTCCAGCTGCAGGTTCGGGGTCCCAGGGCCCCTCGGGTTCACCAGTTCACAAGAAGGACTTGCGGAACTCACCCAGGACGGTGAAGAGACACAGATCTGCCCTCCAGGAAGGGGATGCCTGGGCAGTGTCCAGGAGCGCCCCACATCGTGGATCACCTTGTTAGACTGTGCAGCGGGCCCGGGCCTTATTTTCCCTAGAGCCCACCTCCAGGTGATGAGGCCCGAGGCAAGGTCTGTACGCTGCCCCTCGGAGGTGTGCCCATGCGGAGAGCTGGTGGCAGAGGTGGCCGGGCCCACGCTCGTCCTGCTCTTCAGGTGTCACGTGGTCATGAGGCCTGTCACGGTGAGCAGTGTGGGGGAGTCCCAGCTGGCAGGGCAGTGTTGCGTTGTGTCAGCATGGGCGTGCTGCTCACTCTGAACTTGAGTGGGGCGTGAGCAGCCAGCCTGCCCCCGTTGCCCCTGCACCTCAGCGGGCAGCCAGCGCCCGGCACTCTGTGGGCTCTGACTGCCCTCCAAGAGATCTGGTCCGTGCCCCCGCGTCCAGCATGGTCTGATGGCAGAGGACAGAAAGGCTCGAGAGCTGGGTGCCTCCATAGGTCGTCAGGCTTGTCAGATGGCATCACTTAGGGGCAGCACTCCGCGGGTGCCACCCAGGCCTGTGGGCTGTGCAGACCCTGGGCTGTGTACGAACTCGCCCGTCCCTCATCCTGCTCATGGGGCCAACCTGGGCGGTGCTGTGTCTTTCGAAAGCATCGTGTGGTAATGAAACTCAGGCTGGGCAGAGTGGAAAGGTGGCAGAGAACAGTGGCTGGTGCTGGGCAGTTTTTCCCTTTAGCTGTTTGCTTTTGGATTTTATGTTTTGTCTTTTATTTGGCAGTGCTGGGGATTGAACCCAGGGCCCTGGCTATCCTAGGACACACTCTGCCACGCAGCCACATCCCCAGCCTTCTGTCTGGGTTTTAAGTGGACCCCAGCCAGGTAACTGTAGGACACATTCACATCAAGTGCGATGTCACGGCCCAGCCCGGAAATCCGAGGACGGTATCCTGGTCTGCGGTGGGTGTGGCAGCACCAGCGCTGGTGGGGCTGATGAACCCGGCCTTGCTCTGTGCTGCTGCTCGGCCGCCTTTGGGCTTGGGGGTCTCCTCTTCCTCCGTGGTCTCCCTGAGCGCAGCCGCAGGTGTGTCACTTCCTTGTCCTCTGGATGAAACTCCAGGGCAGTAGGTGCCTGTGCTAGCACCTTCCTCCTCAGCTCTTGGCAGTTCCTCAAGTCTCTCCCTTTCCGTCCACTGAAAACCCAGTGTGGCTGGAGTGCAGCTCCTACCCTTCTCTCTCGTGGAGAGTCTCGTCAGGGGGGTTTGGGCCTAGAGGAACGATGGTGCAGGAGAGAGGGGAGGCATTAGTCTGGTCGGGATGCGGGAGCTGCTTGTGTGGATGGTCAGGTGGGTGGGAGTGGATATATCCATGTGAGTGTGCAGTGGGCAGGGTGCCGGGTGGCCAGGGGTGGTCACCATGGGGGCTGCCATGTGCCTCATCTGTCTACCTACTGGGGGTCCAGACCTTTGGGGATCTGTTCGGCCTTCTCCAGGACCCACCTGCTATGTGGCTCCACTTCAGGGGTTGCGTGTGCCCACGGTTGGTGTTACTCAGAGGACCAGGGCATTGTGCTGCCTAGGACTCCCTTGAGCTGGGAGCAGAGCCCTGCTCTGTCCAGTGAGTGTTTGCAGTATGCTACCACTTTCTGTCCTAACTTTGGGAGTTCTGAGGCACAGCCACGATGGAGGTGTGACTGACAGTTGCTTTCCAGTGTGGCAGTTTGGAGCAACGAGGCCAGGGCAGTCAGGAGACCCTGGTCTCCCTTGGAACTGAGATCAGGGTCCCCAGACCAAAGAAGAGGACGCAGGGTGGTCAATGATACCTTCATATTTGCTGTGTGCTCTTGGGAGGGCGTGATCTTACCTGTGAAGTCGCTCATAGGAGAGCAGTAGGGCACCCAGAAGACGGAGCCCGGAAGTCAGAGCTGGGTTTGGTCTGAGTCCAGCTGCTGGGTGCAGGAGTTTGGGAGCTGGGCCAGCATACGAGTGGCACCCGACACCCTCAGTGCCCTGGCCCCGCTCAGCAGGGTGGCTGTAGTGGGCCGGCCCTCGGGTGGGGAACAGCCCTTGTTCCTCTGTCCTGTGGGGCGGTGGCCATGAGCCTAGCACCTCAGTGGCGGAAGGGTAGCACTGATCCCAAGGTCTGAGGTTGAGTGGGGCCCTGCCTCCGCCTCTGGGGGCTTTCGGCCTCCACACTGTGCAGCCTGATGACCTGCCCACCCTGCACCCTGACCCCCTTATGCCCTGATGCCACACCCACTGCACCCTGGCTTCCGCCGGGGACGAATTTAATCTGAGGAGCTGGCCTCTCCCAGCTGGTACAAGACAGGGTGAGATGAGGGTGCCAGCTGTGCAGGGCCCGGGGGCAGTGGGTAGGCTCCTGTGCCACACACACCGTGTCCCGGGGCAGCAGCCCCTTCCGGCCTCCACAGTGTTTGCTCTGCTGTGAAGTCAGCCCGTTTGCTGCATCGCTGGCCAAGCATGGCTGCTTGCAAATCCTGATCAGCCCTGCCCGGAGCCTGTTGTCTTTCTGTTGTCACTGTTTCCTCTGCATCTGCTCCATGGCTCTCCCACCTGCGGCTGGAGCAGGAGGAGGAAGGGAGGAGCGGTCCCCGAGGTCCAGCTGCTGTGGCAGAGATGTGATGTGGCCGCCTCCAGGCCGTCGCTTTGCTCTGCTGTCCTCTGTCTGCCTGGGTCCTGTGTTGGCCACGCACTTCTTCCAGCGTAGGCACCGACTTGGGCTGACGTCTGGCAGTCCAGCCAGTGAGCTGCTCGGTGTCAGCTGCCCCTCCTTGGGTGGGAAAGAGAGCAGGGTGGCTGCTCTGTGTAAGTAGGGGGCCAGTGTCAAAGTGTGCACACCAGGCAGTGTTTGGAGGAGCGTCCAGGTAAAATGAGACATGCAGGCATAAAACCTGCCCACGAGCGTAGCATCCCACACTCTGAACAGTGACCGAGAGCCGGTGGGGGTCCCGGCTGGTTCCCGAGGGCCACAGCAGCTTTGTTGCTTACTGAGCCAGTGTGTAGACGTGGAGGCCTTGGACCCCGGGTCAGGGACCTGGTGAGGGTGGGAGTCCCTGCTGGCCTTGCTGTTCCTTCTCCTCCCAGGCACGGGCAGGAGCCCCTGGCCCCATGTGCGGCATTCCTGGTGCCACGTGGTGGAGCTGGCGGAACTCTCTCCCACCCCCTGGCCTCCTGGCAACCTCTCGCGTCCCTGAGGGTGGCCCAGCACATGCAGTGTCTGTGAAGCTGTCCCTCGTCCACTCTCAGACGCACCGCAGAGCTTCCGGGGTCGGGGTCGGGGCCGTGTCCTGCGTGCCATGATAGCGGGCTCCAGCGTGCCGCAGAGCCGGCAGACCTGCATCAGACACTCATGCACAGCCAGACCCCAGCACTCGACTGCTTTGGAACTCTTGGAGCTGGGTACTGGATGAGTCTTGATGCATTCGTCTCGTCCCAGTAGTTGTCATTTGGTGCTTGATGCCTGTGCTAGAATTTGTCGTGTCGCTGCCTTGTGACCCTCTGCAGCGGAAACGGTTTGTTTGTACTCCTGGGACCAGGTAACGACCAGTGCCACTGGGGCACGCTTGGCGTCACGTGATCACTTTTGGTGCCATCGCCCGTAGCTGGAAGAGAGAGGTGCTGACCTGCACCAAACCCACTCATGGAGCCCCCGGCCCGGCCTCGCCCGCCCCAACGTGCTGGGCAGAGCACGCACAGAGCCCACTTCGCGGTGAGGCGTGGACTCCCAAGCAGCCGCTGAGTCTGTCGGGAGTGAGGGACAGCAGCTGCAGTGCCCTCTTGCCGTCAGGACATCGATGTCGGAGGCGGGGCCTTCTGGGGCTCAAGGGCTGTGGAGGACCCGTGTCACCCCGACACTGACGGGACATCTCTGGCCCTGCAGGCCCGTGGTGAGGCGGTGCACGGCCCTGACCTTCACGGCCTCTGAGGAGAGGGTGCTGGTGGCCGACAAGTCTGGAGACGTCTACTCCTTCTCGGTGCTGGGGCCGCACGCCTGTGGCAGGCTGGAGCTCGGGCACCTGTCCATGCTGCTGGACGTGGTATGTGGGGGACACCCTCGTGGGCCAGCAGAGGCCGGGCAGGTGCAGGGCTCTTCTGGAGCAGGAGTGCGGGCACGCAGCTGGGGCAAGGCTGGTGGGTGGCAGGTGCGGGAGGACGAGTCGGGAGGCCTCGGGGTTCTGTACCTGGTGGGCAGCTGCACTGGGGCGGGGACCACAGGGCGGAGCAGGCCTGAGCCGGCCTGAGCCTGTGCTGTCCCCAGGGCCGTCCTCATCAGTCCTGCCCACACCCAGCCCTGTGGCGTCACAGGCATACGGCCACAGCACCCAAAGCCCAGTGAGGCTGAGGTCTGGAGCCGCAGTGCAGGCTCGGGGCGGACCCCTGTGGGGACAGTGGGGAGGAGATGGAGGGACACACACCAGAGCTCGGTGACTGCCTGGATGTGGGGCTCATGGGGGGCAGTGACCTGGTGAGGAGGGGCGGAGCGGCTCTGGCCCTCAGCTGAGCTGCAGAGTCCCGGCTGGGGACGCTCGGGAGTCACCCCAGGGCCTCAGTGTCAGCACTGCAGGGGGAGGGAAGCAGCCCTGCCTCTCTCAGGGGACTCTGGGAGGCATGGGGTGCTCCTGTATCCTGGAGAAGCCTCCGAGCTCCTTGCTTTTTCTGCCGCTGCTTCCGCAGGCGCTGAGTCCTGACGACCGCTTCGTGCTCACTGCCGACCGGGATGAGAAGATTCGTGTCAGCTGGGCCGCAGCACCCCACTGCATCGAGTCCTTCTGCCTGGGCCACACGGAGTGAGTGCAGACACGGGCCTGCCCCTGCCCTTGCTGCTGGGAGCGGGTCTTCTTGGCCAGCCGCCAGCTCCTGGTGCACAGCAGCTCTGGGGCAGGGCGGGCGATGCAGGCATTCTGCAGAGTGCGCTGTTCCCTGGCCAGAGGCTAATGACAGTGCAGAGGGGAGCAGTGCTCAGTGTGCTGCCGGGGATGTGGAAATGCTCTGACGCAGTGGAAATAGCTGGAGACTGCAGTTCCATTTCGAGCCTGCTCCTGCTTGCCGGGTTGTGTGGGATGAGTCCCCTTCAGGAAGGTTGCTGTTGCTGCCTGTGCCCCTGGTGGTCGCCTTTGAGGTGGGCTTAGTTGTTCTACCCAGCTCTGGAGCACTTGTGACCCGGAGGCCCTCCCTGGGTTTCACCGCCAAGCGTGTACTCTGTCTCAGGCCTTTGCGCATGCTGCTTCTGCTCACCAGTCCTCTTCCTGGGGACTGCCCTCCCTTGCCGCCTCAGCTTTCCCCCTGATGCTGGCTGCTCGCTTGGGGGCTTTCCGGCCACCCCTCTAGGGAAAGGCCCTGGACATTAAGTCAGGGTTTCACTGTGTAGTTCAGGCTGGCCTCAAACTGCTGGTGATCCTCCTGCCTCAGCCTCCTGAGTGCTGGGATTGCAGGTTGCACTGCCACACTGGGCCTTTTAACATGGATATATTGAACTAAGTAGAAACTGTCAAAATTTGCTACTTTTTTCACACATGTGTGCCTGTGTGTGTGTGTGTGTGTGTAGAACCCAGGACCTTCTGATTAGGAAGCACACACTGCCACTGAGCTCTGCCCTGCCCTGTAACAGGCCTGGTTCATTTCGCCTGTTTCTCTGGTTTTTCTGTGAGGCATCCAGCCCGCCTGGATCTCATCCTAGGTCACACTGGGGCCCTCGTCCCCTTGAGCCTGTGACAGCACACAGACACCCGTTCACCCTGCGCCCTGCACCCTGGCCGTTCTGAATGCAGTATCTTGCTGTGGCTGGGTCTGCACTTGGCGCTGGATTAGTCCGCTCCTTGGGGACGGCACAAACGAGTTGCAGCCGACTGTTTACTTTCAAACCCTCGGAAACTGATTTCCGCCCTTTCCTGAAGGCAGCCTGTGCCTCTGGTGTGAGTGAGCCGGGCCGCACCTGCCCTGGACGTGGTCTGCATCTTTCTCTCCCGAGGACCTGAAGTCAGAGCCCCATGCCCTGCTGGGCAGTGTGAGTGGTGGGGGCCCAGGGCACCTGGCCAGCCTGCTTGGCGCTGTGCATCAGCGATCACCCGGGGCCGCTGCGCTGAAGTTAGGGAAGCAGGTTCCTCAGCCCGGCGGTCGCCGGGGGCCTGGTAGCCCCGGGAGCTAGGCAGCTGTGTTTTCTTGGTGGCTGACACAGGCTGAGTCCAGGCGAGCTGGGCTCAGTGTAGACAGGTCCCTGCGGGTCCCCAGGGCCCTGGCGCTGGGCTGGTCTGCGTCCTGTGGTGGGGCTGCGTCCCCTCCGCTCTGTCCCCTGAGGCTCATCCAGGGGCCGATGTCCCCCACCTTCTGTGCAGGCATCGCAGGTAGGGGCAGCGAGCTCTGGGGACCTCAGCCAGCCCTGCCTTCGGTTAGAAGTCGTCTCCTTGTTGGGGTCCTTGCTGTGACATGTGTGTTGCCCCATCTGGAGCCGTCTCCCGGTCCCTGTGCAGCTCTCCCCAGTCCTGGCTGATGGTGGCCCGCGGAGGCCCCTTCCTGAGGTGGATGCTGTACCCCACAGCCGGGCTGACCCTCGCCTCTCGTCCTGCAGGTTTGTGAGCCGCATCTTGGTGGTGCCTGGCCATCCGGAGCTGCTGCTGTCCTCCTCCGGGGTGAGTGCGCTTGCTGTGTGGGGGTGGAGGCACCCTCAGGGAGCCACCCCGGTATCTGGCAGTATGCTTCCCGGTCATGCATCCCTGCTGGTCAGTGGTGTCCAGTAGGAGGTGTCTGTGTCCCGACTCTTAGAGCTGCCTGGGGCTCACTCCCTGGCCACAGCCATTCACTCAGGCTTGTGTGTGCGCACATGCGTGTGTGTATATGAGTGTGTATGCGTGGGTGTGCCTAATATGTGTGTGTGTGAGCATGTGGGGTGTGTGCTGTGTACGGGGTGCCCGTGTGCCCTGCTCTGTGAGCGCATGGACGGAGTGGGTGACCGTGTGAATAGTTGGCAGGGAGGCCCCTGCTGACCCCTGGTCTGGCGGGTGGCGCGGAGGCAGGGGACGTGTGGGGCAGCGGATCATGAGGACGCTTCCCGGCCACAGAGGTTGGGTCTGGAGGCCTTGGCCCCAGTAGTTGGGGACTCCTCTGAGGACGGTTGTAGGGCTGTCTCCATTCTGCTCAGAGCCTAGCCCCGGCCCCTTGTCTTCTGTGGCTGTGGCCTGGGGTGGTGGTGCCTGGATGCTGCTGCTGACTGCACCCGGCTGTGCCTCCCTGGCTCCAGCCCTGGCAGCTCCCTGCTTCCTTGAGCTCAGTCTCCTGCCCCTCAGCACTGTGCCCCACGTGGACGTAGCGTGGACGTAGCGGGAAGGAAGCGGTGTGGCGGGGTCCCTGGGCCGCTCCCTCACCGGGCACAGAGCAGACTCCCAAGGCCCTGTCTCTACAGGGACCGCCTCGTTTGGGTGGCTCCCGTGTCTTCCGGTAGCTTTTCAGGAGGTACAGAGAGCGCCTGGTCTTTGGGCCTTCTCTTTCTGGAAATCCCTTTAATCTACCCTAGATTCCAGGTCATCAGTTTGCGGCTGTTTTGTTCTGATTTTGTGGGCCTCATGCGTGCAGGCAAGTGCTTGGCCCCGAGCTCACCCTAGCCCCTGGTGTGGTCCTGACAGTATCCCCTGCTGTTTCCTCTACCTGGTTTTCGTTTGCTCTGTCCTCCACCCTCCTGTCAGGTCCTCCCTTGGCATGGGATCTTCGAATGTAGCTGGAGATGTTCGGGGTCTCCTCTCCCCCTCCCCTGCTGCACACTGAGGCTGTTGGGGACCCTGGGAGTCTGGACATGTTGCTGGTGGCTCTGCCCTGGGTCCTCAGAGGCCTCTGTCCTGGGGAACTTTTCTTCCCTTGCTTGCTGCACTTCCTGCTACTTTTTCTAGAGCTTGATCAGTCTGTTACTGAATTGCTTTAACTCTGATTTTCTCGTGCTCCATTTCCTTATATTTTCACTCTGTGTACTGCTTCTTGGGAGATTGCCTCAACTTTATCTTCCAGCTTTCTGTGGGTTTTAATTTTATTGAGTGATTTAAGCACAGCGCTGTTGTTAACCTAAGCACTTCGTCACAAGCTCAGGGGGGTTCTTGTTCTTGGGAGCTGGGGCTCAGGCCTCCCACCTCCTCCTGATGGTTTCCTTGCCCGCTTTTGTCTCTTCTGTGACCAAGACGAGGCCAGCTTTTCCCCCGGGCATTTACGATGCCCTTGGCCCATGCACTCTCTTAGGCTCAGGCAGAAGCAAGTCTTGGAGGCGGCTGTGGGCCTGGTGCACCCGCTTAGCAAGGGCTCGTCCTTTGCCCCGGGGACACCCACTGTTCCACTCTGTGTGTGCAGGTTCATTAAGCAGCACTGGAACGATCATTGTCCCACACTTGGAATTATGTCTGGTGCATCAAGCGAGGCCCAAGTACCTGTGGTGGTTTCTTGAATCTCCGACATTCTGGCTGTTGGCAAAGCGACTTGCTGTGGTCACCCATTCTTAACCAGTGCAGTGGCACAAATGCCACACGCTCATCGGCCCTGCACCTTTCTCCCCGTGCGAGTGCATGATTGTTGAGGTATCTGTGTGTGTGCACGCGTGCGAGTGCTTATAGCATTTCTCCTCATGCACACGCTATGACCACTGAAGTATGTGAACATCTGTGTGTGCACTTTGACCTCCTAGCGCGTGACAGTCTGGCTGCCTTGGATCCTGTGTTTATTTTGCTGTGGAGTTGTCTGTTTTCTGGACGTTTTGTGTCTTCATGAGAGCCTTACATTCATGGTGGTGGCATGGCTGTCAACTGGGGTAACTTCTGGTGACCAGACCTGGCCACCATCGGTGTCCTGTACCTCTTGTCCCAGGTGCCTTCCTGCCTCTGGGGCCCCTGAGGCCCCATGTGCTAACCTATCTCTCTGTGCAGGACTGCACCCTGAGGCTCTGGGACTACCCCAGCGGCCGCCAGCTGCAATGCTGTGACCTGGCCAGTCTGCAGGAGCCAGCGGAGCCCTGGGGCCACAAGGTAGCCACACACTGCTCGGGCCCCGGGGCTCGAAGGACGCCTCTCTGGGTGCCTCTCTGGGTGCTTGGGTGTGGGGAAACTATGTAGCCATCCGAAACACTTCTTGGCTGTCAGTGTAGATGTCTAGCTTGGGAGAAAAGTGCACAGTTCTCATGTTCAGAAGGTGCCTGGTAACACAGGCTGGAAGTAATTTATACCTGGCCTTATTTGCATTTCCACATCTAGTTTACAGAAAGGCCTCGAATTCCACTTGGAAGCGGGAAAAATGATGGTGTTTGTTTAGCAGCCAACAAAACCCAGGCATGGGCTTTGTCAGCAGGCGGGGACAGGGCCACCCAGCCTGCTGTGTCCCGTGGCCTGCATCCTTTCCTCTGCAGGCCGGCAGGGAATACAGCAAGTGCTGGGCCTCTCCTTCCATGCTTTGAGGCACGGGACCGCCAAGGGCTTCCTTCCTTTGAAACAGCGCAGCCGTGTCTGGCGTCATCATCCCTGCGTGCCCCTCTGTGTCCCATGTGCTCCACCTGCCCTGCCTTTTGAGGCACTGCCAGGCCCTGGAGGGTGGCTGGGGTCACAGGCTCTGCTCTCTGCCTCAGTGTGGTGGGGTGGGGTGACAGCCACTGTCCCCCTCCCCTGCCCTGCTCGCTGATCGCCTGTGGGCCACCTGCTCTCTGTGACGGGCACAGGCAGTGCCAGCGAGCAGCTGCGTTTCCCTGCAGAGGTTTGCCGTGTCCCGGATCGCGTTCTGGGCCCAGGAGAGCTGTGTGGCACTTCTGTGTGACTGGTGAGCCTGGGCTGGGGCGCTGTGGGTCCTGTGCAACCCGGCCTTCTGTGGTGATCACGCCCAGTGCCTCCCCGGGAGGGCAGGGTTGGGGCTGCCTGAGGGCTGTGCCGTCCTCCCGCGGGCTCCGTCGCTGTGGTGATCGTCCTCTCTCTCCTGGGAAGCCTTCCGGTGGTCTTCGTGTTCCAGTTCATTGTCTGCCAACGGCAGCTGGCGTTCAGACAGCAGCTGAGGTTCCCGAAGCGAGTGTGGGACATCGCGTTTGAGGAGGCGCAGGGGCTGTGGGTCCTGCAGGACTGTCGTGAGGCCCCCCTGGTGCTCTGGAGGCCCACGGGCGGACAGTGGCAGGTGAGGCAGGCAGAGGCCTGCCGTCCTGGGCCTGGGCTTGGGGTGGCAGCTGAGGTGTTCTTGCTCCCTGAACCCCCTTCAGCCTGAAGGCGTCTGCTCCCAGGGCTCTGACCCAGGGGCGGTGGCCGGCGTGGAGAGAGCTGGGGCCGACCTGTCCCTGCACTGCTCCTTCAGTGGTCCTTCCTGGGACGCCCCGTCTGCCCCACAGTCTGCACGGTGAGGCGGCACTGTGTGGGGCAGGGGTGTGCCCTTCACGCGGACAGGCTCAGTGGCTTGGCCGTGTGCCTGGGGCCTGGAGGGGCTCTGGGAGCACGAGAACCCCACTGACGTGGGAATGTCTCTGCCTGTCTCATGGGGTCACAGTGGGTCGGGCAAGCATATGGACTTGAGTCCCTTACGAGAGTCCCCTGCCGTGCGCCTTGGTGCCCCCAAACCCTCAGGTCTTCCTCTGGGTGGAGAGGCCTTGGAGGCAGGCACTTCTGGAGTCTGCTGCCTCTGATCCAGCTTCCCTCGTCACCTCCAGCCTGTTCCTGACAGCGCTGTGTCCCAGAGGCTCTGCGGCCATCTCCGAGGGAGCTGGGCCATGTTGGAAGGTGAGATGGGAGCCCCGGGCGCTTGTGAGGCCTGGGGACCAAGCGGACCACAGGCAGGGACTTCAGTGGGAAGCGTCACGTAAGGGAAGGGGCTCTGTGGCCCTGAGGGTGGGGACGGGGCCTCGGGTCACTCAGCCAGGTCGAGGCCTGGTCGCCTGGCTGGGGTGGCTGCCCGTGAGGTGGCCCGACAGTGTTGTGGACAGGATGCAGCAAGCCCTCCCATCAGCCCACCGGTCAGGGCCACAGACGCTCACCAGGCAGCTGCAGGGTCTGTCCCCTCACGCCCTGCTGGCAGAGACTGAGGTGGTGATGGCCACAGGGCATCAGCCAGGCATCCCTTGAGGTAAAGACGTTGCCACTAGGAAGAGATCTCGGGAAGCCAGGCTCTACTGCTGTTAGAAGCTGGGGCTCCTGGAGTCACGAGGATTTGAACTTACGCTTGGTTTCCAAGCTCCCGGCCAGGGCGGTTGGGTGTCCTCTGAGAGGTGCGGAGGGTGCAGCACCAGCTGCAGCCCCTTCACGGTGGCCGAGTGGCCGCACCGGACCCCAGGTGCAGCTCTCGATGCCCAGCACCAGCCCCCGATTCCAAGACACCCAAAGATGAAGTGCCCGTGTGCAGTGTGGGAAGGCAGGAGGAGGGCTGCTGCCACGTGGCCAGCCCGGGAAGTGGCCGAGCTGCGGGGACAGCGGTGGGGACCAGGACAGTTCTGTGACCGGCCGAGGCTGTCTCTGGGCTGTGCCTAGCGCTTGCCCCTCGGGCTGACCGTAAGGCCCGCAGCTGTCACCAACTGCTGCTGCACGTGACCAGCCCGCCATTCTGTGGTCGGAGTCTGGGCACAGCTCTGCTGTCCTGGGGCAGTCCTCCCTGCCCTGGCTGGTGGGGAGAATTCAGGTTCTCCCGCCTGGTGCAGGATCCCCAACAGGTGGGCTCTGAGAGCACGCAGGGTGCCCACAGGTGGCAGCCACTCCTTTGTTCTTGGGTTTCCCACTCCCGCCCCTGCCCTTTGGCCACAGTCTGATCACAGGTCTGGGGCCAGCCAGTGTCACAGGAGTGTCCCTGGGGTCCCTTCTGAGTCCATGTGGGATGCTGGGCTGTCACCGCGCTCCCGCCCCATCCTGGGAGGGCCTCTTGGGAGTTCGGAGTCTGGGCTCTAACGTCGCTGTCCTGCCTGGCACCTGTTCTTGTCCCCATTGCAGGCTCTGGCACTGTGGAGGACGGCTTCCGGGGTCTCTACAAGGCCACCTTCGACAACATGAGCTCCTACCTGAAGAGGAAGGAGGAGCGGCTGCAGCAGCAGCAGGAGAGGAAGCGCTGGCAGAGCCCTCCACCGGGGGGCCGGGGACAGAACAAAAAGACGCGGGCCGGGCGGGCAGCCTTGGGGTGCTGACCTTCGCCCTAGGGGCAGCTCTTGGCTTTCCTTGTCCCTGCTGGCCAGCATCTCTTGGGGAGAGGGCAGCCTGAGGCCCCATCAGCTCAGCCCTGGTGTCTGACTCTGGGGCCTGAGCAGGCCTTTGCCTGTGTCGGCCCTTCCGGTGGGCAGGGGCCCTGAGCACTTTCCTTCACGTTGGGGTGCTGGTGCTCACCCCACTGGCTGTTTCCCCCACGCCCCCCTGCTGTCCGTGCCCACCATCCTCGCCAGATGCAGCTTCCTCTGCGGAAACCTGCAGGCTCCACCACGTGTTTAGGCCGTTACGTTGCCTCCTGGGGCAGCGCTGTGTGTGTCTGCGGGGGCAGCCACTCACCCTGCAGCCACCAATCTGGAGCGCAGCTGATCCGTCGCTCTGTGGCTCCACATGGTTCCCGTGCTCAGTAGCCGCTCATGGCGACTGGCTACATTGTGACCGGCTGCGTCTGGGCCACGCAGAAGCGTTCTGTTCACCTCCGGGGCCTGGGAGGGTGCCTGTGCAGGGGGGGGCCTTTGCTGTGGGGCCTGGGCCTCGCTTCTCGGTGGGCATGGTTGGTGATGCTGCTCTCAGCTTTCCAGGTCTGACTTTGCTCCATGCACACCGCAGGGCAGGGAGCGTTCCCTTCTCGGAGTGCAGATGCAGCCGGGATCCTGTCTCCAGCTCCTTGGCACATACGCTGTGGGCAGAGCGTGGCTGCCGCTGGTGATTCCCAGAGCCAAGTTTTGCCGGCTGTTCCTGTCTCGGCGCTGCACAGTCCTGTGTCAGTGACATCATGGCTGCAGCTGCTGCGCCTCGTTCCTAAGTGCCTCATTTGCCAACACCATCAGGGTGGAGGGGCCCCGCCCTCTGGACCGGGAACTGGGTTCACTCACCCCATGCGCACCTGCACAGTACTGTCCTCAGTCATCAGCCATCCTTGGCTTTAGGAGAAATCCAGGCCTGGTCTGTCGGTGTCTTGACTCAGTGTGGGGCTCTGAGGGCTGGGGAGGTGGTGCGGGGGTGGCCTGCTGGGTGCCTGGCCCCACACACAGCACACATGCTTGGAGCTGCAAGCTGGAGCTGCGGGCCAGATCCTCCCTGCTCCCTATGTGAGCCAGGAACGATTTTGGGGTTTTAAAAACAAAAGGAAAAGTAGCTGGGGATTTCCGTTGCCCTGCCGTGCAAGTGCAAGGTCCCGAGTTCGATCTCCAGTACCCAAAACAAAAAAAACAAAAGGAAAAGTAATGTTTCACGATGGGAAAGTCATGTTCAGCCCTTAGGGTCCGGGAATACCGTACACTCCTGGGGCACAGCTGCTCTGCTCTGTGCTAGGACCGCAGGAGCAGGGTGACAAACCCAGAGGCTGCCGGACCCATAGTATTCAGTGTATGCCCTTCATACTGGCCCTTCTTGAGATCCCTTTTAAATTACATATTTTTACTCAGGAGGCTGAAGCAGGAGGATCACTGCAGGTTTGAGGCCAGCCTGAACTATGCAGTGAGACCCTGCCTCAAAAGAAAAAAAATTGAGTGGTTACTTTTTTTAGAAAAGGCTGTTCTCGTGCCCCTTGGACCCTGGGCCTCCGCCTTGGTCCTTTGTCTTGTGTTTGCTTGGCCAGGCCCAGTGCATGGCTCTGAGACCTGGCCCTCAGCCCAGGCCACCTTGGGGCCCTCAGTTTGGACCAGGAGGCGCCGCTGTGGCCCCGGGGCCCAACACAGGGCGCTCCTCGTGGTGTCCAGCTGGGAGGCTCTGAGCCACAGCTACACAGCCGTGCAGGGGAGTCACTGCGTCCCCAGAGGGGAGGTTGGGACCCGGGGACCACAGTGGCACCAGCACCTCACGCCTCAGCCTTCCCTCTGTGCTCCAGCCTCAGCGGCCGCAGGGCCAGGCCTGGCTTCCTGCCCCTCAGCATCCTGCAGGACCCTAGTGCTGGAGCTGAGAGTGGGCTTTGTTCCTGCCTGCGGCCCTGGTGTCCCAGGAATTTCATCTACAGTAGGTTGACGTGAATGTGGCCTGTCTGTGTTTCAAGGGTTTGTAGCTCTTGGCCCCGTCTCTGATGCAGCACCCCAGTCCCTTCGCTCTGACCCGGTGTTGCTGCACTGCAGACCCGGACGGAACAGTGTCCTGTTCACCAGTCTCTGTCGGCCTCTCACCTCTCCCAGGAAGCCCAGGAAGCTTCTGCCTGGTTATGCGCGTAGATTTTATCTATCTTAGCTAAATGCCTACTTTCTGTTCCCTTTTATTTTCCTTTTTGGGACATTCCTTGGGTTTTGTTTTACCTCTTACTGATTAAAAGAAGTCTGGCTATCATGCTTAGTTCCTGGAGCCTCTTCACTTTTCCTTTGTACTGCAGTGTGTAGTTTGCCAGCACACATGGGATGTGTGTGTAACACCGCGAGCTGAGGACCTCCCTGGGTCCCCTCCAAGGCTGATGGCCGCCTGGCCTTCCCCGACCTGCTCACCTCTGGTGTGCTGGCTTCCATTGCTCAGCCCTCTGTGAGGCCCGCTCGGTGCTGGGCTGTGGTGCGTTCCCTCTGGTGCTGCCCTAACTTCCATCGAGGGGAAGTCGCACTAAGTCCTGTCAGAGGGCATCGGGATAGTTCCCAGGTTCAGCCAGCAGGACCAGGCTGTCATCAGCTGTCCCGTTGCTGGGACATGATACTCGACAGCTTACAGGAAGAGCAGTCTACTTGGCTCACGGTTTCAGAAGTACGGCCCATGGGCAGCTCACAAGCAGACAGCATGGAGGAGGGTCTGGCCTGGGGGACAGCTGCCCTTGGGTGACGCCCCCAGTGGCCGCCTCTGCAGCAGGCCCCAACTCAGCACACTCGGCTGCTGACTCCTAACGTCCTGTGAAGTGAGTGACATGCCCTTGTGATCAGTCACCTTCCAGACACACGGGGCTTTGGGCAGCCCCAGATCCAGGCCATCACAGTCGTGAACACCAGTACCTGTCACGGGACGTGTGTTGGCATCGCTGTGCAGCTGTCCATTGGTGTCCGGGGAGATTTCGGCCAAGGCCCTCCAAACCAGCTTCTTTGTGTCTCACCTCCGCACGTTCTGTGTGTGCTTTAAACCCTCAAGATGACTGGTGATGGCTCATACAGTAAATGCTGCACAAGTCACTGTCACACTATCACTTAGGGAACAGTGGTGAAGGGAGAAGACTCTGTTACAGGCAAGATTCTTTTCCCCCTGAATAATTCCCAACCACGTCGGCTGAATCTGAACGCAGAGCCTGTGGATGCGGAGGGCCGACCCGACCGTACGGAGGAGGAGTTGCTGGCCTCTGGGGTGCATGTGTGTCCCTGGTGAGCTCGGCCCTGGAATGATGCAGAACGTGGAATCAGATTGTGATGTTCCGTGGCAGCTCGGGAGGTCCGAAGCTTGAGTAACGTGCACGTTATCGCAAAAGCACGAACTGGGAGTTAGGGACTGGTGTGGAGCAGTAGCATCTGCACCTGAACTTCATCTCTGCCAGTCACCCCTGTGTGGATTTCCGACCTTGGGCGGAGCCAGCTTCAAGGTCATGAGGACACTCAAGCAGCCTGCCAAGCAGTCAGCCTGCGAGCCGGCTTCCTGGTTCCTCTTCTGCTTGCCCGTGTCCTGTATGAATCACCAGCTCCCGTCTGGTTTCCCTTGCGGCTTCTTTGATCCGGGAGTTTGTTGAGGTGTGGCTAACATCTCGTGTGGGTTTTTCCTCAGACTTCTGTGAGCTGCTTCTGGTTTTGCCTGCACTTCGGTCTCCGACTACACCTGTTGACCCCATTCCTTCTACGCTGGTGGGGCTTGTTTCACGCTATCCGGCACAGTGGTTGCCGTGTGTTCATTGGAAGAGTGTGTGCTCTGTGTGTGTTGGCTCTGAACACACAAGAAGAACTGGGGCTGCCGTTTAGTTTTTATGTGCACTGTTTATTTTTTGTGATTGATAGATTTGTTTTTTTGGTACCGGGATTGAACTCAGGACCTTGCACTTACAAGGCAGGCGGTGGAACCACTGAGCTAAATCCCCAGATAGATTTGTTTTTTTGAGACAGGACCTCACTATGCACCCCAGGCTGGCCTTGAACTGGGGAGCTGGCGCCTCCCAGAACACAGCTTCACTCTCTTTACATCTCCTTCCCCATCACATTTTTGTTTATAGCTTCTCAGTGTCATGTTTTGCAAGGCTGCCTCCCTCGGGCTGCCTTCACGGTGTCTTTCGTGGAGGGGACAGGCCCCTGGGCCCCTGGGGGTCAGAGACCAGGAGATCCTGGCCGGGCCTTGGCAGGGGCGATGGGAGGTGAAGGAATGGGAAGACAGATTTCCCCGTCGAAAGCCACCGAGTTAGGTTTTAAAACTCTTTCAAGCCTGTCTGTCCCCATGAAATGGAAGCAGAGTGGCCCTTGAGGATTCTTAGTGATAAGCTTTGCCAATTTCTGAAGCAGAAAATTGCAGGCCCTACATTTGGTATTAGGTTTCACTGGTTCCAATTCCATGGCAAAGAAATGAAACAACTCAAATAATAAAGCTGTCTGCAGGGTTCTGCACACTGGCTGCTGGTCACCAGGCAGAGGGACGTATCTGGAAGACAGCATCACACGTGGCCATTCCTGTTCCACATGACCTTGGCCTGTGTGGGCAGTTCCCTGAGGTGGATGAGACTGATGCTGGCCTGGTCTTTTGTTGTTTTTTGAGTCAGGGTCTGGCTGTGTAGCCCAGGCTGGCCTCAAACTCATAGCGATTGTCCTGCCTCAGCCTCCTGGGTGCTGGGATCACAGGTGTGCACCACCACCCCAGCACGCCTGTTCTTTTTTTTTTTTTTTTTTGGTATCAAACTTGGGTCCTTGTGCTTGCGCAGCAGGGGGCGAAACCACTGAGCCAAATCCCCGGCCCAAGCGCAGCTGTTCTTAAGATCACAGTATCACTGGGCTCGGGCCTGGCACTTTCTTCCTCTGACCCCAACAGTGGAGGTAGTGGGCGGCCCGCACCCTGCTCTGTGCCCAGTGAGTCCAGCCAACGGAGTCCAGCTCTGGAACCCTACGCATCTAGGTTCCCTTGGAGCTTTGGTCCCTGAGTGTGGAACTTGCTTTGAACTGTAACAAAATTAAGAATTCAGATATCCACACAGCCATCCCCAGAGAAGAAAGTCTGAGAGAGTCTGCTTATTCTTAGCCACTTGTACGATACACTCTTTTTTTAAGATTTTTTTTGTTTTTTGGAACAGGGTCTCACTTTGTAGTTCAGGCTGGCCTTGAACTCACTATGTAGCCCAGGCTGGCCTCAAACTCATGGTGATCCTCCCACCTCAGCCTCCCGAGAGTGCTGGGATTATAGGTGTGCAGCACCATGCCCAGCTGAGGATATACCCTTTTTTTTTTTTTGGTGCCAGGGATCGAACTCGAGACCTTGCTCTTGTGAGGCAGGTGGTGGAATCACTGAGCTAAATCCCCGGCCCTAGGATAGACTCTTGATGTGGTAGAATGTGTACATCCCGTGTCCCGAGCCAGTGCCTCACTTTATGAAGAGACTGGCTGCATTTCTTCTAAGGTTAGGGCGAGGCCTCACCTCTTTGGCACCGGCCAGGGTCCTCACTGAGACAGACAGGGCAAAAGCCACAATGAGGAAGGAGAACTCTGTTCTCAGAGGATGTGACAGTGACCAGTGTGGACACCCTGGAGAGCCATGATGACACCAACTCAGTGCAGTGGTGGAGATAAAATCAAGACAAAAGCCAGGCTTCCTGTATGTGAACAATAACAGAAGATGTCAGAGAGGAAAAGCCCATTTGCAATAGCAGCAGAGGAGAGTGCTTAGGAACACGTTTAATAAGAAATGTGCAGACCTCCACAGTGAAATTTTAAATGTCTCTAAAGACACAAAAATCGAGTTGGACACATGGAGAGACATCTCTCAGTCTTGATAGGAGAGCTAAACAAACATGTCAGTTCTCCCCAAATGCCTTTATACGCATACAAAGCAGTCTCTAATCAAGTTATTTTATGGAGTTAGGCAAGTTGATTCTGAAATGTATATAGATACAAAATGTATGTATATAAAATGTAGAGATACTATAGATAGATAGATAGATAGATAGATAGATAGATAGATAGATAGACAGATAGATACAAAATGTACAAGGATACAAAATAGCCAGAAAATGAGTGCCTGAAGTCCAGTTACTTGGCAGGCTGAAGCAGGAGGATTGGTCAAGCCTATGAGTTCAGGGCCACATAGTGAGACCCTGCCTCAAAAAAAAAAAGCCCAAACAAACCCAAAATAACCAGGTAAACAGAAAAGCGTAAAGAGGAACCAGTCCTCATAGCACTAACATCCACCATCAAACCTCGATAGTTAACACTGTTGTATAAGCATGAATAAATAGGCCAGTGGTGTAGAAAAGAGAATCCAAGACAGTCCCAAGCGTGTGTGGAAACTCCGCAAGTGGCAGAGGTGTCAGGTCACCAGGCAGAGATTCATCTTCTAAAAAATGGTGCTGAGACAGCTGGACTGCCATTTGGAAGAAGATGAAATTAGATCCGCATCTCTTTCCATGTGCAAGAATGAAATCCAGTTAGATCAGGTGGTGAAAAGTGCAACCATACCAGTACTAGCAGAAGATACAGACGATTTCCTGTTTTAGGCAAGGGTATAACTCAAAATGCAGGGGCATTAAGAAAAAGGATTGGTAAACTGGATTTTGTACAAATAAAGTTGCATGATAGGAAACATCATAAAATTAAGACTAAACCAAGAGAGCAGAAAATACTTGCAGCATACACCCCAGAGAGAGCTCTCTGTTTCTCTGCAAAGTCCTTCACTTATAAAAGCCTCCTGGATGCTCTGTAAGGCTCAGCATCAAGAGGTCCAGACTGGATGCTGTACACAGAGAGTTTGTTATGAGGTCCAGGTCAGCAGTTGGATAAGTAAGGTGGTGCGTTGGCAAATGAGAGTGGGTAAGTAGTTGTGGGTAATGGTTGGTTCTCTGGCTGGTCAGTGGTCAACAAGGGAACTGACAGTTATTCATGGTGACAACCAGAGAAACATCCATGGTGACCTGCCAGGAAGCCAAGCGTTGTCTATGGTGACAAGTCAGGGAACCAGCCAGGAAGCCACCATTATCCATGCTGACCTGCCAGGAAGCCACCTGTTCCCTTTAGTCAGATTCGCAGGAATGCAGCCTGGTGTCCTGGTGACTGGTCTGGAAGCCCTGCCTGCCAGCGGTGACAGTCCTGACTGTTGCTGTGACAGCCCAGATCACTCGTGCCTTCCTCACCTGGGACCCCTGCATTTATGGATGGAGAAGCAGAAACACAGGAGGACTTGGGTCTCTGGTGAACAGGGAGCTCAGACACAGAATTAAAGATGACATCTCCCAGCCCGAAACTGTATTACCAGTAGGCCCTAGCTAGCATGTGCCGTGTACCACGCGTCCCAGGAAGCCAATGACAGGACTGTGGGCGCGGCAGGAATCAGCTCTCCTGTGGCTGAGCACACTGCCATCCCAGCAGGTTTGCGGGATAACCTTGCTTGTCTGCCGTGTGCATGACTGGGGACGCACTGGGAGTTGGAGTCAGGTGACGCTGGGTCAGGCCGGGTTAAGAGCAGGTCCTCCTCGGTGACTCACATGGACGACCCCAGGCTTCCAGGAGCTGAGAGAACAGCCACAGACTCACTTAGCCCTTCTCCCGCCTCTGCCCATCTTCAGACTTCTTAATGTGAGGAAAATAAGTCTGAATCATCTTTAAGCGACTCTTGTTTCGATTTTTTATCACTAGCAGCCAAACACAAAATCTAACCATTGGGCAGTTTTGGTTTGTTTTCTTCCTAAATAAACACCTGGGAATGTTGCTTATCTCTCAATATTGTCTTTTCCATTTTATCTCCCTTTCATAGTTCTATGTGAGAGTTTCTTATTCTGTAGCCCAGGACTTGGGAGGCTGAGGCAGGAGGATCACCACAAGTTCGAGGCCAGGCTGGGCTGCATAGCGAGACCCTGTCTCAACTCAAAAACAAAAACAAGGGCCAGGGATTTAGCTCAGTGTTTCCGACACCTGCCTCCTAAGCGCAAGGTCCCAAGTTCGATCCCCGGTACCAAAAAACAAAACAAAAAAACCAGAAGCAAGCACTTCCTGTTCTATCCCTCTTATCGAAAGCATTCTTTAGCGTTTTTTAAACCTTCATCTCCTTGTGCAACAGACCAGTTTCCAGTGTATCAATTCTCTCTTTAGCTCTTTCTGGTTCACAGTGTACTCCTTATACTATTTTGTCCATGAGTCAAAATAAATACATCTAATATTTTAATTGGGTTTTCAAAAAATTATTTAAGAAAATGACATCTTCTAGTGCCTGCCTCGCAAGCGCAAGGTCCTGAGTTTGATCCCCGGTACAAAAAACAAAAACAAAAAACAACAACAACAGAAAATGACATCTTCTATCATGGTTTCTAGATGCTGTTTTTTTAAATCTATATGGTACCCTGTCTCAAAAAAACAAAAACCAACTAAGCAAACAAACAGAACAAGACAAAACAAAATGAAATAAAACAAAAACAAGAAACCCCACAAAGCCACCTCCTCTGCTTAGCTCAGTGGAACCTCATCTTATTTTATATAGAATGAGTTGCTTCCCAGTTCACAAATAAAAACTGATCAGAGCTGAAGGTGTAGCTCAGTGATACAGTGTGTGCTTAGCATGCACAAGGCCCTGGCACAAAAGCAAAAGAAACAAAAGAAAAAAAACCCAATTAGATCTTTATGCTAATTTGGGAGGCTGCAGAATCTTGCTCTGTGGCCCAGCCTCCCGAGTGCTGGGATTATAGGTGTGCACCACCATGCCTGGCTATTTTATGCTAAATTTGTTGTAATTTTGTCTTTTGGCAGTCCTAAATTCCTAAACGCATGTGTTCCTAACAACAGAGCTTCAGATATACGAGGAAAGCTCCGAATGTTCCCCCACCCCTCTTCCTCCACAGACTGGGACCAGCAGGCCCCACCTGTGCGGCCTCCTGGGAGACACCAGGCAGGAGTGGGCTGGCTGGGCTGTGGTCGTCACGGTCACTTCAGTGAGCACAGGCTTCTGTCCCTCCAGCCTGAGGGGCTGCAGTGTGGGACCCTCTTCGGCTGGTGTCCCGCTTTGAGCCGGGACCCTCCCCACTCTCCCCGGAGCCCGACTGCCTCAGACTCTGCCTGGTGCCGTGGCTGACCTGGCCCTGGCCCCACCAGCAGCCCTGCCCTTCTTCTGGGCAGCACCTTGCCGGGTCCTGGGGAGCCAGCCCTCTCCCTCCCGGGGCTCCAGGATGGCCTTGTCTTTCCTCTCCCTGAGAATCCCAGCCTCTGCGCATCCTGGGGACAGGGGTCTGATGCCCGTGTCGCAGCGTGCCCTTTGCTTGTGGAGGTCCCAGAGCACCCGCTGGCTCCGCTGCCTGCCTGGCTCACCTGTTGCCACAGGGCTCTGTCTGCAGCACGGTCCACAGTTTTCCTTGTCAGCAGCCGTGGAGCCTTGGGGTTTGCAAGTGGGTGCAAGGACCCTTGTGTGGCCCTCAGCTCATAGTAGCGGACAACCAGGTGGCCCCGCAGAACTGCTCAGCACTTGGCCAAGCCTTTCTGGTCCATCTGTTTGGTGGCTGTGAGACCCAACTCAGCAGCTTAGCAATACCAGCGCCATGTTGAGAACATTGTCCTCCATTTTGCAAATATGTGACTTCCAGCTGCACTCTGTCTCCTGGGAGAAAACCCCACCCCTAACCGATGCATATAACTTCAAGGTAAAACAAGCAAACTGTGCTTCAGGTGATCTGCAACACAGCGTTACCCAGGGGAATGGGAGGAGGGACTTTTTCTGTAGTTTTTCCCTTTAAATATGCAGTCCTCATTTCAGTTGGGGCCTTTTGTCCTCCGGCTTGGTTGGAGTGCACATGGGTCCCGGCCAGAAAATAAAGTTCTCCAGTGAGTACTCATGACTGTGTCGTGCTTCAAGGGATCGTCACTAATCGAATCTGGGAACAAGGTCCAACAGTGGCCTCCTCTTCCTCTGTGGCCTGTGACAGGTCCTCTGCTCAGCCCATTTCTCTCAGGTTCTGACCCCTCTCCCGGGCCCATCTGTGGACATCTCCTAAAATATAGTTTCAGCAAGAGCTCTGCCAAGGAGATTTAGCAAGAAAGCCCCACCCTGCTGTCACTTGGGATACCTGAGTGGTTCCTTCTCACCCGTCATCCCCCAGGGACGTCTGGTCTCCCCAGCCTGCCTTTAGCAAGAACCCTGCTAGGTGGCTTCGGCCAGAGTCCCCTGCCCCCCGTTTCCTCTCTCAGACTTTTCGTCCCCGCCCTGTCTGTAGCTCTGGGTCCCCAGTTGCCTGTTCTGTATTGGAGTCAACCTGGGGAGATCGGTAAAACACACTTCTGGGAGCATCTGGTGGGTTATGGAGTCGTGGCCTTGGGTCTGTACCCGGCACCTCGACCCTTCCTCTCTGGTGCTGCTCCCTGCTCTGCTTCCGGGCCACCACGAAGTGAGAAGCTTTGCTCTGCCATGCCCTGCCACCATGATGTTCCTGTCCTGTAGCCAGCAGACCATGGACTGAATCCCCTTAGAACACAAGCCAAATTAACCCTCTCCTCCTCTAAGCTGTGGGTGTTAGCCTTGTGTCCCAGCAACAGGAAAGCGACTAAGGCAGGCCCAGTCTCCCCCTGCTGAGCCCTGCCTCCTGGAGCTGGGCCTCCCCAGTTTTCCGGAGCTAGAGTAGTCTCCTTACTCTGACAAATGTTGAGGAGTCACGCCTCTCCTTTCTCCCTTTCTTCCTCTCGTTCCTTCTGTCCGTCTCACTATGTTGCAGGCTGCTCTCAAACTTGCCATGTAGCTCAGGCTGACCCTCCTGCCTCAGCCCCCTGAGCGTTGGACTCATCTGGCCTGGAGGTGTCCTCATATGAGACCTCAGCAGGACACAGATGGCACAGAGCAGTGGGTCAGGGAGGCGAGGTTGCTGCTGACACCACTCACAGAGCCGTGGGTGGGGGCACAGAAACCAGGGTCCCAGCATGAGGTGGCGACAGCAGTGGCTTCCCAGAGGCTGGCAAGGGCAGCATGGAGGGGACAGTCCAGCAGGAGCTGGGGCCTCTGTGAGGGACTGAAGCCACTGTGGCCAGAGAAAAGCAGGATGTGGAACTCAGTGCCACTGCTACTGCACAACCCTCGAAGCCTTCCCGGGGCCCTGCACTTGGCTGCAGCAGGCCCAGCCCCTTCTCATCATCCAGAGCACGGACCAACGCGGATGGCATCTTGAGCTGAAAGACGAGCCTCAGCAAACCTAACAGAACTCACACACACACACACACACACACACACACACGTGTTCTTGGACCACACGGGAACCACACTAGATGCCAAAGAAAATGGAAAGAGGACAGGGAAATCTTCAAACCACTGGGGCCTATATAACCTATTTTCTTTTTGGCTCTTGCGGTACTGGTGGTTGAACCCCCAGACTCACACATTTTAGGCAAGTAGTGTGCCACTGAGCTACAGTTTTTATTTATTTTGAGGAAAGGTCTCGCTGAGTTGTCCAGGCTGGCCTCGAACTTTCGACTCTTTTGCCTCCATCTCCAGAGTAGCTGGAATTACAGTCACACACCACTGCCCTCAGCCACTAATTTAGTTTTAAATTATCCAGGAGTCAAAGAGGAAGTCTCAAAGGAAATTGAATTGAGTGAAATGAAAACACAACATATAAAATGTATCTGTAGGGCAAGGCACTGCTAAAGCAGAGTAGCGAAGGAAATTCAAATCACTAAAAGCTTGTGTTTGGAGAGAGGAAGAAGCCCGAGTCGAGTCAATAATCTAAGCTCCAACGTCAACAAAAAAGAACAAAGTGAACCCTAACAGCCAAAAGAAAGAAATAAGAAAGGTGAGAGAAGAAATTGTGAAACGGAAAACAGACAAGGCAGGAAATCAATGAAACAGAGTTGGCTCATTGAGAAGATAAACCTCTTGCAAGGCGGACAGAGAAGACATGGGTTACCAGGGTCAGGAGCGACAGAACTGTCTCTACAGAGCCACAGTCACCCAGAAGGGACCAAGGGGGCACTCAAACAGTCCCACGTGAATGAGTTTTACAACTCAGATGAATGAGCCAATTATTTGAAAAAGCACAAATGTATGAGCCAGCTCATCTGAATAGCTGTAGAACTACTAAGGAAATAAAATTAATGATTAAAATGTGCCTCCTTCAAATAAATTCCTACCCCCAGATGGTTTTAGTGGAGAAGTATTGCCGCCATTAAACCAGGTGTGGTGGCACACACCTGTAATCCCAGCAACTGGGAAGGCTGAGGTGGGAGGATAAGGCAGTAGGCTTGCAAGTTCGAGCCCAGTTTGGACAACGTGGTGAGACCTTATCTCAAAATAGGAAATTTAAAAAAGGGCTGGGGATGTAGCTCAGTGTGAAAGCCATGGGTATAATCCCCAGTACTTGGAGGAAAAAAGATAAACACCAATTCTACACAATCTCTTGCAGGAAACAAGGAGAGAGTGTGTGTCTCAATTTTAGGAAGCTTATATTACTCTATTACTAAAAACAGAAAAATGGATACAAAGGGGAAAACTACAGATTAATATCCCTTATTAATGTAGATGCAAAAACCCTTAACAGACTACTGGAAAATAGAATCCAGAAACACATAAAAAGAGTGAACCATTGTGATCAAGCAGGATTTATCCTGGGAAGCAGATCTATTCTTATTCAAAACCCACAGATCTAACCCATCGCTTTAACAGGCTAAGCAAGAAAAAAAAAAAAAATCTGTGGTCATATCAGTTGATGCAGAACAAGCATTTGACAAAATGTAACACCTGTTCATGAAAAAAATTTCTCAGAAAAGTGAAGGGAAATTCTTTAAATTGATAAAGAATATCTGCAGAACAAAAACCTCCAAAACACTAAAAGACTGAATATTTGCTTCCAAAGATCAAAAACAAGGCAAATACTTTAATTCTACTCTTACCACTTTTATTCAACATACTACTAGAAGCTCTAGCCAGTACAAGAAGGCAGGAAAAGGAAATAAAGGGCATACATGTACTAGATGTGGTGGCACACAGCTGTAGACCCACCCACTCAGGAGACAGAGGCAGGAGGTTGTGGGGTCAACACCAGGCTGGGGAACGTGGACAACACAGAAAGACCCTGTTAAAAATTTGCACACACACATGCACATCAGAAAAAATATAACTGTCCTTATTTCCCAATGACATGATCATCCACATAGAAAATCCCTCCAAAATATAAAACAAAACCCAAAAATCTCACTCCTCCCAGAACACAAGTTAGTTCAACAAGGTCATGGGATACAAGATAAACACATAAAAATCAACCATATTTTGAGAGACTAGCAGTGAACATGTGGACATTGAAGTTAAATGTGCAAAAATGTTTACAGTCCCTGAAAAGAAAGAGATACTTAATATAAATTAACAAAGCAATACTTATATGCTGAAAACTAGAAAACACCAACAAAAACCAAGTATTTAAATAAATGCAGAGACATACTATGTTCATGGATTAGAAGATTTGACATGGTAAAAATGCTGATTTTTCCCAAATTAAAATATGTGTTTATCAATTTCTAAGATAATCTCAGCAAAATTTTGTAGATAGGAATAAGATAATTCTAAAATTTATATGAAAAGATAAAGAAGGTAGACGACAAATAGCTAAACAAAAAAATAAAGTGGGAGGAATTAAGCTACTTGATTTACTTTTTCCAGTATTGGAGATTGAACCCAGGGGCTTTGCAATGAGCTATGTCCCCAGCTCTTCTATGTTTTCATTTTGAGATAGGGTTTTGCTAAATTTCTCAGGTGGGACTTGGCAGTCCTCCCGCCTCAACTTCCCAATTCTGTGGATCACTGCAGCTGCCTTAGGCTATCTGATGTCTAGTCTTCTTGTAGAGTTGGAATAATTAAGGCTGTGATACTGGTGGAGGGTGACACAGGCCAGTGGAGTACAGCAGAGAGTCCAGACATAGACCTCTATGAATACGCCCACATGGCTTCTTATTTTCAGTGACTGGGATCAGAGTCCAGGCCCTGCATGTCTCAGCTGATTTGTACAGAGTCATAAAAGCCCCTCAGTAAGGAAGGACAGCACCTCAAAAAAAGGTGCTAGGGTAATTGGACCTCTGGAGGCAAAAACTGACCATCCACCTCCACCTCATGACCGAGACACAAGTTGACTTTAAAGAGATTGGATTAAAATGTAAAGTATAGGGCCGGGGATTTAGCTCAGGATTTAGATTTACCTCACCACCTGCCTCACAAGCACAAGGTCCCGAGTTCAATGCCCGGTACCAAAAGAAAAAAAAAAAAGTAAAATATAAAACTTTTAGAAAAAAACATAGAAGAAAATCTTCAGGATCTAGAGCTAGATAGAGCATTTTTAGAATGCTCGAAAGGAAAACTGGTAAAAGAAAGAGTTGACAAAATTGGACTTCATCAAAAATAGGAATGTTTGCTCTGTGAAAATGCTGGTTAGAGGATATAGAGAGGGCTGGGGTGTAGGAGCACAAGCTTAGCATGCATGAGTACCTGAGTTCCATCCCCAGCACTGAATACACACACACACACACACACACACACACACACACACACCCTCAGGTAACCAGACGATGAAAAGACAATCTCCAGACTGGGAAGTATTTGCAAAGCCTCCATTCAACAGAGGACTACAGATCATACAAAGAGCATAACAGTAAAAACAAGGAAAACCGCCCAAGCAATCTGATTAGAAAGTGGACAGGGGTGACCTGTATCCAGAGAGGATGTCCCCGTCCAGCTGTCACGGACCCTGTCGCGGCAGGCACACTGTGGCATTGCTACACGTGCAGCACTGGCTGAAGCACAGAGGTGACTCCCAGGTACTCAAAAGGATGGGCTTTGCTGGTGGGAGGTGAAAGGCACAGGCACTCTGGACGTCGGTTTGGGAGTTTCTTAGAAAGCAAAAGGCCCGATGACTGTGGTCCAACACCTGCTTGTGCCACAACCTAAATAACAGCCTTCGAACGTCTTGAGTGTACTGGGGGTTTCGTAGCAGTGGGGCTGTGTGTGCTGTGCCAGGTTACAGTACACTCAGGAGGCAAAGAGAGACAAAAGAAACAGGGTTACACAGGTGGTTTTGAACCAGTACTCCTTGGCCACAGGATGGATCCCCAGGGTTGGGCTGGGCAGTTGTGGCTCCTGTGACCTGTGGAAGGACTTTGTCTGTGGGTGGCCTGTGATAGTCCCTGTTACCGGCACCCAGCGAGGCCTTCCCTCGGGACCTCCTCCGGCTCCCCCTTCCTGGGATGGTTTTCAGGTTTCCTCGGCACCATCCTGGAGGAAAGGGGACTCGGATCAGTGCAAACACGTGTGGGTGAGCATTGAAGGCAGGTGTTCACAGCAGCACAGAACCGCAGCCAGCCCCGTGTCCTTCAGCTCATGGGCTGTACAGACTGCTCCACCCACCCAGGCCCCATGCTCAGCAGTAACAAAGGACAGCTGGGGTGCACGTGTGCTGGTTAGCAGGGGGTATGGTGGGGAGCTGCAAACGTTCTTTGGAGGCTGGCCCCGACCATGTGGCAGGCAGTGGGCAGCCCAGGGCTGACAGATGGGGATTGGGATGGCACAGTCCTCCCCAGGCCCCTTGCTGATCCAAAGGGCAGGTGGCTTAGTGCCCTGAAGGCAGGAGGGCTCCATGGCTGTAGTCCAGGAGAGGAAGATTCCCCTCCTGCATCCACCCTTTCCATCATCCTTTTTGTTTGTTTTATGTTTTTTGTGTGTATTTTGAGACATGGTCCTACTAGGTAGCTCAGGCTGGCCTCAAACTCACTCTGGAGCCCAGCCTGGCCTCCAACTTGCAGTGATCCTCCTGCCTCAGCCTCCAGAGTGCTGGGATCATAGGTGTGTGCCACCATGCCCAGCTCTTCTCTGTCTTCCTGGGCTCCAAGAGCTGCTTTGCCACCGGCCTCATCCTTTCTGACAGTGTACAAACCGCGCTCTTCCCCCACTCGGCAGTCACCAGTGTCCCCTCCAGCTCCCGTGGCTGTCACTTCTCAACACAGGCAGCCCTATTTTTCATAAAGACAGACACAAATAATCAATCCAGTTGCAGTGGCAGCCAGGGCTGTCATAGCAGATTAGCACAGGCTCCCCCTGGGCTTTGAGAAGTCCTGAAATCCAGGGGTCTGGGACCTGCCTGGGGCTGCTCTGTGCCTTCCGTTTCCCAGCACCCTGAGAGCTGAGCAGCAGAGCCCCTTTACCTGGCTCCCTGCACCTGAGCATTACCAGTCTCTGCCACTTAATCGCGCACCCATTCATTCACACCTTGTTCATCCACTCCCAGGGAGGGGTGTGGCTCAGGGAGACAGTGCCCGGCAGGTACAGGGCCCTGGGTTCCACCCCAGCTTCCTCAGTTGCTTTTATTTTGTTTCGATTTTTTTTTTTTTTGGTACTGGGGATCGAACTCCGGTCCTTGCGCTTGCAGGGCAGGTGGTGAAACCACTGAGCTAAATCCCTGGCCCTTGATTTTTTGTTGTTGCTTTTTTTTCTTTTTTTTTTTTTTTTTGCAGTATTCATGGAGGTGACAGAGTGAGATGTTTTTAAAGCTTGATTGTCCTTCTTGGTTCTTTTTTCAATTCTAACCATCGTGCTGCCACTTGACCCTTCATTCTCATTCAGCGATGCCAGGGACCCAGAGCAGGGGTCCCTGGGGGGATATTCTCATCCAGGCTACCAGCTAGCGCCGGGAGTTCCAGGGAGGCTCACAGGTTCATGGGCAAGGTTAGATTTTAAAGGTGTCTAACAGCGATGAAAAGATTAACCAGGCCTGGAGGTCCAGGTCTGTAATCCCAGCGACTCTGGAGGCTGAAGGCAGGAGGATCAACAGTTCAAGGCCAGCCTGGGCAATTTAATGAGATCTCATCTCAAAATAAAATTTTGAAAAGGGCTGGGGGTGTAGCTCAGAGGTACAATGTTTGCCTAGCATGCATGAGGCCCTGCCTTCAATCCCTGGCACTGCAAAACCAAACCAAACCTAACAACAACAAAACCAAATGAAAGATAAGGTAGTCATTTGAAAAGCAAGTTCAGTTGTCATGGTTACTCCCACAGGCTCCATACCTGCCTCCCTCAAGTGGTGCTGTGAGTTTGGGTAATAAATGTCTCCTGTCACACATCTCATCAAAGTGGGGTTCCTGGGGTGGAAGGTGGCTCTGCACCGGGGACTGCAGGACACCTGACCCCAAAGTGGTTGCCCTTACTGGGGCCATGGGGTGGAGTTTCTCTGACAATGAACAGAAAGAAAATGAGGTGCCGCTCGGACCATGCTCGCTCTGTGGGAGAGGAGACCCTGCCGCTTGTCACGAGAAACTCCGCCTCACCTTCCCACCCTCCAGGGCAGTCAGTGTTCCTTTGGTGGCCACGATGCCCCAGCAGCATGTGGCACTGTTTGCAGCCGCCTTCTGATGAAGAAGGGACACAGTTTTAATGGCAGAGAATAAGGAAAACACGGTGGAAGAACCATAACTTGTAGCTGCGTCCAGAAATAACCAAATGTGAAATCCTATTGTTAAGGTTTTCAGTGAGATTGTGCAAAACATTTTGTATCTGCTTTGCCCAATCTAACTTTATTGAATAAGCATTTCTCAATAAAATTATATGTCCTTGTAATACATGACTCCAGGCAGCCATGGGATGCCTCCTACAGACTGCTTGGTTTTATTTGAAGTTCCTCCCCATCCTAAGACGCTGTTCTCCACCTGCCTTCGAACCACCTGAAAGTTCTGCATCCCCTTTAAATGTCTCGCCCCTCAGGGGAGCCCCACCCCCATCACGTGGAAGCCCAGAGGTGACTTTCCAGGAGTGCTGAGGGGCTCAGGGTGAAACTTGGCGCTCGTTTTTACGAATCCCTTAATCGCGTGCTTCTGCTGCAGTTAATGTTTAGACTTGTTTCACGCTGTCCACCTCTGACGGCTTGCAAAAATAATACTGTGCAAGACATCTCTGGGGCAAAGGAGCGCAAGATGTAAGGTACTCGCTGTTTGGTGCTCTCGGGCCTGGGCAAGTGACACGCCCACATTCTCCCTGGCTCGCTGGTGACTGCAGGGGACCACAATATTGATCATGCCCAAAGCAGGCTGTGAGGAGCTAACCCCACACAATTGGCTTGTTCTGAGAAATGGGTCTGGCAGAAGCCTACGTGCCAAGCTGAGAGTAACTCGCACCCAAATTCCTTCCCACAACTAAAACTTTTTAACTAGAAGGACAATATTCTAATTACAACCCTACATTTTGTCTATTCTGTTCCTAATTCGAGAATGCTTTGTCTTGTCCTTTGTAAGCCTGGCCCGCATTACTTTCCATAGAAACCCACATAGTCCCATCCTCTCACGTAGCTTGCCTTTATCCCGATGATTACTAATGAGTCAGTGCCTTGGACTGACCAGTGCCTTTGCTGAATGAGCAGCATTGGTCATCCTGGCTCCCCGGTTTCCTCTGTCTCTTTAGGTTTTTTTCTGTCTCACGCCATAGCACTGAGCAGGTCAGAACCTGCTGCAGAGGACTCTTGATAGGTAACAGTCGGCCCCACATCAGCTACAGGTAATCTTTCCAAGGGCTATGTGTCAGTCAACTTCCTGTTGCTGGACACAGTCCCCGAGATACTCACTCAGAGGAGGAGAAGTTTAATTTGGTTCACAGCTTTTGGGGATTCAGTCCATGGTCAGCTGGCTCCAAGGCAGGAACATCATGGTGGAAAGGTGTGGTAGAGCAAAGCTGGGGTATTCATGGTTGCAGGGGAACAGTGCCAGAGAGGAAGGAGTGAGCGACCATATATAGTATTCAAGGTCACGGCCCCTTGACCACCCAGACACCCAGAAGTGTGCCCCACCGATCCCCTGGGTGGATCCCAAAGTCGATCAAGTTGACACTGCACCCTAATGGACCACAGGAGTCAGGAGTCCTTGCAGTTGAAATGTTCCAAGCGGGCTGTGTGGGTTTGGTAGTAGAGGAGGTCAGAGCAGTTGTCTGAAGACAGATGATTGAAAAATGCACCAGCTGTGTTGTTAAGCTACACTTTCTCAATCCAGTAAGTTTCAAAGCAAAGCCATAAGTTCTAGGCCGTAGCTCCTCCTGTCATGAAGTGGAGTCTCTTTTCCATCTCTTAAATCTAGGTTCCCCACATAACTTGCTTTGTCCAAGCAGATGTGAGATAATGTGGCATGTGCTGAGTCTTGAAATCCCTTGAGCAGTGGGACTTACGCTCACTGGCGGCTGGACCACTTTGAGCCATGTTAGCTGCCCTGCGACGGGCAATGCAAACTGCAGGTCACATCAAACCAAGTGCCAGCGCTGGGTGAGGTTGTCTTACAGCTGCCAGATGCAGCTGTGATGGCCAGGCTCAAAACATCTGGCAGGTCAGCCCTCAAAACTGAGAAGCAGTGAGCACTATGTTTCAAGCCACTACATTTTGGGATGCTTTGTTACACAATAAAGCAGACTAATACATCCTCCATCCATACCCAAGTCATCGAAGACAGACTGTCAGGTGTGAATTCAGCCAAGAAAATATACAATGGTCATGATTTGTTTCCCTGGATCCCTAGCTCCCGATCAACCTTTCCTTCCTCTCCTTTTCCCTCAGCTCTCTGCTTCTCTGTCACCCTGAGCTACCCTGGCCCTCTCGGGGGGACCTGGACCTGCACATGCCCTGGTGGCTGCCTTCCTGAGATTGCCTGGGGAAGCCTGGCCAAGAGCAAGTGCCGCAAATTAGCAGGGCTGCACCTGCCTGGGCAGGACTCACATCTTCGAGGTGACCTCGTGGGAGAGACTGAAGCAGGCCCGGGCGGGGAGCCCAGAGCTGGGGCCCGAAGCTGTTCAGAGAGTGCCACAGATGTCACTTTACTGAGAATTCACAACAACCAGGAGAGGAAGAAGTCACAGGTGGGTGGTGCTGTGTCGCTCTGGAACCACAGGCTCGGGTCAGAGAACGAGACCTGCGGAGGGGACCTTGTTTGCAAAGAAGGCCTTTGCAGATCAAGTGAAGATGGGTTGGACCGCAGTAGGGTGGCCTTGCTCCAAGGACCTGTGTCCTTACAGGCAGGGAAATTTGGACTGAGACACACAGAGGCCAGATGGCTGTGATGCTGACACAGGCCAGGGAACCCCCAGAGGTGGCCAGAATGTCTGGGAGCGGGGAGAGTCAGGGAGCAGTGCCCCTGGGAACTCTGGAGGAGTGCGGCCCTGCAGGCTTCTGCCTCAGGGCAGGAAGGATGTGTTTCTGTTGTTCTGAGCCCAACTTGGTGGCCATTGTCATGGCAGTCCTGGAAACTAAGGCAGAAGGGACGTCCTCGTAGTCCACAAATTTCAAGAGCCAAGAAATCCAGGGTTCAAGCCCCACCCAGCGGGCTCTTTGCAGGGCAGATGGCTGCTGGGTGGCCTCCTGTCGAGATGGCACCACCCTGAGTGGCACAGCCTGGGAGCTGGAGCGGTGGGGAGCTCAGCTCAGCACACGTCATGCCAGCCGCAGCCTCAGCCCACAGAGACGGAGCCAGGGAGTCAAGCATGGGCGACAGGTACCCGCCACCAGCAGATGCCCCTGGGTGCCCGTCACCAGGTCTCGCTGCTCTGCCCCTTTGTTCCTGAGCAGAACCCAAATGTTCTTGTTTCCACTGTGTTCCCTGCCAGTCTGAAGCGCCGTGCCAAGGAGGAACGTGTGCCTCTCCCTTCTGTCAGCGTTCCGTTTCTCACGTGGGAGCAAAGCTGGGGGGTGAGGTGGGACTGTAGGGAGTCACCCCCCCCACGCGCCCCCTCTCCAGTGTGCACGCCCACGGCGGATCTCTTGCTCCCCAGCACAGCTCCTACTCTGATTTTCTCTTGCGTGATTCCTTAGGTGAGCAGCCCCCGACTCACCCTCATTCATTCACTCAATGAGTTTCGAGCTACAAATCTGTCCCAGCTACCAAGGTTACCCCTAGGGAGCTGACGGTCCTGGGAACTCATTTTTGCAGGGTGCCTGTCTCCACAAACAGATCACCCCAAAACCAGTGGCCCTGTGTCCTGTGGGCCCATGACAGACATGCTGCCTGGCAGTGGCAGTTCCGCAGCCAGCGGTGTGTGCCCGAGCCCAGGTGCTCAGGGAGTCTGGTGACTTCCGTGGGTGGCAGGGTCAAAGGTGAGAGAGCATCTCCAGAGGCAAAAGCAAGGAGGAGCCCCTGGGTCCCCTGCTGGGGTGCACGGCCCTCTTGGCAGTGTCGGCCCCGGGAGTGGGATGTGGAAACATTGAGGGAGGCAGTGCTCTCGGGCACCTCAGCTCCAGGAGCCGCACAGCCAGGTGTAAGGCAAGGACAGGGTCTGCGGCAGGACACATGGTGACACGGCAGTGGGAGCTGCGCAGAGCGGGAGGTCCAGCCCCCTGGAGCGCTGACGGTGAAAGCCCTGGGACAGAGGAAGCCACTCCGCCCTGGGCAAATGGCATGACTGGTCACTTCGGGCTGTGATGAGGGACAGTGAAGGGGTGGCTGTGCTTTCCAACAGGGCGGCAGGAAAGGGCCTGAGCAGCTTGGGACTTGAGCTGCTCATCGTATGGGACAGAACCACCCAGCACCGGGGACACTGACTCAGTCCCTGGAACCCGGGAACATGAGAGGCTTTGCACTGGGGTTCATGCTGTGAGGGACGCTGGCCCTGTTGTCCACATGGCCAGAGTCATGAATGTCATTGCAAGGGCCTGGTAAGAGGAAGCAGGGGAGGTGGGCGGGGTGGGGGAGCCAGGCAGTGAGTCTCTGGATGCAGGAGGAGCTCCGACCGACTTCCCCAGAGTCACCAGAGAGGAACTGCCCAGCCTCGCCTCACCTGGACTTCCGCTCAGTGAATCTGACCTTGGAGCCCCGAGCCTGGACTGTGAAAGTCCTTTGTCTCACTGTTGACTCAGGACAGGGACACAAGCAGGGACAGAAGGGAGGGGGTGAGGGGCAGGCTCGGTGACACGGACAGCAGGCTGAAGGCTCTTCGGAGGTCAGACTGCGCAGTGCCAAGAGCTGCTGGCCTGTGGCTGGGCAGGGCAGCAGGGATCCTCCCCGGCTCTGGGCTGCTGGGCCTCAGGAGGCTGAAGGAGGGCAGCCCTGTGGGAGGGGACTCAGCTCTGGGGAGGGAACCGCACACATGGGAGCTCTCGGGAGCCTGGTGCTGCAGACCCGCATCTCAGGGACCCTGTTTCTGGAAAGCAGGCCAGCCGCACAGAGCCAGTGCCCATGCAGAGTTGCCCAATGTCCTCTCCACACTGACTCTGCCCGGCTGGTCCTGCTGTCCCAGGAGGAGGCACAGCCTGAAATCCATGACACTGTGAAGGGCAGGAGTGTGCACCCGCCTGAGGATCCACTCGTGTGATTCTGTGGTGTATAGGCCGTGTGTGTGGGCATGTGTGTACCTGTGGTCATGTGTGGTGTCAGCCTTCTGCATCCATGGCTTCTGCTTTCATGTCCAACCAAACTTGGACCAAAAATATCTGAAAAACAATAGTGTCTGTCCTGAACATGTACGGACTTTCTTTCTGGTCTTTATTCCACAAACAACAGAGTCCAGCCACTGCTCATACAGCACTTACACTGTTACGTGCCCGAAGTCATCTACAGCTGACTTAAAGCAGCGGCCCCCAGGATTTCTGGCACCAGGGACTTGCTTCATGGAAGACAGTGTTTCCACGGATGGGAGTGGGGTGGGTGGGAGGTATTTGGGATTGGATTCCCAAAGGATCGTGCAACCTAGGTCCTTCCCACAAACAGTTCGGAGTAGGGTTTACACTTTTTTGTTCAGCTTTTTGAGACAGGGTCTCACTGTGTAGCCCAGGCTGGCCTAGAACTCAGAGGGACCCTCCTGCCTCAGCCTCCCAAGCTTTGAGATTACAGGTGTGCACCACTACTCCTGGCAAGGCACGCTCTAGTTAGCTTTTTGTCATTATGACAAATACCTGAGATAAACAATGTAAAGGAGGAAAGGTTTATTTGGTTCAAGGTTTCAGAGGTTTCGATTCATAGTTGGCTGGCTCCATGGTCTCTGGGCCGCGGTGAGGCAGTAACATCACCTGGAAGGGAACAGGGGAGCAAAGCTCCTCGGCTTACAGCAGACAGGAAGCAGAGGGGGTGGGAGGGGGGCCGCTTCCTGTTTCCAGCGCCTCCCAGTAACACCCCGGTGGGCTGAGGGCCCTGGGGATCCAGGCTGCCCTGCTGTCCAAGGCTTTCTCCGTCCTGTCAAGCTGGCCGCCAGAAGTTGCTGTTTGTGAGCTCGAGTGGACAGTGCCACGAGGCACGGGATGCAGTTCCATGGGGACAGAGGTGGCTGCCATCTGCAGCCTCTGTATCAGTTTCGTGGGGTGAAAATGAAAAGCACGAGCAGAACTGAGAAGAGGTGTAGAACCAGGGTCCCAATTTGTGCCAAGCTGGATTGAGAATGGCAGGAATTGTCCCGGCCCCAGGTGAGTTCTTCTAGGACAGGAAGTGACATCCGGAGCTCGCCAGGAGGGAACACAGGCTCTTTAGAGACCGAGCCAGCCCGGGCACGAAAGGTCCATGCGACTCAGATGACCTGGTGGCCTCCAGAGTCAGTGCTTCAGAGCTGAGGCGCCTCGGGGTGGCCCCGTCCAAGGCCGCGGGGGACCTTAGCATCTCTCTTTGTTTTCTGTCAAGCAAGACGCTGGAGCCTGAGGACAGGCTGTGTGTGTGCCTGGACCTCGACAAGCTGGGACTCTGGAGGACATGGAGCCCCCAGAATGTCCCCAGTGCCTGTCCTCAAAGCAGGTGAGCAGGAAGGGACCTCTCTCCCCCTCTGTGATGGTGCCGAGGTCTAAATGTTGAGTCCCCGCCGCCCTGAGAGCAGGCACGCAGCCTTCACCATCCCCACGTCAGGCTGGTGTCTCCGCTGTCACACCTGGCCCACTCGGAACACCACCCACGGCACCGAGGATCCCTCCACGCATGAGCACAGGACGCGCCCTGGCACCGTCCCGACATTGAGTGCGGAATTTACATGGACATCCGCGTCCCACCACGCCGGCCACTTGTTCTGAGATCCACGGTGGGGAAAGAACAGCATCCTTTGTCCCCGCGGGAGAACCCAGCAGAAGCAGCCAGGGATGCAAAACTCTACCGAAGAAAAAGGACAGTACCCATTTCCGTATAAGAATATATTATTTAAAAGACAGTTTAAAAATAAAAATTCTGTACAGCATCATGAATTCCTTTGTTTTGTTTGTTTCAGTGAACAAACAGTTCCTAGAAAACGTGGTCTGGTGGTGTCAGGCGCCCACGGCGACTTTTCCTGGCATGAAGGTCCCTCGAGGCTCTGCCAGGCGGTCCACACCACGGCCCGCAGCCCTGCTGCCGCTTCCGGCTTGTTCTGCTCGGGGAAGGAGAAGGAAAAGGACCCCTGGTTTGCCTCCATGGGGACTGCAGCATCCAGGATCACATGCAGCTGCTTCGAAAGGGCACGGTCATAGACACAGCGCTGAACACGGGCAAGGACAGAATCCAGGTCACCCTGTGCCTGAGCTGCTCATTAAAGACTAAACGCCAGCACCGGCACTTGGTGTGGACCAGCACTCTGCTCCTCCATCTGAAAGCACAGTGACGGCCGATTTGGGCTCTGTGGTGCAGACAGCTGGAGACACCTGGGCCCCTTGGCTTGTCCTTGGCAAAGCTGGGGCGCAGAAGGAGGCATGCCAGAGGCAAAGCTTCAGCTGCTGCTTTCACCAGGCCGAGCCCTGTGCCTGAAACGCATCATAAACCAGGCTGCTCTCGCGTTCTGCGACAGAGGTGGACACGGTGTGCGCTGTGCCCACCCGGCCTCACAGGCTGCTTTGCCCCCCCCCCCGCGATGATGAAGGGGGTGTGGCTGTCAGCATGTGCTGGAGACGAGGTGCAAAGCCTTAGACACAGCCACTTTATTTTGGAAAAGCTTACAGTACTTCAACTGCACTTTTTCTTTTGGTGGTACTGGGAATCGAACCCAGGTGGTACTGAGCTCCATCCCCAGCTTTCTTCTATCATTTATTTACTTGTTTACCTTTTGTAGTACTGCTAGGTGAGTGCTCCCCTCTAGAACTACCTCCCCGACCCTTTTGACTTTTGATTTTGAGACAGAATCTCACTAAGTTGCCCAGGCTGGCCTCAAACTTGTGATCCTCCTGTCCCAGTCTCCTGAGTGGCTGGGATCACAGGTGTGCACCACCACGCCTGGCTCAAATGCATTAAAAAAAAAAAAAAAAAAGGCCGGGGATGCAGCTCTAGGGCAGAGCACTTGCCTAGCATGGACAAAACAAAACAAGACAAAGCTTTCTCCTGTAAGTAGTGCAGATCCTATGTTTTTTTCTATTTGCTGAAGTATATTTTGAAGGCTAATTCTGATTCCTACACACAAGGGACTGAGTTTTCACTTATGTATAAATATTCTGTGTGCGCTGGTTTGGATATGGGTTGTGTCCCTGGTGTGTGTGCTGGAGTTTAATCCCAGTGCGCAATATTAAGAGGGTAGAGACTTCACCTGAGCCAGGGAGGTTAGGGCTGCCCAAGGGCCCGGGGTCCCATCCCGGGAGACCGGTGGTGGCCCAGGAAGAGGGACCACCCAGCAACGAACGCACCCTCCCTACCTGGCTCCATGCACAGGTCTCGGGGTCCCCCCACTGCAGTCTAAATTACCGTGTGCACCTCTGCACCGAGACATCAGTTTGGAGATGGGCTGCCTTCCCTCTTCGTCCAGTCTCTGCTTTTCTCTCTGGATTTCTCGGTGGCCCCTGAGGCCAAGCTTTCAGTCTTTTTCTGTAGCTGGGACGGAGCAGAGTGGGCAGCGTCAGTCCTGGGAGGCATGGTAGCACCAGGTGCCAGGACAGACGCCATGGGCTCTGCAGGGACAGCGCTGGTGAGAGTGACCTGCCCAGTCGACTGCACAGGCCAGGAGCCCAGGCTGCCTGAAGTCCCCAAAGCCATGGAGGATGGGCAGTGGGTCAGGACCATGCAGGTCTGGGCTTTCCTCCCTTTCATGCCCCCTTTAGGTGGTGCCAGGGAGATGCCGGTGCCCCACTGGGCAGCGGGCACAGCACTTGGAGACATAAGTCTTTCCCAGAGGTAGCTCAGGGAATGGCCTGGTGAGGGGAGACCCTCAGCCCTCCCTGGGGGTCAAGACCGGGGGAAACCTGCTTCATCCGTCCCTCTGTATTTCTTAGTCTTTCATGGTTTTACAGACCTCTCTGTGACCTCTGGGTAGGAAATGCCAACTAGGGAAGTCAGGATCTCTGGTCGGGATTTTAATGCATGCACATTTATGGAGCACCTATAGCATGCCTGGCAGTGCACACGGGGTGGCTGAGGGATAGGCACAGGGCTTCTAGGTTCCCTGGACAAAAAGATGGACTGGGGTACAGAGCCCTCAGGGGAGCCTCAGGGAAGGGGAGAAAGCAGGGCCCAGGAGGCATCAAGGGGCCAAGGCCAGGGCTGGAGGGTGCATGAGACACAGGGAGAGTGCTCCAGGGTGGCACAGTCCCGGGCAGGATTCGAGGAGACCATGCCGGAGGCCAGTGTCAGGTGGGGACTTGGTGGGGTCTCAAGTGCAGGGGTCCCTGGCACGGAGGCGCACACACAGGGTTCTGAGGCCCCAGGGTCTGTGCGAAGAATGCAGCCCTCGCCTGCCTGTGACCTTGGCTCCAGCGACTGAGCTGCGGGCTTGGTTTCTGGGAGGAGAACTGTGCTCCCCGCTGGGTACCGGGGCTGGCACACACCTTTACCTCTTTCATGGCATCGTCCAGCTGCTTCAGCTCCTCGTAGTGGTCCAGGGATTCCCACAGGGGCTGCAGCATGAGTTCCTCCACCATGGGGAAGAGCTGGGGAGGCAGAGGCCGGTGCCCTCAGGCGACAGGGTGGCTGGAGGACGGCTGTCAGTCCCCGCCCTCCTGTCCCTCCCCAGGCCATGCCCTTCCCCGCCTCCTACAGACAACAGCAGCCACCTGGCTGGTAATGCTGGGGACAGGAAAGGGTGGAGCGGTTTGAGGAGCCTCAGGAGAAGGAGCCGCTGGTGGGAGGGGGTGAGCGGGTATTGAGAGATGGATCTGCTTAGGACACGGGCACTCAGGCTGGACATCTTGGGCAGGGGCCACGGGCGCTGGGCCTTGGAGGACGCTGATGGGAAGGTGATGTGGGCAGAGGCGTGGGGAGGCGACATCAGGACGGGGTGTGTGTGTGTGTGTGTGTGTGTGTGTGTGTGTGTCACAGCCTGAGGGCATCCAGGGGCAGCTCTGCCCTCAGTGGGGAGGAAAAGGCTCCCTGCAGCTGTTGCCATGGCAGCCGAGGATGAGGTCTGGGGGGCTCTGTGCATCCACCTGCATGTGAGTACACGTGCACACACGTGGACTGCCCGCAGCATCATCAGCGTGGGGTGACGGTCACTCACCTTGGTCACTGTTTCAAACATCGGGATCAGGACAAACTTGATGAACCCAATTTGGGCTGTAGCTTTGGTCACTTTGTCTCGGTCCATGAACGGGGCCACAGGAAGGCCTTCCGACTTCTCACGGTCGCTCTGCAGGGAGAGCCAGGGACAGTGACGTTAAAGGTAGGAATGCCATGGAACCTGGGGCACAGAGCACCGTGGTTCTTGGAGGAAGAGCAAAGCAAGCTCCCAGTGCATGTGGCCTGGCCTGCCTTCCTTGGGAACTCGGTCTGCCCTGGGCATGTGGGCAGAGTCCTGGGACCCAGAGGGGCAGGCAGGGGTGTTTGTAAAGGCATTGCTGGGCTGCTAGGGTTGTGCTAGGTGGCTTATTGTCCTCTGTCGTCTGTGGAGCCACCGCCTTGCTGCTGTGCTTGTGAGCTGATCTGGTGTTTCACACCTGGGCCCCTCTGCTTCTGGCCAGTTTACCTGACGAGTCTGTCCCCAAGAGCACCTCCCTTTGTGGTGGTGGGTGGCAACTTTGTGACACCATTGAGGCTGGCGACAGCAACGGGACTTGGGTGGCTTTTCGAGCCTCCTACCTGCATGAAATACTCTTCCAGGAGACAGTCCACCCATGGCTCTGCCACTTCCATGGGCCGCACCTCGTTGGAGATGTCGCAGCACTTTATCAGGATCATCTTCAGCTGAAAGAAGAGGCGGTGGCATGAAGGCCACAGGGACACAGGGCGGCCAATGGGAGGGAGGGGGTGGCCGGGGGGCCTCTCCTCCCTCTGCAGCACAGCCCCGCACTTGGTGTTGCAGCCCTCACAGTCTGGGTTCCCGGCTCCCAGCTTCACCCCGGAGAATGGGGGCACCCAGGGCACGCACATTTGGTTAACACCAACCATCCAGTTGAAAAGCAATTTCTTGGTTGTTGGGGATATAGCAAAAACAGAGAGAAGACACCATTAAGATGCAGTGGTTAAAAAGGGTGCTAAAAGCCAGGCACAGTGGCACATGCTTGTAATCACAGCACTTTGGGAGGCTGAGGCGGGAGGGTCGGACACCCAGCCTGGGTAATTTAGTGGGTTAGAGAGACCCTGTCTCAAAATGAAAAATAAAAACAAAGGGCTAGCTCAGTGCAGAGGCCTGGGTTCAGTTCCCAGTACTGCAAGCCAATAAATCAATCCACATATACCAAGAGTACTACAACGTGACCCACTGATGTGGCTCAGGGACGCAGCTCTTGGCTCCCATGCATGAGGCCCTGGGTGTGCTCCCCAGTACTGGCTCTGAGCTGGGCCATGTGAGCACCTGAGGAAGGATGTGGTGTCTTTAGAAATACAAGAGTGGCTGGGTGTGGTGGCACGGTCCTGTACTCCCAGCACCTGGGCGGCTGAGGCAGGAGCATCTCTTTGAGTTCAAGGCCAGCCTCCACTACACAGTGAGACCCTGCCTCAAAAAACCAGAAGAAAATAAAACAGGGTGAAGAAGGAAACCCCCACTGCACAGCCTGGAGGGCACCAGATTCGGCACTCCACCCCCCAGAACACTGGGGGAGCTACAGCCCTGCCCTGCCGACCCCAGCACCCAACAGGTGGAACCCCAATCTTGGAGTTAGAAAACTGCACATGCGCCTCCCTGCGGCAGCTGGCTCACTCGTGCCAGGACCCCTGTCCTGCCAGCAGCCTCCGTGTCCCCTCCTTGGGTTCCCTCCTTCCAGCCTTCCTGGCCCTGCAGCCCACACAGTGCCCACCCCCAGCGCTGTCCTGTGCCCGCCATGACTTACAGGGTGCTGGTGCCCAGATGGTGTACCTGGCCCTATGAGGAGCCTGGCAGGGCCGGTGAGGCCGAAGGACGTGGCCGAGCGTCCCCTGCGCTAATGGGGTGTCCGTGATGATCCTGGCTGCAGGGGGCGGTGCCCTGTGTCCTTGGCACCCACCACCAATGACAGACACCCAGAATCACCAACTTCCTAGATCAAAGTGGCAGCTGCCATGCAGGTCTGCGGGTGACAGGGCGCGAAGTCCCTCTGGCCCAAGTGGCCTTGGTCCATGGGGCCTGAACCTGCCTGGTCTGTGGGCACCTCTGGAGTTGAGAATGTGCCGGCCTAGGCCGCTCCATTCAACGCGTCTGTGCCCTCAGCCTCAGTCAGGCCTCGAGGTCCCCATGGCTTCACCCTCACCCCGGCCGGCCATGTCCTGGGTTCCTGGCAGTGACCCCAATCTTCCTTCTCCCTTCTGGGGAGTCCCCTGACCAGATGCCCCTGGAGGCTGGGGACTCAGGCTGGTGCCGCGCTCCCTTCTGGGCATTGGCTTCTGGAGCCCCAACTCCTGCCCCTGGAGCCTCCCGCCTGTGTCCATAAGAAGTGGGTGTGGTCGGGGGCTCCTGGGCAGCGGTGCCTGACTTCTAAGCCGGCCAGCGCCGCCCTGCAGGGAGAAGTGGGACAGGGCGGCCTCTCTCCTCTCTCAGCTCGGAGTCTGACCCGACCGCCACACCTGTCCTCCTGTGCCCTCGGCTGGGCACCGCCGGGCACCGCCTGCTCTCTGCCCTCTCGCCTGGACTCCTGTTCATCCGAAGTCTCCTGCCCTTTCTTTCTCCCTTTTGCCTTCTGTGCTTTGTCGCCTGTGTCCATTTGTGGCCCAAAATGTCAAGTGGAAAATTCCAGAAGTGAACACGTGCTAAGGTTTAAATTGCACGCTGCTTCGGTTGCGAGGTGAACCCTCTGGCCTGCCGGGGACGTGCCTCGTCGCTGTGACGGGATGTCCTCACTCCGCAGACTCCCCCCTTCTAGCTGATGGGATCGACTGTCACCGGATCACATTTTACTTAATAATGGTCCCAAAGCGCAGCGCAGTGGCGATTTTCTTACAGCAGGTTGTGATAATGGTTCTGCTTTATTACTAGTTATTGTTACTCTCTTCCTGTGCCTAATTTATAGATTAAACGTTATCACAGGAATGTGTTTTAGGGCCTAGGGTTCGGTGCTCTCCATGGTTTCAGGGTCCCCTGTGGGTCCTGAGAGACGTGGCTGGAGGACAAGGGATGTCTGGGTGTCTCCACTTCTCATCTCAGGGAAAGGATCTTCTGCGAGATCCTGACCTAGGGAGGGCGACACGTCCCTGGTGCTCACTGTCAGACACAAGTGGCTGCTCTTCCCAGTGGGTCTGGGTGTCCACTGTCCTTTGCTTTCTACAGCTGTGACCCTGAAGGCTGGCCTTCGGGGGGAAGGCTGGCTCAGCCCCAATGAGCAGGTATGTCTGTTAATCAACATCTCTGGCTGTGCATGCGGACAGTACTGGTTTTAAGCAGTTAATTTTAAAAGAAAGCATTCTTTGCACTTAGACAAGATGCAGCGTAACCAACTTCCTCTCTGAGCATGGGGAAGAGGAATGCTCACGCATTTTGCTCTTTACAGAGGCCCGGGGAAGAGGACAGCTCACGCATTTTGCTCTTTACAGAGGCCCGGCCCTGGGCATACTCCGGCCCTCCTTGTCCTGGGAAAATGCTGCCCTCAGCCCCGGAGGAGGGCTGCCCTGCCAATGGCCAGCCTAGCAAAAGTTGTGCCCTCAAAGGTGGACTCTGGGCTCCTCATTCCCGGCCAGGCTGCAGGCTCTACTTTCTGGGTTTCCAGTCTGAGCTGCACGCTCTGAGCTCACCCTTCAGCCCCTAGAGACCGAACCAGCCTACTTACCAGTGTCATGTGCTCATCGTTGCTGTAGTCGAAATTCTCCATTTTCTCCTTGAAAGAGTCCATGATTTCTGCATGCCTCGCCATGTCAGTGGCCAAGATTAATGTGATCATGCCCTGCATGGTGAGAGAACAAAGCCTTAACACGGGACCCAAGTTCTGCCACCTTCCTCATGCGGACGGGGACCCTGCATGCTCCACACGCATGGCCCCAATGCCGGCTCCATGTATGCGTCCAACTTCCACCCATCAGGAAACAGCAGCTGGTGTGGCTGCTGTCCACGCGTGGTGGTGATGCCAGGCCACATGCATGGCCCTCGTGATGACTGACTCCCAGCTCGAAGTCCCTGTGCTTAGCAGAGAAATCCAGCAGGTTCAGCCAAGGACAAGTTTCTCTGAAATTTAGTTGTGTAGATATGTGGTCTTGTTCCTTCCAGATCTTGCTGCTGGATGTCAAGAAGTGATTTTCTGAGAGTAATTTTTCTCTGATCTACTCTATATGTGTGTATATATATATATATATATATATATATATATGGCTTGGAAATGATCACAGTCAGAATGTATTCAGTGACATCCTTATTAACACATTTATAAAGGTGCATATACAGAGTTTTTAAATATAAACATTTTATTACTGCTGTGATTTGAATGTTTAGTACCCTCAGAAGCCCATGTTGAAATGTGGTCTCCAATATAACTGTTGCAAGGTGGTGGTAACTTTATGGACTGTTTGGGTCCTGTCCTTGGGAAAGGACAAATGTCACTTTCAGAGGAGTGGTGTAATCCTCCAGGGAGTGAGCAAGGTCTCATGGTTATTTGCCTTTTAACCTCTGCCATGTTATGATCCATCCACCCATCCACCCATCCATCATCCATCCACCCATCATCCATCCATTATCCATCCATCCACCCATCATCCACCTATCATCTATCATCCATCCATCCATCATCTATCCATCCATCATCCATCCATCATCCATCTCTCATCCATGATCCATCCATCCATGATCCATCCATCATCCATCCATCGATCCACCCATCCATCATCCATCCATTCATCATCCATCCACCCATCCATTACCCATCCATCATCCATCCATCCATCCATCATCCATCTATCATCCATCATCTATCCATCCATCCATCATCCATCTACCCATCTATCCATCATCATCCATCTACCCATCCATCCATCCATCATCCATCCATCCATCCATCCATCATCCAACCATCCACCCATTCATCCATCATCCATCCATCCATCCACCACCCACCCACCCATGATTATCCATCCATCATCCATCCATCCATCCATCATCCATCTATCATCCCTCATCCATCCATCCATCATCCATCCATCCATGATCCATCTATCATCCATGATCCATCCATCCATGATCCATCCATGATCCATCCATCCACCCATCCATCATCCATCCATTCATCATCCATCCACCCATCCATTATCCATCCATCATACATCCATCCACCCATCCATCCATCCATCATCCATCTATCATCCATCATCCATCCATCCATCCACCCATTCATCCATCATCCATCCATCCATCCATTATCCATGCATCCATCATCCATCCAACCATCCATCCATCCATTCCATGTTTAGAGAGCACCTCTGTGCCAGGAATGGTTCTCTGCTTTTCCAAGAAAATAAATACAAAAGCCAGGGCAATCAATCTAAGGAGTCTCAAGTGTATGTATTTGAGGTGATATTGTTTGTGTTTTGAATCGTGCAGTTTTTCTATAAAGATTGAATTCTATTATTAATGGAGAACGTATTCAGTTACCTTTCAAAATCTTCAACGACAATATTTTTAAAAAGTTGAGACAATTGATTTTTACCCTCAGGAGAATTTTTTTCTTTTTTTGCAGCAGTGGGGATGGAATATAGGGCCTTGAGTACACCGGACAGTGCACTACCACTGAGCTACATCCCCAGCTCATTTTATATTTTGAGACAGGTTCTTGCTAAGTTGCCCAGGCTGGGCCTGAAATTGTTATCCTCCTGCCTCAGCATTCCGAATAGCTAGGATCACACATGTGTGCCACCTGCCCAGATAGGAAAGTCTTATTTGAAAACCAGTCAAGCTTTGAAGCAGGAAACTCTTACAAGTCCCCATGGTAGCCATGTGAAGAAGACTAGAGGGCGGCTGCTCCTCCAGTCAGCTGAACCTCCTCTTTTGGGGTGCTGTGTCATAGACAGGGGGGCTCTAGCCTACTCCTGGGGGCTCCCCACAGGCAGGTGCTGGGAGGCCCTGTGGGGTTCTCGTCACAGCTGCCCCTTTACCCACTCCAGAGGGGAGTGGGCCACAGCTCATCATCACGGCAACACAGGGCTCCGCTGAGGGCAGTTCCATAAACGTGGAAGAGAGGGTAGAAAGCCTGCAGCTTGGAGGGCAATTGTACCAGGAATCGGTGACTCAATAGCGACTGGAATTAAAAATGCAGCTGGCTCTGACCTTCTGGGGCAGATATAGGGGCACCATGGCCAAGAGGCTGCTGCTCTCTGAGAACGAAACTTAGCACTTCTCAGGGGAGACTGTGTTCCCCAGGCTGGCTCAGCCGTCAGGGTCTCAGTGGCCAAGGTCCCCATGGGAAGGTGCAGCCACCTCCCTGGGAGACTGGAGACCTCCCCACATGAGCACCCCTCGGTCCTGCAGGTCGGCAGGAAGTACAAGATCAAGGTGCCTGCAGACCTGGCCTCTGCCGGCTCCAGTGGTCCTTGTCCTTAGTTTAGGGCCCATGTGGCCAGCCACACTGAGACCCAGAGGTCCTAAATTAGAAGACCAGAGACCCTGTGCCACAGAAGGTCACAGTCACGGGGTCCAGAGGTCGGCTCCCATTCAGCCCACCCAGTTCTCCAGTTCACGCCGTGACCCCCTCCCTTACAAACGAGTGATGGACAAGGTTATGGGGCAGGCTGGTGGGTGGCCAGGCCATGGGTGGCAGGTGCCAGCAGGGAGACTGCAGGGCAGTGACCCCTGGGTGGGTCACCCACCCTCCCCGAGCCTCAGTGTCCTGGACTGCAGAACGGACACAAGTCTCCGCTCAGAGGGAGCCGATCAGGGCTGTGGCCATGCTGTGCAGGCTGCTGGGATGTCTGGGGCATGGCAGCCCCTCCCACCCCTCCTCTTGGGGTTCCATCCTGGGCCCAGGTGGATATGGGCAGGAGGGGGGCCCAGGGTCCCCTGTGGGGTCTGCTGTGCCCAGTAGCCTCCAGCCACAGGCTAGGGGACGCTGCCCTGTGCCCCACATGCTGCCCTCTGCAGTTGCAGGGCCTGCTGCCCCACCTGCCGGATCTGCTTGAAGCCCTCGGGTGGCACATTGGCAAAGATGTTGCACTCGGGCCGGGCCAGGATCTGGAAGGCCACGGCGCAGTGGTGGTTCTCCAGTGGCGAGATGTCATTGTAGCGCACGGCCAGCTCGGTGCGGGCGTTGATCTGGTACCTGGGGTGCAGGGTACGGGTCAGGCGCCCGCACTAGGTCACCTGTGTGCCCAGGTGTGTGAGTGGCCACTGCATAGGCAGGGAGGGCGGGTGACCCGATGCCCTCTGCCCTGGCTGCCTCCGCCCTAGATGTCCCGAGTTTTAGGTTCAACTGACTGATTTCACGTGAGCTCAGGCTTGGGGGACAGAGCAGAGGGAACAGGTTGGGGCCTGGGTGACGCTGCATCAGTGGCCACACCTGGAGACCTACTCTGGACTTGACTAAGGGCAGCATGGCTCTTAGCCACATCTGATGCCATCGCGCACACACACAGATGTGCTGGGAAGGCCCGAGGTGCCACTGTGAATGCACACCCAGGCCACCCACAGGACCCTGTGGGTTCCAGGAACAGCACTCTGCCCGACAGAGGCAGGAGGGCTCGGTGTGCCCCTGGCCTGCAGTCCGCTAAGGATCTGTCCCCACCGCCTGCTCCCTCCGCCTCTTCCTCGGGCTGTGCAGTGCCACTGGGCCTGGAGCCAGGGTGACAGAGCAGCATGGCCACCTGCAGCGTCTGAAGGACCCCACTCCCCAAAATGGGAGGCCTGGGACAAAGGCCCCGGACAGAATAGGAAAGTGGGCATAGCGTCTGGTCCCACTGAAGCGGGGCTGGGGCCTGGGGGCCTCGGAGGCAGCTCCAGCCTGGACGGGCGAGGGCAGTGTTGACAGGCTCCCTGCAGCCAGGGCGCCCGCCAGAGGGAGGGGAGAGCGGAGCTGCACGCACGTGTTGTTGTATCCCGGGTGATCCAGGTCGTGACAGACGGCCGCCGTCATGAGGATCAAGATGTCCATTTGGGAGAACTTCTCCTGGATCAAGGGACAGAGCCGAGGTTTTAGTTCCTCACTGGGAAGGCGGATGGTGAGGGGGCTGGGCAGGTGGGAGACCACAGCAGGGCAGGGTGAGGCCGCCACGCCCACCCCAAGGCCTCGGGGTAGGCTAGGGAGTCAGGGCACACTGTGTGTTTTTTGTGGTGCCGGATCGAACTCGGGTCCTTGCGCTCGAGCAGCTGCTGAGCTAAATCCCCTGCCCGCACACCGTACCTTTTGCAGTACTGGGGACTGAACCTAGGACCTTTGCCCTGAGCTCCATCTCCAGGCCTTTCTCAAAGTGTTGAGGCAAGGACTTGCTGAGTCGCTAAATTGCCTAGGCTGGGCTTGAACCCGTGCTGGGGTTAGACAGGTGGGACCACATCCGCCTGAACCAGCTCTGTTAACGAGCCAGGAGTGGCCTCACAGGGTGGGCAGGGCAGCCAGGACCAAGCCAGGCTCTCGGTGGGACAGGTGCTGCCATCCCAGGTGGGCGCTCCCGGCAGGACCCACCTGCAGGTTGCAGAGCCAGACCATGCTGTACATCATCTGGGCCACACAGAAGCAGTGCCGGAAGTTGTGGAAGGGGTTGTTTCGGTAGTTGTCGTGCACACAGAGCTGGGGTACAGGGGGTAGGGGGGACAGGTGAGCCCCATGCCACCACCTGCCCTGCAGACTTCCCGGGACCACGTCTGGGCGCTCCCAGCCTGGTCCTCACCAGACTCCAGACCTGTGGTGTCCACAGGTGGGCACCAGATGGCCTCTGAGCCTGGGAAGTCCCATGGCACATGGGGACACAGGCTGAGGTGTCCCCAAGGGGTGTGGTGAGCTGCATCAGGCCTCAGGACCCCGGGAGAGTTAATAGGCTTCAACGCTGGGTTCTGAGCAGTGTGCTGCTGTTTGGAAAAGATCTGCTAAACACATGCGCGCACACACGCCACACACTCATGCACAGATGCATGCACACAGGTGCTTCACTGCCCGTCTGATTCATGCTATATCCCCGGGTCCCCAAGTGGGCGCTCAGGGACCAGGCCAGTAAGGACAGAGGGGCTGAGTGTCCTCGGGAAACAGTGTTCCTCTGGGAGGGCTGCTCAGCCTCAGCTCGGGCGCAGGCTCCAGAGGAGCAGGAGGAGCGGTTGGCGGACACTCACCAGCCAGCGCCTGAGTGTGACGGGGTTGATGCCAAAGTCGCTGACCAGGCCCAGGTCGTGGTACATGTGCTCCAGGCAGCTCAGCATCTGTGGGTGGTCGAGGTGGGCACTCAGCAGTGGGCAGGGCAGGGTGGGGGCCTGGGGTCCCCGAAGTCCCTGTCCTGTCCTGGGGCACTGAAGCTGGGCCTGTCCCATGAGGCGAGCACCAACCCCAGAGAGCGGACCCAGTGGCAGGTGCTAGGGAGCTGCTGGACACCTCTCAGGGCCACCCAGAGGGGTGCAGGACCCAGGAGAGTGGGGGCTCCTGGGAATTCCATGCTTGGCACGGTGGTGACTGGGCAGGGTGACTCTGCTTCTCCCCGATAACCACAGTGAAATTGTTTGGTCAGTCTCCACACAGGAAAAACAATCTCAGCAGATCAGCGGCATGGTTGTTTTGTTTGTTTTTCATGCCAGGCAGGTGCTTTACCCATGACCTACATCCCTGGCCTCCAGCAGCACAGTCTGAGGTCCTCAGAGCCATGACCCTCACCCAGGGGAAGGCCCAGCGCTCGTGGGAGGCAGGGATGGGGGAGCTGTGGCCGCCTGCACCCAGGCAACGTGCATTCCTGCTCCTCTGGGGCTCGGCTGGGCCCAGAGACAGCTGCAGCATCTTTGCCATCCTCCCAAAGCTTCTCTCAGAGACAGCGGGCTCCAGGTGCAGGGCTTCAGTCACCGCGGAGATCTCGTGAATACCGCTCAGAGCCCGGGGCCAGTGATGGAGGAAGAAGAGATCGGACCGTGGAAATGAAGAGCACTGGGCCAGAGCGGGCTTGGCTTTTTGGAAGAGCAGGCTGTGGTGCACAGCCCAGGAAGACAGGAGAGCGCAGGACCAGGGGAGTGGGACTGCCCTGGGGGGCCACACCCTGAGCTGCCCTGCTGTGGGCCGGGCTGGGGGAGCCCGGCGCACCCACCCCCGTGTGACAAACTGTGTCCCCCCAATGCCAATACAAAGGTGGAAGCCTCGTGGTCCATAGCCACCAGCCCTGCTGTCTGGGGCAGCAGGCGACCCCGGAGAGCCGACATGTTTGCTGCGAAATCAGAGTCCAGGGAGGAGGCAGCTGACAGACGAAGCCATCTGGTGCCTCTCATGTTGGGAACACGTTGGCTTCGGAGCCAGAGTGACGCCTCTGTTCCCATGGTGGCAGCCAGGAGCCCTGGCAGGGCTCGAGGGCTCCGGCAGCTCGGGGATGTGGCAGAGGGTGCGGGGCTGGCGGGCTGGTGACTGTGCTGGCTGACTCAGGTGACGGGGCTCCCGTGTGTGGCTCTTTCTGAGTGGGATGCGTGGGACGCTGTCCTGGCTGGAAGGGTGGCAGGAAAACCACCCAGCCCTGGTGTTCGCTGGCAGAGCTCTCTCTCCATGTCCCTGTGCCTTTAGTGGTTCACCATTGCTGGTCTCACCCAAGCTCCCGGGATCCTGGACTTGAAAGAGACCAAGCTGTCTCTGGACACCTCTGATTTATCACCCACCAGCAGGTGGCTGGATTCTTCCACAAGGGCCTTGTCCCCGGCAGCAGGAGTGGCCCCAGCCGCCCCGGCTGTCCAGATACTCTGGGTCCGAAGGCGAGGATGTAGTCTCTCTCATGCACAACTCAACCCTCCAGCCTGGGGCACTGGCATCCTCATGCAGAGGTTTCCGGCCGGAAGGCAGAGGTAATGAGGGCACATCCATCCGAGGCCCAGGTTTGTGCCCGGCGGGAAGACCTGATGCAAGAGGCTCTGGACACCATGATCCGCCCAGCGGATTCACCAGGAGCAGCGCTGGCAGGAGTTACTCGCTCCAGGCCCTGCCTTGGCCTTGTCTGTGGTGGCCGGGCTGTGCCCAACCCCAGGGGGCCAGGCTGTCCCTTCCCTTCACAGCCCTTGCTCCCCTGGGCTCAGGATCGATGGCCACAGCCCCGCTCCTTGGGTCTCTGCGCCGCACCCCTGCACCCCCAGAGCTGGTAGCACCCTAGGGTGGGTGGCTGGGTGCTGGGTGGGGGCTGGGTCTCGCTTTCCTGGCCAGTGCTGCCGAGGTGGGGCCAGCACCGGGTGAGCACACGGAGGAAGCCCATGCTCCCTGCCGATCAGGTCCCTGGGGAGGGGGGCCTCGAGTTGTGCACCATAAGGGTGCCAAATCCCATTCCCATTCCGTGCTCGGTGGAGACTTCACAGCTGCGATCCCGTCAGAGAGAGCAGGCGAGCTGTACTGTGGAAAAGCCGGAGAGGCTCCTGGGATTCTGGTGGGTGAAGACAGCTGGGCCTGAGGTCCATGATAGCAGGGCTTTTGCTTTTGGGGGTGTACAATGGGGTTTAGCCAATATTACCAATGAGGTTAAACTGCCAAATCTCCATTCTGGTTTTCTCAGTGGTCTCCTTGGGCCCCCGAGCCTGGGATGTCAGTCTGATCTAAAACCTGGAGCATCAGGGTTTCGACCTTCAGAAGGAAGGACAGCAGGAGGGAGCCCGGAGGAGGAGCAGCATCAGCCTCCTCGGGGGCCTGTGGCCCTGGCCGCCACCCGGGACCCGATGCCTGGGTCCCCACACTTACCTCGTTAGGCTCCCACAGCCAGACGTCGAAGGTGGGCTTACGGAGGGCTTCAATGGTCTCTGGGGACAGCAGGTACTGGAAGGGACAGGAGTCACGTTACCCCGGAGCCCGGCCTTTGGCAGACAAAGGCAGCTGACCCCAGAGTGCCCAGTGAACGCAGTCCTTGTGCCCCTCAGAGCCCTGTGCAGACTCAAGGCTTCCTCTCCACAAACGGCCGCTGCTGGGTGGATCCCAGCAGCTGGTGCAGGGGCAGGATTCAGGCACACCTGGGGAGTCGGGGAGGTGATGGACACATTCTAGGTGCCTCGATTGTGCTTGAAATTTTTCTCTCCCTTTTTCTTCCTTCCTTCCTTCCTTCCTTCTTTTTCTTTCTTTCTTTGTTTCTTTCTTTTCCTTCCTTCCTTCCTTTCCCTCTCTCTCTCTTTTAGTTTTGCTTTTTTGAGACAGAGTCTCACCACGTAGTTTAGGCTGGCCTGGAACTATCTAGCCCAGGCTGACCTTGAACTTGCAGCAATCCTCCTGTCTCAGCCTCCCAGGTATGGGGATAACAGGCATGCATTGCCATGCCTGGCTTCATGGTGGAAGTTTCACAGCTGTGTATGTGTGTTGTGTACACATGGTACTGTGTATCTAGAGAAGCCTGGCCACGTGACTGTGAATCAGACCTCAATAAGTCCGACAATAAAAAATACAATAAAGCAAAGCCAAGGGAAAAAGTTAGCTTGGCGTAAATCCAGATACTGGCTAAGCAGCTCTTGTGAGTTTCTGGAACCAGCCCTGGACTTCTCCTTGCTGCGTCAGCTGACAGCACCTCCAGCGTTTGGGGGCAGCTGTCCTAAGAAGCAACTTTGACATTACACAGCCCCAGTGCTTTGGCATTCCAGCATCTCCTGGACTTCTGTGTTCATTGTCTTAAAAAGGGAATGTATGGAGGGCTGGCGCCCTGTGTCCCGGGCCTGGGCTGGGGCTCGGGAACACTGGCACAGGATCACCGGAAATGGGCGTCGTTCCCAGGGAAACGGTCCCCATGGAAATGCCTCAGACCAGATTCAGCCTGCTGCTGGGACCAAGTGGAGAAGGTCACTGACTGATGGGCACTGGACACCCACAGGAGGCTCCGGAAGGCTCCTCGTCACCATGGCAGTGGGAGGACCTGGCTGGTACCCGGCTCGGACCACCTCCGTCCTGGGGACCCTTTTCTCAAACCTCAGTGCAAGAGTGAGCCTGGGTTTCACCCCCTGGTTTTGCCAGCAGGCTGCTGTTGTCATGGTGATCCTCTCTGCTGGTGGCCAGGAACCACTCCATCCTCAGGCATGGCATGAGACTCAGGCCAGATTCTCTAACCGAGAAGACTCCTGCTCACGCATGGCAGCTAAAGTTCCCCTAAAGACCTGCGTTGTTCGGATAGGGCACCCAGTGGTCTTTCAGGCGATGTCATGCACTGACAGCTCTTACTGAGAGGGCTCTGGGCCGGGTGGATAGCAGCACAGAGCTGCTGTCTTCTCGCCGAGTGCACTACGGTCTGGGAACACTTCTGCTAACTCCATGTCAGGCAGAAGAATCTCCCGTCTAAGGACACCCCGCCTCCGGAGCTGGTTCCTGGGTCCTGGGGCCGGGACTCCACTTACCTTGGGGTAGGTGGGGACATCACGTCGAGGGGTCAGCTTCTTGTTGTTATCCAGAAAGCTAAACTTACAGGGACAGTTGGTCCTAAGGACAAGAAGCAGAGCTCAACTGCCACACTGGCCTGAGCCACGTGGTGCCCTTGCAGGACCGGGACGTCAGGAGTGCAGAAGCAGACAAAATAGCCAAAACCACCCCGAGCCCACGGGCCCCACCTGGCCCGCTGTGCCCTGGAGGCCTAAGTCTTGAGAGCAGTGAGAGGCGTGCTACTGCTAAACCCCTGCGGACCCCGCAGGGACCTGGCATCCTACCAGGCTTTCGGGAAACACAGAAACAGTCGCTTGTTTCCCCACCTAACACCACCAACTCATCCCTCGCTGCTTTCCCGAGCTTGGCCTCGCCTGGTAATGAGCAGAAAGCGCATGTGGCCTCCACACAGTGGCTGCAACTCACAGCCTCACCCCATCCCCCGGGCAACCTCAGGACGGGTCCAGTTTGTCCACAGTGTACAAAGCAGAAAGAGAGACTTCTGACTATTCTCCTCCCTATTCAACATCACAAAGCCCATGTAAGAACAGAAGGAATCGAGTCCAGGGGTCTGGGGCACTGGCTGCAGGGCTGCCCCAGGGCCTGTGTGTGAAGAGCCGCCCATGAGGCCCAGTGCCCTTGGCTGGGCGCTGCACACATCCGGGAAGCCCTGTGGGTTGTCCGGGATTTACCCGACCGGGGTGCAGGGGCCAGCATATCGGTGAGCTCATGGGATTTGTCATAAATCTGCATCTTCTGGAAGAGCCATTTAACATGGTCTAGTAAAATCACAGAGGAATTCGTATTCTCTATGCCTGCACGCCTACTCCGGGGAACTTACCTTAAAAGAATTCAACACAAGTAAACAGCTCTATGCACACAGATACTCATTACAGCGTTGTCTGTTGTTATGACACCACGAAACCAAACCAGGTGCCACCTGAAAGTCCTCGAATGGGAAGTAATTTAAACCACTTTGGTGCATCCAAATGATGAACCATTACACCATTATGAAGGTCATTATGAATATTATGTGAAGCAAAGGAATTTCAGGTGAAAAAGGAAAATAAAATGGCTATACATATTTTGTACTAAGAGGCAGTGCAAAAAACATTTACTGAGCTATGAGGGAGAAAAAGCACATCTAGTGAGTTAAAAAAAAGAATACTGAAAATTGTGGTCTTTTGGAAAATAAAAATCTAAGAACTATATACTGGTTAAAATTTATTGTTAATTTAGCTGGGGGCTGGTGCATGCCTGTAATCCCAGCACTTGGGAGGCTGAGACAGGAGAATCACTGTGAGTTGGAGGCCAGCCTGGGCTACTTAGTGAAACCATCTCAAAAAACCAAAAAAATTGTTAATTTATTTACTGTTCATGATGCTGCACATGAAAAAAGTATACAAGACAGTGTATTTTAGTTGCATTTTCAATACTAGATATCTATGCATACAAAACATCTGGGGTTTTTTTGTCCAGATTTAAATTGTGGGCACTGCTGGCTATTGTTATTACACTGGCCACCCAGAAACCCCCATCAGAATAGACTGGGAGTTCTACCATGAGCCTGTTCCATTTTCCTTTCGCTTGCCTGTTTGTTTGTCTTACTATATAGTTCCAGCTGGTCTTGAACTTGCAGTGATCCTCCTGCCTCAGTCTCTCAAGTGCTGGAATTACAGGTGTGTACCACGGTGCCCATCCCATTTTCAAGATCAGAATAATGAATCTATTCCCTTTTAAAAACACAGCCTTGGTATTACCGTCTTGGCATGCTGTGAGCCTCCCCTTCATTCCACACCTGCCAAGCTGTCAGAGCTGCCACAACAGTTCGAGGTGCAGAAGAAACTGGATAGCATGATTATCCTTCCCTGCCGCTTTAACTCTTCCTGGAAACACAAGAAGCCTTCACCAGGCAGGCGCTGGACTGCTAGAATCCAGCCCAGTGCTGGCATGTGCAGCCCTGGAAGCAGGCAGCTGCTGGGTGCTGCTGACCCCTTCGGCCCACAGCCCCCTCTCTCTGTGCCCCCTTGCAACGGGAACCAACATCTTCAGCTGGCAGAGCAGCTGGCACGGTGCCTTTTCTTTTCACGCCATTTCGAGCTTGTTTTTGCCTTCATTTCCTGGGCTTCCAATCTGCCTCTCCCCTGGGGCTCCGTCCATGGTCAAGGCCATTTGTTTGGGTTGAAACCAGAGGTCACAAGCCCCAGAGCTCTTGGTCCCCACACTGTGCTCCTGCAGCCCACAGACCCCTAGGAACCAGTGCGTGCTCAGCCCCACTCTGCTGGAACAGAGCTGAGGGCCAGAGCCCCACGGCCCAGTACGACCTGGCTGGCTGTGTTTCCCAGAAGGGGCCACTGCTCAGGGGTGCTGCTGGGCTACACAAGCCCCTGCTGTCCCCCGAGGGCTGCACCCTGGCAGGTGCAGATCCCTGGCTCCAAGCTCTGCTGTGCTGTGCTGGCCTGTGAGTGACTGGTGGCTCAGTAGCCATCATGTGGGTGCAGGATGGGGCTTCTCCGCTCCCCAAGAGAGGCGAGAATGCAGGCCCCCTCTTTACTTCTTGACCCCCACCCCGACTACTCTCTGAACTCTTAGTGATCCTCCTGCCTCGGCCTCCCAAGTGCTGGGATCACAGGCAGGCGTCACCACACCCAGTTCCTCTGTCCTCTTACTTTAGGTCCCTTTCTTTGGACATCCATGCCCATGGCTGTCAGGCTGGACACACTACTAGGACACCTGGACCTGCAGGAGGGTCTCCCTCTCACGTGCACCCTCTTCCTCCTCGCCTCTGGTATAACCGGCACTGCGGGGTAAGATCCCGGAGACGGAGGAGCGGATCCCCACGGAGCAGGCACCACTGCCTGTGTCCCCAGATCCAGGACCGCGACCCCTCCTGGGGACACGAAGCCACTCGGAGCCCACCCCAGCCCGGCAGCCCTGGGTCCCCACCTGCCCAGGTCCTCACCTGCTACTTCTGGCCGCCAGCTCCTCCCTCATCTTTTTAATGTCACGCTTGCATTTCTCGATCTCCACGACTTTCAGTCCTTCCACTGCTGACAAAGAGACACGGCAGGGAGTTACCACGGAGGAGCACAGCTCAGGTGGGTGTCCCCGGGGCTCATGGCAGAAACAGGGCTCCCTGCTCCAGGCACAGCCGTCGCAAGCTGGAGCCACTGCATGCGTCCTGTGGCCGGCACTGCATCTTGCTGAGGTAAGAGCCAAGCACGATTTTTATCCCAAAAGAAAAGAAGGGTGAGATCTCAGGGTGTGAAAATGCAGGGAGGCCCCTGCAAGGATTAAAACCTCATTCAGATAAAAGCCCTTCTTTTTTAATGTCCCCAGCAGTTAACCAGGAGAAATGGTCAGACAGATGAGAATAAGGGGGAGCTGGACTCCATCGTGTTCGTGGGGTCCCGCTGCACAAGTGCGCCTCCTGGCAGGATGCTACAGTCACCCACTGGGGCGGGTCTGTGGCCCAGGAAGGTGGCAAAGGCTTTTAGGTGAGGGCTGTGCTTGAGGGGGTTGAAAGCGGCAGCTTTATTACTTGGCGATCACACTCAAATTTGACTCAGAAAGTGGGCACCCGGGAGGCGTGGCTTCCCAGGGACACTGCATCTCCTGCCCACAGGGCCATCTCAGCTGTGGGCCTGGTGGCTCACTTCTGGGCCAGGGAAATCTCTGCTCCTCTTCTCCCGCATGGAGGATGAGGGATGGAAACTCAGGCCGGAAGTGGACGAGTCGGGGGCCGGGGTGGTGGCCAGCCCGGGCCACAGCAGGTGAGTGGCCGTGGGATCACCAGACCTGGGCGTGAGTCCTTCAGCCACCATGTCACGACCCCCTTTGGAGTGGGCTTCTTCTTGTGGGCCCCCAGAAAGCTGCCGATACCTGGCTGTCTTCCAGGACCTTGAGGGCTGCGTGTGGGCCAGGAAGCACTGGTCCAGGTCCAGCGTCCCCTGGTCAACAGGCGTGTCACAGGGGTGCTGAGCAGAGCACACGGTTAGACGAGGACTGCAGCAGGTGCAGCCCCAGCTCACTGACATGGGAATGGGGAGAGGTTTGGGGGAGAGGGCCCAGACAGACAAGCCGTGCCGGCATCGAGTCTGTGGCTGCCCTTGCTATGTATCAGGTGCCACTGTCTTAGCCAGGTGTGCTGGCACTCGCTTGTTATCCCAGCACTTGAGAGGCTGAGGCAGCAGGATGGCTGTGAGTTCAAGGCCAGTGTGGGTGACATAGAGAGACCGTGTCTCAAGAAAACCCCACGAAGTGCCACTGTCCTGAGGCTGGACAAAGGCCTCTCCCAGCCAGGAGGAGCCAGTCCAGGGGTTGCAGCTGAGTGTAGGCCCTTGAAGACAGTGGCAGGGGCACTGAGGTGGGCCCGACACAGGGTTCATCCGTCGTGAACCCCTTTGTGCACCTCAAGCTTCAGCTGTAAGCATCCTAAACCAAGACACAGGTTCGCCTGGTCTCCCGGCTCTGGGGCCCCTGAGGCCGGCTGAGGGTGGGGGTTTGAGAGAGTCGCAGGCAGGACGCCTGGAGAAGACAGGCAGACAGGGACTGAGGTTCCTAGCCAGGGAGCTCCAGGGACCTCGGACCTGGGCAGACCCTGCCTCAGCCCCAGGAGCAGTGGCCCTGTGATAGCCAGAGTGACCACTAGCACTGACCACTGTGCTGCTGCTGTGCATGCCCCACGTGATGGGGTCTTGGCCAGGTGGCCTGGCTCTGTCCAGACTCAGAATCCGGAGCAGCAGCCTGATGTCTGCAGGACTGGGGGACGCAGGGGCCGGGCAGGGGCGATGGACAAGCTCGGAGGCACCTGTGCCCCAGCACTGCTGAGCCTGCTCCCCAGCCTGGGAGCCGCCCCAGGGCCCTCAGGTGCCCCCTGTGCGGCGCAGCCATGGTCAGTCTGGTTTCTAACCCTGCTGTGGACTCAAGGGCTCCTCTCCGCCGGGTGGGCAGGAGGCTGACCTGTCCCGGGAGGGCAGTGGCAGGGAATGAGGACAGCCGCCAGGGCTCGGCGCCATGCCACTTTTACTGATTTGTCTGATTTGTCTGATTTGTCCAATGAACTTGATCAACTCACTCAGCCTCTTTGTGGCTTCCTCATCATCCAATGGCTGAACGAGTTTTAAAAAGCAGACACACTCTGGAAATGTCCACGTGACCCTGGAAACCGTGTTTCAGCTGATTTTCATGGGTCAGCTCTTGCATGATCCTGAATTTTTTTGTCGTTGTTCTTGAAAAATCACAGGCAATTCGGTACAGGTACGGGAAGTGACATCCGGTCACTCTTAGGTCACAGATCGGCAGGTGCTTTGGGAGAGGCTGTTTGCTCAGTCTGAGCATGTGAATAAGTTGCCTGTGAGTCGCCACACTCCGTGTGGACACTGAGGGACTTCCAGGTGCCGAGACAGGAAGACAGAATCGCCAGGCACGGGCTCAGGGATCCAGCCCTTCCTCAGGGACAGGGCCCGAGCAGCTGTGGCTTGCAGCCGTTTTCCTGCAGAATCCGGGCTTTTCGGTGACTGAACTGAGATGGGAATGGGCTCCACTGTGCTCCCGAGCAGGTTTTCATTGGAATCCAAGAGAACAACTGGCACACACGTTCCCCACATGGCCGAGGTCAGAATGCCACGTCCTGGTGCACGTACACAGGGCCCGGACAGGACCTAAGCGTGGGTGCCCCGCTTGTGCCCACACATGTCCCCAATACACAGCGCACGCGGTGTCCCACGCCTTGTGTGGCTTTAAAACACAGCGCAAGGCTTCGCCGTGTTGCTGCTCTCGCCTGTGCGAACAGCCAAGTTGCTTCGCAAGCAGTGCACATGAAAAGGATGCCCGCCCCGCCCCGGGAACTGACCCCCCCCCCCCCCCCCCTGCCTGGGCCTCGAGGGAAGGGAACAGCCACTCACACTCCACACGCTTCTCCAGCACTGCCAGGTGGCTGGCGACGTCTGCTTTCAGCTCGTTGATTTTAAACGCTCTGGGAAAAGGAGGAAGAAAAGATGAGGCGCGGCCCATGGAATCCTCAATGCTGACCTTGGCCCTGCCAACGTGTATGGGTCCTGGGTGCGAGTGAGGCCCACAGGCTCCCTTTTAGGAACCCAGAATGTCCCCCGGGGTGGCGTCCCGACCTCCTCTGACCTGGGCCGTGCACACCAGGTCCTGGGTGACACGAAGTCCTCTGTGCCCCAAGCTGGCACGGCCCAATGCCCGCACCTGCCCCATGGGGTGCGGACACCTTAGAAGACTCAGGAGCTCGAACCGTTAGGCTCAGCAATTCATGGGCTTGCTTTCTTTCCCTGTACTGGGGATCGATCCCCGGGCCTTTGTACTGGGCTCTCATCCCCACCCCCCGCCCTCTTTCAGTTTCTGTTTTTGAGACAGGGTCTTGCTAAGTTGCTAAGTTGCCCAGCCTGGGCCTTGAGCTTTCAATCCTCCTGCCTCAGCCTCTCAGAGTTCTGGGATTACAGGTGTGGGCCACTACGCCTGGCTAGGGCTTTAACAAATACCATCCAGCTGCCCTTTTCCTCCTTTTAGTCACCCAGAGCAGCACAACGCCAAAGGGAAATCAGTCTGAGAAACTGAGAATACTGACTGACAGGTGGGGGACTCGGAGAGGAGAGGAATCCCACCATCCGCACAGGCTCAGGACTGAGCTGCGTTTTAAAGCAGGGCTGACATCCACAGACTGTCCGGAGCACTGTAAGAGCCAGGCAAGAAAATGCTCACAATCAGAGGTCAGGGTCTGAGAGGGACCACCAGACCTGCCTTCGGGTAAGGTCGGGGTTTCCCAGGGGTCTCAGCCCAGCAGCTTGGGGGAGCTCCTGTGGGCCCAGGCCAGCTGGAGCCAGGGGCCTCCTGTGCCTCGAGAGGCCAGTGTGGACAGAGGAGATTCTGTACCTGGAGAACTGCTCTGCCACCTGGGCCAGGACGCTCTGGATTAACTCTTCTCTCTCTGTGAACCAAAGGAGACAGACAGACTGATCAGGGGTGGCGAGGGTGGCCCCAGGGCTCTGAGGGTGGCCCCAGGGCTCTGGGCAAGAAGCCTTGAATGGGGCCTGGGTGCATTTTACGGGGCATCCTGGGGCCAGGCGAGCTCCCCGCTGAGGAGTACAGAACACAGTGTCCTCAGGGCGCCTGGGAGGAAGCACCGCCCAGCTCGTAAATGGGCTCAGGCCCAGGCTGCCCAGGACCTGCTCTCTTCCTGTTTCCTGGCCAGGCCTGAGCGGACACTCCCAGAAAGGGCAGCCTCCCATGGCCAGTTCCTCCCAGCGACTCTGCCACTTCTTGGTTCAGCTCTGAGAAGCTCTGCAGCCTTCACCCAGATTCCTGCAACCTTCTACGCTGACCTGAAGCCTAACTGTCCATGACAAAGGAAATTCAGGACCAGACTGCACCTGTTGGAGTCAACAAAATACTTCAGTCAAAAGCTAAAAATGGGCTGGGAGTATAACTCAGCAGTAGAGCACTTGCCCAGCATGTACAAGGTCCTGGGTTCAATCCCCAGTGCTGCAAAACAACACAAAAAGGATACATTTATAGTCATATAGCCTGGAGCGGTGGTGCATGCCTGTAATCCCAGCATTCAGGAGGCTGAGGCAGGAGGATGCTGCACGTTCCAGGCCAGTCTGGGCTACATATGGAGACCAGCCTGAACTACATATGGAGACCCTGTCTCAACTAACAAACCAAAACAAACAAGCAACAACAAAACAAAAACTCCCAAAAGCTGAAAACACTCGTGTGCTCTGACCCAGTGTGTTATTTCTAGGAACTAGTCCTGGGTGTAGACAAAAGATGTTTGCTACAATGTGATTAACTTAGCAAAACCCTTAACAACCTGTAAGTCCATCACATGGAGATTTGTCAAGTAAATGATGATAAATTTGCATTGTGAAATCATATTCTATTAGAAACAACAGTCTCGGAGAACGTTCACTTCATTGTTAGAGTTAAAAAAATTTTCTTAAAGTCGTAACAGAGTGATCCCATTTTTGAAAACATCTTGGGAGAGCACATTCCAAAATAATGACAGCTGTCTTTCGGCTACAGGAATGTATATACATTTTGTTTTCTTCGTTTTGCTTCTTCATGCCTTCTACATTTTCTGTAATGCATATGCATTACTTTTTCCTTCCTGCTTTCCTCCCTCCTGCCCTTTCCCCTCTCTCTTTCTTTCTTTCCAGTGCTGGAGATTGAACCTTCACATTGAGCTACATCCCCATCCCATGTAAAAATTATCGAGACAGGAGGGAGGGAGAGGAAGAGGAGGAGAAGGGGATGTAAAAGAGTAAAAACGTGTTAGTTCCATAAAGGTACCATTCCCTGTGATGAATGTAGTCACCATGTACTACAAACATGCGCTAATACAAATAAAAAGTTTAAAAAAGAAATAGCTTCCATACAAAAAAATAAGTGACATTTTGAGACAGGGTCTTGCTACATTGCCCAAGCTGAGCTTGAATTCATGATCCTCCTGCCACAGACTCCCAGAGTGCTGGGATGACAGCTGTGTGCTACCTATGCCCAGCTGAATAGGTACTAATTTCATAAAAAGATGGAAATGAATCGATCTAAGTTCCCCTCTCTGGCCCTCAGCACCTGTCTACATAAATCCATCTCATGTCGTGTGGGATGGGCTGGCACGGGCTGTGGCCTGAGGGGCTGTTCGCCCTCGCCGTGGAAGCAGAGGCGGCTCAGTCCCCTGCACGGTCTCCGGTTCTGCACCTGCCGTTCCTGAATGTGTTGGCCCCGCGCCACTTCCTCCTGGCACCGACCCCGTGGGACAGCTAGACATGGCCTGCCTGACTCATGGGGATGACCTGAGCGCCCTGTACAGACTGTCCTGACCCATGCTACAGCAACCGGATCATGGTTCCACGCCCCTGTCACTGAGCCACATCCCAGAACTCACACCTGCCCAAGCTAAGGCCATAATTAAGGCTCCGCATGGGACAACGCCCTGAGCTGGGAAGCTCCTCTCTCTGCATGGATTTCCTGGCCTCTGCGCACGGCTTGGGCTTCTGGTCTACCCCTGGGCCCATGCACAAGCTTTCCATGCTGTCTCTCATCACCTCACTGGTGCTGCCCCTCTCTAGCCTCTAAATTCCAACGCTGCCAGATGAGTGGTTGCCCTAGACAACCCAGGGCACTGCAGCTTTCTAGGACTTGGCAAGAAGAGATCGAGCTGGGCACAGCAGCACACACCTGTAGTCCCAGCACTCGGGAAGCTGAGGCAGGAGGATGGCCAAGAGTTCAAAGCTGGCCTGGGCTACAGAGCGAGTTCAAAGCCAGCCTAGAGTACATAGTAAGTCTCAAAACAAAACCTCCAAACAAATGAAAGAAGGAGAAGAAGTGGAGAAAGACATTTTGTGGAGTCCCTTGAAGCTGCGAGGTGACAGTGCTGGCCAGGAAATGTTTCCAGGGCTTCAGCTGGGTGGCCGCCTGGTGTGAGGAGCTAAATTTCTGGCAGGAGGGGGCCAGGACAGTGTGGGGAAGGATCACAGGCGGTTTCCAGCTGCTCTGATGAGCTCAGCAGGGTTTAGATCACTTACTATGAAATGGTTGGAAAAAGCAGTGGGCCTGAAGAGTTAATGAACTCTAAGAGTTAATGATCTCATAGCCGAGATTAATTTAGAAGTCACGTGGAGCCAGGTCAAGTGGCAGCAGCAGAGCAGGCGTTCTTCCCCGGAGCCTACACAGCTGGTACCAACGCACACGGTCTCCTGGGACACTCAGAAACCCTCGGCACACTGGGCAGAACCCGGGCATCCAGAGTGTCCACACGGAGAGCCACGCGGGAGTCACCATCACGGGGTGGCCGTGAGGGCTCCAAACTCAGCACGCTGCTGAATGATTTGTGGGCCATGGAGGGGACCTCAAGGAGGAAACAGAGGCTTTGAACTCAGTGAAACTATGGACCATCCTGACACAGCCCCAGGCCACCAGGGGTGGAGGACGACCAACTTCCCGGCCTGTTACTCAAAGCACCATGATCGGTGTCTTCTGCGACAATCAGGGGCTTCAAAGCAGCTTTTGCTAAGACTGGTGACTCTTCAGTCGGCCGACACAGTTCCAACGGGTAACAGACAATGAAGGAAAGTTTGACTTCTGTTTTGTAAACCTAGGTCAAACTCTTCTTGGGGCCGTAATCATTTAGGGAGTGTGGGACTAAAAACCAGTGACACCAGGTTCATCAGCCCTAACTCCCTGCCTGTCTCAGCCCCTAGATGGGGACATCTGATTATCAGTCTTTACAATGTCCAGTTCCGACCCCTCCTGGGTCAACACAGAAATTACCAGCCATTCCCTAGACCTGTAACGACCTGGAATCCAGAAAAGCAGAGCCCTACACAACAAAACCAACAGATGTTATGAACAAATCCTCAGTAGCATGGGAACTAGCACAAAGAATCAACAACTGGGATCTCATCTTATTAAAAATCTTCTGCACTGCAAGAGAAACCACCAACAGAGCTAAGAGGCAACCAACAATGTGGGAAAAAGTTTTTAGCAGCTGTACCTCAGACAAAGGACTACTATCTAGAATATAAAAAGAACTGAAAAAAAATCATACCCCCAAATTCAAAGACCCAATTCAAAAACGGGCATCTGAAATGAACACACATTTCTCAGACAAAGAAGTAAAAGCAGCAAATAAATACATGAAAAACTGTTCAACATCACTGGCCATTCGAGAGATGCGGATGAAAACAACACTGGGATTCCACCTCACCCCAGAAAGAATGGCTGCTATCAAGAAATCAGCCAATAACAAATGCTGGTGGGGCTGTGGGGAAAAAGGAACCCTTCTCTATTCTTGGTGGGAGTGCAGGCTGGTGCAAGCACTGTGGAAATCAGTATGGAGATACCTCAGAGAACTAGGACTAGAGGTCCCATTTGACCCAGCTATTCCCCTGCTGGGTATCTTTCCAAAAGAATTAAAAGAATCGTACCACAG